AGGAAGATTTTAAGGAGAGTATCTGCTATTAGTGAAAACCTCTTCTACATTAATTAGTTGAATTTAATTTCAATAAATGAGTAAAAGCATAAAATTCAAATTTTGCATCAATTCTTGATCACGAGAAATACTTCTAAAAAATAAGAATGTATTTTGTAGCTCAGATCATAAAGCTTAGTTAAATTTTTATTTTTAAAACTATTAATTTGCGCGTAAGTTTAAATTACACGCTTTATACAAACACAACATTTGCTTTCTTCCTCTCACTTTTGATATTGATTAAATATTGAATCTTGAATCATTCACGTGTCTCATCAACATAAGCATTGCTTTGTGGAACAAAATAATCTTAATTTTGAACTATAAAGACTACTTTTGTCAGTATTTGTACTCAATGGGTGATAACTTGAACAGATAATTCCCAAAATGAGGCTTTAAAACGATTAACTCTTCATCAATACTCTTCAATTTTTATTTTCAACTAAACAATGATATAGTCACACTTAAAAATATCCCATCCCGGCCAATTTATGCGTTCGGCTTGAAAAACAAATCCTCGCCTTGCCACATAATGGACTCGCCAGCAGCAGAAAGGCCAGAAATAGCCGCAAGTGCAGATAACGCGTCGCACCACATTTTAGTGCAAAAAAGCATCTCTCACTCTCGCATTTGGGCCAAGAGGAAAAGGCGCAAGAAACGCGCGCTCCGGGTAATTACAAGCCGGCCGAGATTGCAATTTCTCCATCATTTGTCAGCATTGGCCGATTTTTTGCATCGCGCCACCCACCCACCGCATTCCGCCACAATTAAGGATGAGCGAGGGCGGCAGAAAATGGATCCGCCAAGGAGACAGACACACACCGCACGCAGCAATTGAGCTTTTTCCGCCCGCTGCGCCACTTTTGTCAGCCGACTCGCAACTCCATCAGCAGGGCAATTTAGTTAGTTGCAATGTTTCTGCGTCTCAGAACGTCAATTGATTTGACCTTATTCTGACATTGCAAGGGTGGAAAATATGCAAAATATGATGTAATATTTTCTGAGTTGATTTTTTTTAAATTTTATGAAAATATCATAGCCTGAATAATAATTAATAGCGAAAATAGTTGTTATATGTTACTATACAAAAAATGGAAAATCTAAATTTGATTAATTTATTTTAAATCCTGCTGGTTTGGGTGTTTAGTTTGTAGTTTTTTCCCAGTTTCAGATTTGCATTTTCAAGGAGCAGTTTAAAGTTGAAATATCTGTTTCCAGAAATTAATTTTTGTTATTATATTTACAAAATTAAGGCAAACAATAACGCAATTTCTGAATGGAAAAATTCAAATAATTGAAAATTTGAATTACTACTTAAATTTAAAAATTCGGTAATTTAGTTCATTTTAAAGAATTCCTTTCCTCACTCAGATCTTGAATTCCAACTTACTTTTTTTAAATTAAAAATAAAAAATAAATTTTCAGACAAAAAATTAAGTTGTAATTCAAGATCTGAACGAGGAAAATCAATTCTTTAAAATGAATTAAAATTCCCAAATATCTTTAAATTTAAGCTTTTAATTCAAAATCTCTATTAAAATAAAATTTTATAAAAATCTTACAAAATTAAAAGCAACCGACTAGAAATTGTAATGATCAACCAAGAAAATTCACATCGATAATACAATTAAAGGTGAAAATGGAGCAATTTTAGAACAACTTAATTTGATTGCGTCCCCATTGAAAACTTGGAGCTCAAGGTAGACGATGTTGCACTCTGCAGGGGAGTTTTATCAGGCAGTCTGCAGCCAACTACTAGAAACTTCATCAGCGTGTGGGACAATTGAGTTGCTAGCCTATCTATTTCTCGGCGCGCCTCCGACCAATTGATTTGACCTCGTATAACGAAAGCATCCCTCTCGCAATAAAAGTCAACTGCACCGGCGAGTAATTAAACGGGCCGCGCCTGTCTGCGGTTGGGGTCCGTGCCGTTGATAATTGCAATTCAGGCAGCGCGTGGCGAAATAAAAATATGGAACGCTCGACTGGCGGGGCGCACTTTGATTCGATTCGCCGAGTAATTCGATTTGCGCCTTTGATCCGGCAGCACCCCCGTCAAATTGACGCCTGCACACTCGTGGGTGGCGCGCGGCGCCTTTGAAGGGATTTCATTTGGAATTATGCTCGCTCGCCACTCTAGTTGTGGGATTTTTTTCCATACAGAGCCCTGACTGTGATTTCCTGTCGGAGATTTTTCCTCGTCACCGCTGCTTTACGTTAAAATCATAATTTGTTAGCTAAATTTAAGAGAATTTTGTTTAAAAAAAGATACTGTTTAGTTAAATATGCTATATTTTTATGTTAATTATAATTTAAATTAATAAATTTATTAAATTTTATTCTTAATTTAGCATAACTTATTATAAATTTTCTTTATTTGAATTTTATATTTTTTCAATATAAATTAATATATTTTAAGATTTTAATCATAAACCATATATTTTTAACTTTATTTTCAAGAGAGAAAATAAAAATAAATAAATCTCTTTCGCATGGCGATAAAGATACAAAGCGTTTATGATAATTTAAATGATATCTCCATTTCTCCAGTTGTTCGTTGGTCTTTCATGCAAATGTATGTGAATTTAATTTTTATCGACGAGAAAAATAATAAATAATAGACTTATAAAACTCCATTCACGAATTCTAAATAATAATGGATTTCATTTACCTTTTTATTCCAGAATGTGATCCGTTTAGTGCTGTTTAGTTTGATAAACTGTTCATTCCTTCAGAGATTGAAAAAATATTGGTTTTATATTTATGTAGAATAACCAAAAAATATCATGTAAACAATGTCTGCTTCAGTCCAAATTGAGTGCCGACCTTTGCTCCTGACAAAAGGCCCTTTAAGGAATCGCATTAACGTTTCGCTCCAACGCAGCAAATTCCTCCCCAGCGCGTACTAAATTCTCGCATCCCGGCCGCTCTCGCATTATCGGTCAAGTAAGCCGAGTGAAAACTTGCGAAATTGGTGGATGTGCAGGAGAAAAGCAATCGCTCTCAGGATTGTTTGGCCGAGATGGAAGACCCGCCAGAGAGAAACCACTGCGGTCGAGAGGGCAAAACTTTTTGTTAATTAAAATTCACGACCGCATACGCGAGTGCAAAAAAAGTAAATATAGTGTCCCCGTGGTGAATATCAGGAATGTCCCATTAGTGGTGCTGCTTAGTCTCATTTCTCTCTCAAAACTCAACAAATTTCGTCCGCGTCTTTTAACTTCATTCAACCACCAAGCAACGAAAAAGAGTTTGCTGATTTTCCAACCTAACATTTTTCAATATGCTACTGTTCTCTTGTCTAACAAGAACAACTTGCTTATTTTATGTTTTAAATATTTTCACATTCAGATAAGCTTTTTTCAGATTAAAAGTACACAAAAAGATCAATTTTAGCCAATGCATTATATTTCTAAACGAAAATCCTGCATGTGTGATTTTTTGAATAAATTTTATCAAAATATGTGTCTTGAAACGGTTAATCTTTCAAAATAATTAATCAAATGTAGCAAAACAAGTTATTAGGTAGATATAAAGCTTTTCAAATAAAAATTGTAAATTTGAGTTTTACTGCAACTCTTTTTGAAATATTTTTTGAAAATTTTGAAATATAGTTATTTTAGATTCACCACGGCTCCTGTCTCTTTTAGTGTTATCATTATAGGAATTCTAGCGCAGACACCCTTTTTTTTAACGTTTTTCACAGTTTTTCAATTTCTATTTGACGGAAAAAACGTAGGAGATCTTTCCCATCTCTAAACAGTAATTTTTTAATTAATTTTGAACTTTTTATCTAACAGTTTGTAATAAATGTAAAATATTATGAAATGGTGTCACTTTTTGAAAGGGAAAAAATTGGTCCTGCCAAAGAGAGAACGAAAGTGTGAGTTTTTTTTTACATATTTGAGAGCATAGTCCATAAATCTCACTTGGCTGTGTTTACGGCGGACATGCGAATGTTTAGTTTGAAAATGCCTTTGAGCCTTGGTAATTTTATCTGCCCATTGCAGACGGCGCGAGTCGTATATTTTCTGAAGGGACACCACCACTATCAATACTCGAACACATCCATTCGTTTGCCATCTGCACGCTGTACGATGGATGTGTGCGGAAAGTCGCGATGATTTTTGCATTGTTTCAGCAGCTGCGGCCACAGATCAAAAAATCTAACACCGAGAGAGACGTTTTATTTGCTTCGGCGGTTGCGGCACGCGGCCAACAAAAAACGTCCCGTTTTTGGCACCACTTTCCATATCATCTCCCTCCTTTAACTTGCTGGAGCCGAGACAACGACCGTTATTATTAATAATAACTTTAAATCACGCCAACAACAACAACTTAATAACGCGGGCTAAATTCATTACGGCCTCCACTTCTCGCGCCTTTCGTATTTATCAGAGCAGCGTCTTCGCAAACAAGTTCGATTAAAACTTTGTCAGCTAACGCGCGCGCCGGGCAATTAATTTACTCGCGGATGACAGAATTTTTTCATTGTCCCGTCAAGGGGACGGAATAAAAGAGAATATATAAGAAAAGTAGCGCAGGGACTCTCTCAACAGGAATCAATACATTTTGAATTGAGATTTAATCTCCAATGGATGCTGCCCGGTGATATGAATGAAATAGGGGTTTTTGCCCTTTTGCGAAATCAAAGTCGCGGAAAATTGGGAATTTGGCAGAGAACAATTCTTTTCGCACGGAAGGCGAGGCCAAAGTTTCGCTTTCATTCTTACATAATAATTTATAACACTTCACTTCTTCTGGATCAAAAAATTCAAAAATGATAATCAATAATAACAAAATATAGTTATGAAATATTTAAAAAGCATGATCAAATTTTAATTCAAAATTTAAGTTTTAACATTTAAGTTTTCTAATTTTTGTAATATTGCAATGAGTTATGTATGAAATTTTATATTTTTTCTCATTCGATTGTGTGAATGATAAAATTGTGGTCTTACCTTGACTTGTCTGCATTTGCTCGCAGCAATGAGGCGCGACTTTTTCCTGAGCTGATCCAGTTGATGTCCGCTGCACTCGGTGCGTTTCAGCTGCAGCCGACGATGCAGGCCAGTGAGCTCCGGAGCCACCGTCCGACTGACTCCAGCCGCGAAACCGCCTCTCCAGCCGCCGGTCTCGTAGTTGCGCCGTCGGGGTACAGAACGCAGCACTGGGCGCGAGGGGTGTCTGGCGCCACCGTGGGCGCCACCCCTAACCCTCTCCCAGGATGAAAGAGCGCGTCGATGCACCCACTTTGTTTTCTTTTCATCCTTTGATGGATCGCTCTTTTGGAAAAAAATGAAATACTCTCCTTTATTATTACTAATTAATTATAAAAAAAATTAATAATAAATAATGTAATTATTAAAACTTTTACTGTTGAGATGCACTTATTTTGTCTTTTGAGTTTAAGGAAAGGGTTGAAAGACATCTTCATTTATTTTGTTTCCTCGTTCAAATGGCAAATAAATAGGTCTGCTAATGGGATGCTAATAGGTGGGAATTTCAATGTAGCTTCTGATCGCGGCGAGCTTGCTTTGCTCTCTGATAGTCCAATGCACTCTCCCACGCACCGACCAGTATTGAGCGGCGCGTGACGTCACTTTTAGCCGCAGCGCCGTGCCCTACTTGCAGTCAAAAGTAACAATTTAAATTTGACCACGGCCCTATTAAAAATTTTGGTATCAAAAACAATACACGTAGAAAATTACACGAATTTTAGGTACTTGCAAAAAAAAATTATAAAATAGAAAAATTCATTTATCAGTGGATCGGAGAGCAAATTTTTCAAAAGAATATTTTTTCCTTGTTTCTTTCCTGTAAATTGAATATTTTTTGTAGGAGTTAAGAAAATATTGGTCAAAAACGCCCACATTGCATTGCACTGGTGCCTTATTTTATGGAATAAAGGGGCGCCTGCGTATGGCGAAGTAAAGTGGCGCTTCTGCCGCTATCGATTGCGCGAGCGGCGATTGCAAGTATCTTGGTGTGCCGTACTTGACTTGTACTGCTTTATCAATACTCCCCCAGAGCAGCTCCAAAATCACCCAGCTGCAATTAAAAATCAGCAGACAACATGTAAGTATTCGCAGTGCCCGCGGAACGGCCCCCCGTTCCGACGGGGGGCGCCGACTCTCCGCAGACCACTTTTGGTGTGGGTCGATTTTCATAACGTCGGCCTGGCTCGGCACTCGCCACCTTGCCCTCAATAAAATCCGTTCAAATCTCTCCACAAGTCGATACGAGGCCCCTTTCCTTGGCGAAAATATTCCCGAGGGGGTTTGTTCTCGGTGCTTAAATTATCGACTGGTTGCTCGCAGGGATTAATTGCCGTCCCTGGCGGAAAGAGCAAAATGTAGGTGTCGAATGATGGAGGCGCTCATTTTTACGTGGGCGATCCTCCCTTGATTGATTTGCCTTCCCGTGCCTTTCCCGTTTTGCACTTTGTTTTCGCGAACAACAAAGTGTGTGAACGAAAATAGCCCCGTCACATAATGGCCTCGTACCCGCCCTGTGTATTATTATTGACATCGAAAACAAGCCTCTTTGACATTTGCAAAGGACGCCCGAATTAGGCCATCCAGTCTCGGAATCAAACCCCAGTCTGCCAGACGTGATTACAGGGTGGCGCAAATTGAATAAAAGGCCAAACAAATCAGTCTGGTTAACGTCTTTTGTGACATGTGATCTCTTGCAGGGCATCTGGAGCTCCCCCAAACGGCCCTCCCATGGTCCTCGAACCCCAAATAGGCCCCGACGGGGAGCCCATCGGAGGACCAAGGACGCCCCAACAGATTGCCGCGCAGAAAAGGCTGCAGCAGACGCAGGCACAAGTTGATGAGGTGAGCCCTTTCATTACGCTAATTCATAAATCAAATTAAGCGAACAAGGAAGTAAATAAATTCATAAATAAATTCATTCAGTTCTGGAACGAGGAAAATGTTAAATTTTCCAGAGGCATAAACTAACACAGCTCAGTAATTTCACGCTGGCTACAATACTCTGACTAATTTTTTTTTATTTTTTGCGAAATCTTTTATTTTTAAACCTTAAAAGTGCGTCTTTGTGGCGTGAGCTTATTCAATCTGCAACCGGTGCGTCACGGCTGTCCTGCGAGTTGCATAACTCCGTTAATTGCAGGCGCTCGGCTCTAATTAATTGTGAAAGCTGCAATTGCGCGCAATAAATTTTGTGTTTTGTTGATCATGGCAGGTGGTTGATATCATGAAGACCAATGTGGAGAAGGTGCTGGAGCGTGATCAGAAACTTTCAGAGCTTGACGACAGAGCGGGTAACAAATCTTATAATTAATTCTGTTGCTGCGATTTTGACTTATGTCCCACGACAGATGCGCTGCAACAAGGAGCCTCGCAGTTTGAACAGCAAGCAGGAAAGCTCAAGAGGAAATTCTGGCTGCAAAATTTGAAGGTTGGAGATAAATTTTTATAATATGAATAAATTTTATTAAAAAAATTGTACTTTTTTAGATGATGATTATTATGGGAGTCATTGGCCTCGTGATTATTGCGATCCTCGTGTGTAAGTACAACTTTAATTATCTCCCATCTTCATTTTCTTAAATTAAATTGCAATTCAAAAATAACTGCTTGAAAGCAGTTACTTGCTGACATTACAACCAAAAAGCTAAAAGCGTCAAATAACAGTCGTTGACAGGTTTCCTCTGAAGAGATATCTTTTGTAAGATTTCGCTCATTTATCTCATCCCACTCGTACCGAAGCTGAAAAAAATAATAATAATAATCTGACGTGCCCATTTCGCCGTTTGTCTCTCACTTTCAGCTAACTTCATGTAAGAGCACACTGGTTGCAAAATCGAGGCCGTGAAAAATCTTACTCCTCCATATCTACAGGCAGGTTAGCAGCGTGTTAGATCGCTGTGTATCTGTCGTGTTTCTGCAGCCCAGGCCATTTCCGCGCAAAAATTTGTCAAATTTTACATCAAACAAAACTTTCGAAAAATAATCAAAGAGAAAATGTTCTGGGCTGCGTCAATGTTCCGACCTTAAATTACAAATTCCTAACTGTGGTTTTTAGTAACTTCCGTGTTTATTATATCTTTGAAAAAAAAACTTTTATAAATGTCAGTGTTTTATAATTCTAGTACAATAAAACTCCTTATTTAGTTTCTGAATATTTTTTCACGCAGGGGACTTTTTTGCATGCCTTTTTGGAATGTCGTTTGATGCATGTACCCTTGAAAGCAACTTTGTCGCAGATTAGTTAATTGGCAGTAAAATTCAGATTTGATATTATTATAGGAGGCTTTAATTGTTTATTTCTCTCGTCCACAGCTTGAGTTTGATGCCACCTGTGTTTGAAAAGGTCCAGAGTCAGATATATATATTTTTATTCTAATTAATGTTTGTGTGTTTATGTTTGTTGCACTCATAAAATTGGCGTCTTGTATAACGTGGTTGATGAGCCTCGCATTAGTTTATTAGAGCGGAATTAATTTGCAAACAACACTGCATGATGTGGAAAAGTAGAGTAGCCGTGTGCGTTTTAATGTTGTTGTTGATGAATTACTGGGTGTTAATATGGACTCTGGAGAAAAAATATGTAAAAAATTAGTTCAATGCATCTGATACAAAACTTCCCAACAAGTTTTGCTATACACGATTTTGGACATACTATTCGAGAAATGCATGACACGATTTTGATCTGCTGCTGCTTCTTGGCTTTGTGGAGAATTTGTTCTCAGCTCTTTGAAGACCAACCCTTCTCTCTTTATATATGATATACGATATATTTCATAATGGATTTCATTCACCAGTAGAACCACACACATTAGCTACCCACACGTTCATCCTTTGAGATTTTGTAACATACTCAAGTGGCGGTGCCAACTTCACTCTAAGAAACTGCTCCAAGGCGATGAACGTGTTTTAGTATAGCATCTTGTCAAAATTATTATTGCACACTGAAACATCACCATACCATTCTATCACACACTCTATATTCCTATTATATTGTTGTGCATTTCTTTACTCATTATTATTTTCTCTGTCCCCACAGGTACATAAAAAATTCTTTTAATTAATTTCTATAGACAAAACTCTCTATCTCTCTCTTCCGAACAGACACACTTCTTCTTTACCAAAAACGATGAACTTCTACTACAACCCTGCTAACAAATTGGTTTTCTACTCTCCCTCGAACTCCGTTTGACACTATTATATATTTGACCAGGCAAACTTTACCCCCTCTCTTCTTACTGAAATTTATAGCAGCTCTCTAGAGTGTCTCAAACGATTCATACCGAGACTTTGGGTTTCCTTGCAGCAGACCAAAAAAAAAAGAGAAACTACTATCAGAGTCTGTAATACATAAAACTCTTCGTGTTGGTTGTAATGTTGGTTTCTTTTGTTAATATTCTGTGAAAGTAGCTGTATATTTGGGTGATCTTCAGGAAATTCTGTTGATTTTGGCGCTCAACTTTGGCGTCAAATGATGCTGTACTTGTATTTAATTGGCTAAATGTATATTTTGTAAAATTTGTGTTTTCTCTCAAGTTGGCAAAATCCATATTTTTTTGCAAAGAAAAAATTAAATTTCCTGGCATTATTTAAAGATTGAGTGGATTTTGCCAAGTGCGATTTTACTGATGGTCAATGTGCTGATTTGACGCTTTTCGTGTTTTAGCCAAGTTCATGCCCGATCAGCCTCAGCAGCCCGGCTACCCACCTGGCATGTACCCACCCATGCAAATGCCTCCAGTCCAACAAGCACCAGCAGTAGCAGCAGCAGCGGCCCCAGCCGCAGCCCCTACCAAGGGCGCCTAATCGCAGACACAGACCTCTATCCACTTTAATTCATTTTACTGCGTGGTTTCTATTATTGTATCAATGTCTCGACCACATGTACAACCAATTACCACCGAACCCTTGGGTCTGTATCTGTGAAAAAGGAAGAAAAATTAACTCGGCCGCTCTCCTTCACTGTCGTTGGTAGCCACATTTTCCTCCAAATTCTAGACCCGGGCATGAAAAAAAGATCTCTCTAATAAATTCAATAAAACTAGTTGTTTACTGAGCAAAATTTACGAAAAGAAGAAGTCATCAACACCACTTATAAAAATACCCAGAAAATTGTGTGTTTTTGTGTACATTTTTGACGGAATATGTGCGCCGAGTCGGCTTTCAGAGCGCCGACTTTGCTCCATACAAGTCCCGCGTTTCCGCTCCCCGCGTGTCCAAATCGAATTTTGCAGTTCCGAGGAGTTCGGCCGTCAGTCAATTGGCCTAAGACTTAATATCTAAGAGTTGGGAAAGAGCAGCGCCGCACTTCTCGAAACGACATTTACAGCACGCTGGGGTGCGCGAAATAATTAAATACAATAAAAGAAACGGACTCCATCAGATGTGTACTTTTTGCACTGTGTAATTGAAACAATATGCGCAGGGGCCACTGGCGGCGTCGGGTCGGCCGAGCGCCGCGAGTCGGCCCGCAGGTTTATCGGTGTACTTATGAAAAAAGCGAAATAAAATGAGACTCATTCTGTACAATAGGTGAATGAATGTAGAGTCTGTAGAGACTTTGATTATCAAGGATGTAATCACAGAGCGTCACTGAATGTTGCATAATTCATTAATTCCGTTATGGCCCGAATGATAATACACAACACACACGAGCTGATTGAATCCTTATTGTTTGCCGTTTTTTGTATTCCTCGATTTGCCTGACGAGAAAAACATATAAAATGTGTGTGTACTTAAATATAATTACCATGATTAAAAGTTTAATAGTCTTGAGGGTCTTAAGGGAAGACTCGTTGTTGTATAATAAGGAGCGAGAGCAAGTTATATATATATTTAAAAAAAAAAGAAGGAACAATTACATGTACACACCACTATAATACCGATTTTCAACTTGGATAATTTTCTTGTTTGGTGCGGTTCACAGCTCTTCAACGACGCTATGTAAAACTATTCAGGCGCACTGTGCTGTTATCACGAGGTACATTTATTACAATGTTGACTATTTAAAAGATGTGTATATCACTAGGGTATTATTCCGTTAGACAACACACACGCTGCAGGTAATGAATTACACACTAAAAACTTAAATTCGTGGCGGCAGGTGAGATTTTAAATTTAAAAAAGAATGAAAACGTCTCTTTAAGAGCAGTTTGACTATTTGAGGGAAAAGAGTGTAACAGACACAACCACACACGCTGTAAATTATAAATATATACAAGACCGACGACGCATGTAGGTAACGAGAATTAATAAATCAACAAATACAGAGACACATAATGGGCGCTATATCATGTTACCATCATGTTACATTACCATAATAGGCTTATTAACTATTATTGGATTCATTCATTTGTGCTGCCCCTTATTATTATATTATTGATTACTATTATTATCGATTAAATAATGTAAATGAGATATATAACAATAAAACCAGAACATAATATATCACTCCCTTTTGTCTTATTATTTCGTCAATTTGAAACACCAATTATATATAATATTTTATTTAATATTTCTTCTCTGAAAAATTCGAGAGAAAAAAATCAGTGCAGTTGTATAGGCAACTTGCGCGACTTTCATGAAGACCAGGTTGCCTACTTTAGTATGCTGAATATTTTAGCCCACAAAAATTGAGACGTAAATGACTTTAAGCAGCAGGAGTAGCTCTGAAACGAGTTAATAAAACTTGCTATCAACGTTCTTCTCGACGATTTGAGGTGGAAACTGCGCTGAAATAGACGAAATTGGGCAGTAACAAGTTTGTAATGAGGGCTGCTTAAACGCGCCGATCGTGGCTAAAAAGTGGGCGTGGCGAGAAATAAATAAGTGAGCAGCCGAGTCGCAGTCGCACAAAATAACTCGCAAAAAATAGAAAATTGGCATCTTTCTCGGGCCAGCAGCGCAAGCAGCATCCTTGCGCGGTGAACAACGAATTCTTAACTCGCGAATTTTCCATTTTTTGCGTCGTCCTGTCCGAAATCCGAGGCCCAGAGGCATGCAGAAATCGGTCCGGACGGATCTTGTCGATCGTCGCCCATCTCGACTGGCTGGGTAGGGGGTTCTTTGGACTACAATGCTCACGGACAATTTCCTCGTCCTGGCCCTGCTCTTTGTAATCCGTGAGGTAGTTAAAATTTTTCTATTTTTAGTTTATAAATTAATTGTGGTGTTGATCAAGGTGGAGGCGAAGTACTGCGCCTACGAAGTCAATGGCGAGACCAGATTTTATACGTAAGGATAACACTTTTCTATTTGTCCTTGAGCCCTGGATCTGTGCATATAATTTATTATTGAATTAATTCCAAAGGTGTCCGAGAACGGAATATTGCTGCAACTTTGGATGCTGCGTTTCGCCTGCATTCCAGTTTTATCAGCTGTGGTACTATTGGTGAGATTAAGGATATTTTTTTTAAATAAATTTATTTTATTTTATTTAAATCAGGTTATTGGTGATATTCATGTTCTTGCTGTGCTCGGGCGGAGGATGGTGGTACCGTTGCTGGCTCAGGAATCGATTTCCAGAAACGCAAACCTCGGTGACTCGGACCAGCACAAACAACTCAATGGCCCTTTCCCGCAGGCCAGCCATTTTAACCAGATCTCGTCCCTCATCGATGGCTGTGCCCGCAGGGGACAACCTCACACCTCAGGGAGGACAGTTTCAAGTGGCAAGGGTCAGCTACAGCTCATCTGGTGACAGACTGATTCTGCACAGACTATGGAAAGGTTCGGAGTAATTTCAAGAGCAAACTTAAAATTTTTATTGAAATCCTTATAAATTTTAAGTAATTTAAAACATTTATTTTTTCAGATTCCAGAGGAGCAATTCACCACTTGGACAGTCCGCCCTCGTACACCACCGCTCGTGCTGACCCCGTCCTAGTACCCCAAACAGCCGGGGGCATGCAGTTGATGAATCCGTACATTTTGTACGGCCCTCCGCCCAGCTACGAGTCGGTCATGCAGCAAGACCAGGCCGGGCCCTCAGGCACCCACCTGCTGGTGGCGCCCCTGTCGGAAGCGACCAGCTCTCAGGATAGCTGTCCCTCCTCACAGGTGCCCTCACCCATGACACCAACAAGCCATCAGGAGGCGTGTTCGCCCACCTCCGAGGACGACCAAGGGCCTCAGACCTTGCACCAGGCGTCCCAGACGGCGACCAGCCCCGTCTCGAGTCCCACAGCACTGTGATTATGTACGCGGACACTAATTTCTTCTTAGCTCTTTCATTTGTTATATCATCGACTGGATGGGATGGCCTCTTCTCTAGTACTTGCGCACAACGACTAGTCTGTCCTGTTAAGAATTTTGCCTAAACGTTTACAGAATCTGACTTGTTGGCAGAGAAAAAACTGCTCAGTGGCAAAAAATAATCTTACAGTATTTTTTTATTATTATTATTATTTCATCAATTCAGTCGCGTCATCTCTTGCACTATTCGCAACTTCACCATTTGTACATGGTGCCTGAGGTCGGAGCTTCTTTTGCTCTGGCTTCTCAAATTTGGCTCTAATATTTAAAACACAAGCATTTGTACAATGAATCTAGTATTTTAGGTGGCTATTCGGAATAATGGAATCTTCAAGCACGTTGAAACGGGCGATGTGATTTTATCGTGCTCTCGTTTACAAATTTAAATTAATTCCACTTTGCTCTTCGGTGCCTCTCACTGTAATTTATGCAACGCAACTTATTCAACTGTACCTTAATAATTATTGCTGTTTTACTGATAATCTTTCATTGGGGGGCGCAATCCCTTAAAATCTGCCTCAGTGAATTCAAAACTGTATTTAGCTCAATATATTGGCGTTCGTTTTAATCAAGATGGATATTAAGGGATAAATCCTCGACAACTATTGGTTTTTAAAGCGTTAAGGACTAATGATAAAATTGTTGAAATCAAAACGTTCGCATCGAGCAGCCGCTTTTTAACATTTTGCATCTGTATGACTGGGGAACAATTATTATGCCGAGCTGCGAGAATCAATCAAAAGACAAAGAAGAAGTTTACAAACGCTGTTGAATGTGTGCAAGGCAACCATCAAATCATTATGTAAATCTAATACCCTTTATGTAGTTGTAAGACGCTGCTGTATTACTGTAACGGGTGTAAAGGTCGTAAAAATCAATTGTAAAGGGTGGTTAAATTGTAAAGTGGAAAGGTTAATAATTTATTCAATCGACAACTGCAACGGTAAATGTCGCGTTTCAAGTTAAAAAGGTACCGTTATTATCGCTCTGTATTGGAAACACGCACACACATGTCTCCTTCTCAGTTTTTCACTTTTTCGCTGATTAAAAATTTACGCTCTGCCGTCATTTTGCTATTCTGCAAATTGGTTTCTGAATCTAAGAAATCTCTTATTGTTATATTTCTGTTTTGAAATAAGATGTCTTCCAATTTAATTGAAAAAGAAAGTTTAAATCTTGATGGTTTATTTTCTAATTATTTTTAAAGTTTTCGATTAGTTTTGTTGGAAAAAGTCTAGTCAAGACATCCACATATTTTATTGTATTGAGCATTCCACCGAGAAATTTTAGCTCTGATTTTGTACATGTATGTGCATGCTAAGCTAGTCTGAATTGATGTGCACAAATTATATTTTGTTCAGAAAATCTCTTCTGTTTCATTCCCTGCAGGGGTCACTGTCCTGTTCTCTTTTAATATGCAAATTCCTAAATCCAGTTTCTTCAGTAAAATTCATTGAGTTGTCAAGCGGGTTCATCAAAAAGTGATAATATATGGGCGAAGCGCCTTGTCGTCTCGCTCAGCAAGCCTGATGTAGTAATTACAATAAACCTGCACTAATCGATCTCAAGCGCAGTAATACGCCGTAATAATGGAAAATATATATATAAATTATTATATACTATTGTGACACTATTTTGAATTGGTATTTTTCCATTGGATTCCTAATCATTTTAGGTCTATGGTTTTATAGATTTCATCACTTAGAAATTTTAAAATTGACTTAATTATTTTAGTTCATTATAAAAATAGTTGAAAGCTGTATTTAAAAAATTTCGCTCTGCTTAATAATCCAGAACTAAATTTAAAATAAGTTTAAAAAAAACATTTTCTTCCAAAGTTAACAATTTTTCAAAATTAAATGGCTTTTTTCTGAAAAAGAAAAATATGAATAATATTGATTTCCATAAAACAATATTCGTCATGAAAATTAATTAAATGCGCGCAACAAAAATAATAAAATATTGATCTCGTTGTGAGGATGATGCTTGCGACCACCTCCATCTACGATATGACCAGTTTGGTGACGACACCTCTACCTGAACGCAGGGTCGCTGGCTGCTATAAAAGGGACCTCTCAGATTCTTGACGAGCAGTTCGTCGACGGAATAAAAAATTGCACGATGGTGCTGAGAGAATACAGATTGATCCTGCTGGCGCTGATTTTATTCGCTGGCAGCGCCAACGCGAAAATTTACGAGCGCTGCGAACTGGCCAAAGAGCTCAGGGATCGGCTGCGTGTGCCTGCGGAGCAACTCGCAACCTGGGTTTGCATTGCAGATCACGAGTCGCGGTTCAACACTTCCATAATCGGCACCCTCGCTGAAGGGAAGGACCACGGACTCTTTCAAATCAGCGACCTGTTCTGGTGTGAAACGGTAAAAAAAAACAAATGCTTTTAAATTTAAATGAAAAATAATTTTCTTGTAGGATAGTAATTAAAATTAAATTTTATAAATAAGGGTCGAAAAAAATTCATTAGAAGCAAGACATCAGGATTCAAAAATTAAAACATTCTTCCAGATAAATTAATTTTTGGAATTCAATCTTGCATTTAAATGTCAAATTAGTTTTTTCAAAAATAAAAATATAATTAAAAAAAAGTTTATTTTGATGTCAAAAATGTATTAAGAAAATTAGATATTTGTGTTTGATATTTGTCCGTTGTCCGTTTTGCATTATATTATAAATTAACAATTTTCGTAAAAAAAAAAATATTAACATTTTGCGACGCAAGTTAAAAAAAGTAAGTGAATATCCAGGTCCAGAACAAAGTTGATTGCTTTTAAGAAGAAATAGCGATTACACAATTCTTTTTTTATATATTGTGATAAATTTTAGGGTGACATAGGGGGTGCGTGTGGCTTGGACTGCAACTCGCTTCTAGACGACGACATCCGAGACGACTACACCTGCGCCCGCAGGATATTCCGAGCACACCAAGGTCTTCAGGGTGACGGGTTCAGGGCGTGGGCCGTGTACGGACCCCACTGCTCAAGCGGACGAGCGGCCAACGAAGCGAAATACACGAATGACTGCTTCGAGGCGCCCGAGGTAGCCCAGGACGCGGAAGGCACCTTTGCCGTTCAGCAGCGTGTGCAAATTGCTCATCAACCTGCCCACTTGACTTGGCTCTTCCCAGGCTATCCCTATTACCACCAAGTTCAATACTATGGACGATAGCAGTTGTAAAGAAGAAAAAATAATAAAAGTATTTTAAATTAAGAAAAAAAAAAAGTTTCAAAGGAAATGAATACCCTGATCTAATAAATTACTCAGCATGGAAACTTTCGCACCGTAAGCAGAAATTATTTTTAATAACAAAGCATTACTTAATGTGCAGTTTATTTTGTTAATTCAGTATGTATAGCCATATTATTAAAAATGCGGCTTATTTTATGGCCACTGCTGCTTTTCACTTTGACTTGTTTAACCCTTGCCACGAGATACACCGCTCCTCCGACGCAGCGCATCCAGAGGAAACTGTTGGAAGATTTGGTGAAAAACTATAACACGACTTTTCTGTGCGAAATCGAAAAGTTGGACTGGCGTGACTTTGCCGATTTCCCGATTGTGGTGACGACGATAGGCGACGACTACTTTTACCAGCGATGCATCCAAGTGGAGCGTTTTCCCAGGCACGGAACTTTTGACTCGGACTGCAGGAAGTGTTTGGACGTGATGAACCTCTACAGGAGATTCTTCCACCACAAAGGACCGTTTCTTCTCTACTACGGAGAGATGAAGAAATTGACAGTTGCGCAAGGAGTAGACTGCAGTTTTTACTTTTAATCAAAGGCAAGTTCTGCGTATTGAAATATTAATTAAGCTTGCGGTCTTTTAATAATACTTGAATGATACAAAATAAAGACATAATTAAACTATTATCCACATAAAAATTATTTAGCATGTAGCCTCGTTTTCAACATTTCTTGGTTTGCTCTAACACAGTCGAATGAATTATTGTTCTCTGAATGCAATCCAGGACAAAAAGCAATAATCTCCATTAACTAATTTTATACAGCTCAGTTTAAGTAAAATTATCTTAAAGAATAGTTCCGTTAAATATGCAAAAAGACTAAAATATATTGAAAGAAAACGCCGGCCGACGCAAATAAGCACTTTCCATTTTCCTTGTAAATTTCACGGGTACTCACTTAGATCATAATTTTGGTGCTGCTTGCAGCTTTCACGGCGCAGGAGGTTTTGCAGTGGTCGTGGTTGGGGCGACCGTCGTCGTGGGAGTCGGACTTGAAGAAGCAACACATTCACCCCAACCGAAGCCTCCACAGGCCAGAGAAATGATGATGTAGATAATAAACTGATAATTGAAGAGGAAAAAATTAAAAACGCTAGTTAGGATTTAAATTTTGATTAAGTTTTCTTACCACAATAATAGCAGCAGAAATCAGGTACAGTTTCACATTCTTCCAGAACAATGCCCTGGACAAGTTGCGACTCGTCTTACGGAATGTAACAGACTAGAAAAGAATATAAAATAATTAAAATACTTTGAATTTAAACTTATAAAATCTTACATTGGCACTCAGGTTGTCTGTCTTGTTCACAAGAAGTTCCAGTCGTTCTCCTCTCATAGCCATGTTGTCTAAAAAAATGGAGTTTAATTTAAAAATTCAAAAAGATAATAGTAAATATTACCAATGTTCCTGACCATTATATCTTTCAGTTCATCCAACTCCCCGTGAACTCTTGAAATTGTATCAACATCACGAGACTCTGAATAGTGTTTCTAGGAAAATTTAAATAATCAAATTTCTGTTAAAAGAAATCCTTATTATAATTTTTCCACTTTACCATTTCATTGGCCAAGATTGGTGAAAATTCTGTGTTCATGGCGTAGGCAAGAGAGGTTTGGGCTCTTGAGCCGTAAGCAGCTTGGAATCTTCTTTTGATTTCACCAAGGTACAGAAAGGCCCTCGATCTTTCAAATTCCTATATAAAAATAGATTTTCAGTTTGTTAATTTTTTTTCCTCAAACGATTCACTAATTACATCATCGGTGATGCACATGTAAATGATCCTGTCCTCGCAAATATAGTGGAACAGGAAACTTCCATGTGAGTAGGTCAGCTTGGAGTCTTCGGGAGGGATTTTGGAGATGATCTGCTCTGTGACTTCGGAGAAGTTTCCAGGACACGACGCATACTTGGCCAGCACGGTGATGCCTCTGGCGACGACGCTGTACAAAATTGGCATGTTGACGCTGAAATTTAAAATTCACAACCACGATCAATACCAAAATTAGTAATTAATGTAAAAATAAACTAGAGTAAAATTAAGTCACAAACATAAAATGAAGATTGTGAAAAATATTGAAGTTTGATGTTGAAATCGAAATAAAATATAAAATGTCAACACACAAAAATTGCCATTGATAACAACCCACCCAAATTCAGGAGCCAAAATTCTCAAATTTCGGTGAAAATTGAAACTTTGAGCAGAGCTTTCAGTTGCGTGTTTACTTCGCAATTGTCAGGAGTCGAGTGATAGTCAGCTGACCTGTGACGTCATCTCAATTATACCACGAATGAACATGAGTCCTCAAGATACGCTCCAGCCAATCCCGGCCAGCTTGGAGAGTTGGCTCGAAAATTGAGTAGTTGGTGCATGAATGGTTTCGCTCAAGGAAATTAATAGTTGTGTATCAAATATCTCCGACGTGTCCTACAAATAATACAGGTGTTGTAAAGAAATTTAATCTTAACGGTTTTATAATAAAGTCGCATCGTATTAAATTTAACTTGTATAAAAAAGTGACACAAATAAAAATATGAAAAATATGTAGAAATTCAATTTCAAATTTTTATTATTTCTGAACAAAATTATTCACTTTTTCCTCTTTTTAATTTCCTCAGCCCCTGGTTTAATTTTATTCCTGTTCCTGTTCTTTACGTTGGTAACTTCGTAGAAGTTTGATCCAATCTTCCTGCGCTTCTGAGCCCTGTCCATCGCTCGACGATCTTTAGCTTTCAAATTTGTGTCAGACTCCCTCTTGCTAAGGGCAGACACTTTGAACTTTCCACTGGTTGTCTCTGTCTCTTCGCTTACTTCTTCGTCTTCACTGCTCTCGTTGTCATCTGCGACGGCAGCCTCTAAGTCTGGCATGTCCTCAGGTTTTAAAATTTCGTCAATGTCAATTTTCGGCGCTTTCTCTGCTGTAGGATCGTCATCTCCAACACTGTCAAAGTCAATGGCCAGTTTGATTTTGCCCAAGTCCTGCGAGACCTGAATGGGATTGGCCACGACCTTTTCATTTTCTTCTTCTTCTTTCACTTCAGTGGGGTTTTCCTCCTCTGCCTTGGGTTTCATTTCTTCCGCTTGCTCGGCATTCTCCTCTTTTGGAAGGGGAATTTCAAAGTCTTTAGGCGCAACATAGTAAGGAATTTTGCCCCTCTGAAGATCGTTCAGGACAATCCTGGCAACAGCATTCAAATCAGGTTCACCCTTTTTCAGCAGCTTGCCCATTTTCCTGGCTAGATTTTCTAAAAACTCCTCGTCATTTTCCCAATCTTTAATCTGGTATGTTTTGACCAGGTACTCCTTTCGTACCTTCTCCAATACAGCACTGATGTAAATTTCAGGGTCCTAAAATAAAAATAATTAAATTTCCAAACAGAATTATTAAAAAAAAAAATAACATGCCTGAACATTTTCCACTCTCACAACTCCCTTGAGAACTTTTTCGGCGTCAGTTTCCTCTGAAGGGTAAACAACCCCAGGACAGTCGACCAAATAAATCCTCCTCATCAAGGTAATGTACTGCCAGACTTTGGTCTCTCCAGCAATTGGTGCCACCTTGCACACCTTCTTGGACCTCAGGGTGTTGATGACTGAGCTCTTTCCAACATTTGGATAGCCGATGAGTCCGACGCTGATTTGCTTTTTGTCCGAGTGCAGTTTAGCAAACTGTCGGAGCAGGTTGATCAGGGTGCCTTTCCCATACGAGTGGTTCATGGAAGCGTGGAAGGCCACTGTGGGGTACTCGGCGCTCAGAAGAGCCACCCACCGCTGAGTGACCCACGTTGGCACCAAATCAACCTTGTTCAGGACAAAAACCAGGTGTTTGTGGGGCTTTTCCGTACGAAGGAACTTTTCGATGTGGCTGCTGCGAGTACCAGCTGGGTCTCTAGCATCCAGAACCTTGAAAAAGGGAATATATTAATAAATATTGAGATTTAATAAGAGTGCCAGGGTTGAGTTGAAATCATCTTTTTATAACAATGAAAAATCTAAAGATTTCTTAGGCATTTTTTAATAGAATGTTTTGTCAAATATTTTTGCTGTGTTGATATTAAATTTAACTTGCAAGTTAGAGAATTCAGCCACATTTAAAGTCGGTATTTTAATTTAAAATCAAGATTATGTGTTGATTAAATTTCCATTACTTGCAAAACCACATCCGAAGAGTCGATGACCTTGTAAAGCTCGTTCCAAATTCTTCTGCTCTGTCCAGCACCCATGATCCAATCCCTGGCCATGTTTTTTGTGGTGTTGGTGTCGTCCAAAACCAAATCGTAGTCCGACTCCTTCTTTTCCTCTTCGTACTTCTCGATGACCTCGGTTGCAGCTGCCACCATAGAGTCCAGACTGCAGTGGGAGATTCCAGGTCTCTTCCTGGTCTTCTTTGGACCGAAGACACTTTCAAAGCTTTGGGTGTCCAAGACATGGACCCTGCCAACTTTCTTGCTGTCGCTCAACAGACTGACAGGCAAATTGGTCGGCTTCATCACCATTTGGTAGGGGTTCTTCATCACAGCACCCAGCTCCTTTTGGAAAGTTTGAAGTGCAGACTGGGTGACCACCCGAGAGTTACCAAACCACATTTGATTGGGCTCCACTCTGTAAAATATTTAATTTTAAATAAAAAAGATAAAATTTTAGAAAAATCCAAATTACCTGGCCATGGAACCTGAGGGCAGCCATCCTTGGAAAGGGGCAGGACGGACGATTTTTCCTCCTCTGTCTCTCTTTGGCTTGAAATTTCTGTACATCTGCAAACGCTTGATGGTCGATTTGTCTCGGGGTTTGGCCACCCCTTTCAAGCCTTCCGTCGGCCTGTCCGGGTTCATGCTGTGCTTGGATCTGTTGAAACCCTCCCTCACCTTCATCGTCTTTACAGCTCTGAACTTCCCCCTGCAAAGTAAAATCACATAATTACAATATTAAAATAAAAATTATAAAAACACGCTGTCTGTAAAAGTACATAAAAATACATTTATGTGTAATGTAATCCTTACATTTTGAAAAATTTTCTGGTAAATCTAGCAAAAGCGATGAGAGCTTTAAAAGATGGTTATGGATCCAAGCTTTCAGTAGAAATTCTTCCTTATCCGCTGCAATTGAAATAGCCTTTGTTTCCGAATTTGATAAAAATTCACGACACACGTGTTCAACTCCGGTGTTTTTGTTTATTTTCGAAGCAGGATCGTAGTTCAGTTTTTTAACACTAGATGACCATCATTGGTCGCATTGTGTAAAGAATCGGAGCTTGAATCGGAGAGCGCGCGAAAAAGGAGAGCGTATATGCTCTCGGCGTGCTCGTGGAAATTCTTATTTTTCCAGCGGAAAAAGGCAGCGAAGCTTCTTCTAGCAGTTCCTAAAGGTATAAATACCCTTGCTGGGTATATGTTAGCTCAATTGAGGGACTACTGGTCTTCCACTGCCTTGAAATTTCATTATGTCATCGTTCCGCAGGGCCCGAGAATTTGTCAACAGCCAAAATGGTCGTCATCAAGCCACTCAACGACGAACAACAGAACAGATCGGCCGGCAAGGTCCGCCACGTAACTGGGACTGGGCCCGAGGCCCTGGTCCCGGTGGTCTCCCAAGTCGTGGATCACAGGACGAGCCGCCATGGGTACGTCGTCTGCTCCACAAGATTGACTCCATGGGACGCCAAATGACTGCCATGCGTCGAACTATGACCACACTTCAAAATGAGGTGAAATTTCTTCGAGGTCAACACGAGCAGGTTGAACACTACGAGCAAGTGTACTACGAGCCCTGGCATCAACAGCAACTGCCGAAGCCACCACCACCCTTCTCAAAACCAAGTCATCGGTATTTGGAAACTTTTTGTGCTCCGTACACCACAGCTTTGAATGAGTACTTAGCAATTTTAAAGGCACAAAAAATGCATGATTTACAGTTTCCTGCCTCCCCGACTATTTTGCATGAGGTTGAGGGTGACTTAATATCTGCGTTCAAAAGAGGTGAAATTGAGGTTCTAGTGCATGCCACACCTTCTGACATTGGCACAGGGCGAAGGAAAGGGTTTGCTGCCAAAATGGAAGAAGCTTGTCCATCAGATCCAACCACGTTTCCTCCGCTCCAATTCCGGGAACCTGGCACCATTGTGCAGCAATTTGACCCTGTTACCAAGACCCTGATTTTACATCTAAACACAAAGTATCACAGATATGATAAGCTAGCCCACAATCCTGATAAATTTGTGGCTAACTATGTGACTGCTTTCAAATCTCTGCATGAATTTTGCATGGCAAATAAGATCTTTAAATTTTCGATGCCTCGCATAGGATGTAGCATGGATCACCTAGAATATGCCTTTGTCAAGTACAAATTCTTGGAAATTTTTTTCTGATACACAATTTGAAATTTCAGTCTTCTCATTACCACGAAAGCGAAGACAGATTTCTGCAGTTGTGCCTCCAAATACTACACCAACTCAGTGTGCAGACATCATTGAAGTCCTGGTTGATGTTCATCGTCCTCCGCCAGAGCCCAGGGTACCCTCTGAACCAAGCAAAGTTGTGAAGGATGCGATGGTGGTCCCAGTTGACAACCAGAATCATCCCCTGCCTGCTCAGGTTGGTACCACTACAACAGCAGACCAGCCTCAAAACCAAAATTCAGGCAAAGAAGGTCTTGAAGTTTTAGCTGTTGCAGCGCACGCCATGCAAGCACTGGAATCTATTGAGTTGGACCCAGATTTTGTTGGCGGAAACTCTGAAAGCTCAAGACTGCAAGTGGAGGGCGTTGGTTCTCCATCACCAACGACAACCACCCCATCACCACCCTCTCAAGCGTTGCATCCAACTGAGACTGAGACCTCTACTTCAAGACGCAACTTGGCCTTTAAGCCTCCACCTCCACCCACGCCCTCTCCGAACAAGATTTCTACAAGAAGTAAAAAGAATCAAACTTTATAAGTGGGCCCCGACATGATCAACAAATTTCAGTTGTTTTGTGGAACTGTGAAGGATTAGAAAGTGCAATTGAAAAGATCCCTAATACACGCATTTATTTCAAATCTGACATTCTGGTGTTTTGCGAAACGTTCTTACAAAATGGTAAAAATTTTGAAATCCCGGGATTTTATAGTTATCACCAGTATGCAACCCAAATGGGTGGAAATAAATGGAGAAGAGGAATAAGCTGCTTTGTAAAACCACATGTGGGAAAATTTGTTAAATTGGAGCAGACCGACGAATGTCTGCTAGTTTTTCTTGACACAATTATACTCGCTTGTTTTTACTGCCCACCACAGACTCAAACTGCTACCTTCAAGTCTGTTCTCTTAGACGCCTTTCAATTTGTACAGTCTGATATGAATCTTGTAGTTCTAGGAGATTTTAATGCTCGTATTGATCCAACAGGAGTTGCGCGTAGCAAAAAGACTGATATATTGATAGAGACTCTGGCAGCTCTTGATTTAACTTTGGCTAATGATCCACATGATCTAACATTCATAAGCGGGCCAGGTTGCTCAACAATTGATTTATTGTTCTTTGATAAATATTATATTGAACTGATCTCATGCGAGACCATGGAATGCATTGAAAGTTGTAAGCATATCCCTGTTAAAGCAAAATTACAGATACGTAACACACCAGAGTCTGAGCCTATTGATAATTCTAAACCAGTTTATAAAGTTAATGAAGATAAATTTGAGATACTTTTTAAGGATCATTTTGATTATTTTATGCAGTTACTAGACAACAATCAAATAGATGAGACTTACAATTTAATACTTGAATTAGTACAATCCTCTGCCGCAGACAAATGTAAAAATACCCGTACTGCGGAACCATGGTATAATAGTGACTGCCTTTTGAAAAATAAGCATCTTATGTCAATGAAACACCAATTAAATGACATTGAGTATGTAATCGCTGTAAGTACACACAATGCCCTTCTTGAAGAAGCAAATGATGCAATGTTTGAAAAACGAACTCTGCTAAATGAAATTTCCATAGCAAAATCAGAGTATAGAGCATTATGTTCGGAGTCAAAAACTTTGTTTAACCGCAAACAAGAGGAGAAACTTATTGCAGAGGCAGAAAAGACTCCGTACCTTATATTGAGAAACACGAAGGCAAAGAAAACATCGTCGATTATATCTATGGATAACTGGGTGCAGCATTTCTCAAATATTCTCAATCTAGAAAATTTAGCTGAGCATGATTCGCTGCACCTAGAAAACTTATTAAAAGATTACGAACCGTCTGTCCCCTTCATTCCATTTATGGATGCTGAAATTCTGCTTTCTATATCAAAATTGAAAAATGGCAAGGCGCCTGGGCCGGATAAAATGTTAAATGAGCATATAAAATTGATTGCAAAATGTAATATGGTTCCTGTAATTACCAAACTGTTCAACAAGTGTGTTGAGTTAAAACGAATTCCTGAGAAATGGAGGATCTCAAATTTAAACTTGCTGTATAAAGGCCAAGGTGATAAGACTGATGTAAATAACTTTCAAGGTATTGCGCTGAGTAATGTACTGTTCAAACTTCTTGACAAGGTAGTTACTTGTAGAATCTTTTCCGAGTTGAAAAATGTAATACCCACAGAACAGTTTGGTTACGTACCTGGACGAGGCGCAATTCCAGCAGTGCACAAATTACATGATAGGATTGTACAAGAGGTTCATGTGAACAATTCGCCAGTCTATGCCGTATTCGTAGATTACCAAAAAGCCTTTGATTCGGTAAACAGGCGAAAACTTTTTCAAAAACTTGTGGACCAAAAAGTGTTTCCGCAGAAATTACTCAATTTAATTGCAGTTCTGCTGGACGTAAACTTCTTGTCAATTTTTAATGGTGTAGAAAATTCACAAATTTTTGTTCAGAGTAATGGAACTTTGCAAGGAGGTTCCTCCTCTCCATTATATTACATTTTTTACACACATGATTTAAATCAATCTCTAGCCTCTTTAAAGAATGATATATTTTTCTTAACGTTTGCCGATGACATATTGTTCTGCTTTCAAAAATTCTACATGCTTTGCAAACAGCGTTAAATAGGCTTATTACTTATTCTGATTCAAATGATTTGGTTGTCAATGCTGCAAAAACAGTGGCTGTAAAATTTAGGAAAGGAGGAAAAATTAAACAGACTGATAAACTTTTTTGTAAAGGTACCGAGATTCAATTTCAAAATTCATTTAAATATCTTGGTGTTATCCTCAATTATACTCCTAAATCTTTTGCAAAACATATTGAAGCAAAAACGCTCAAAGCAAATGTAGCTACTTTTGATATAAAACAATTGCGAAATTTGAGTGTGGATGCCGCAATCCGATTATTTTTTATTAAGGTAGCTCCGATCGCTAGTTACGGATTTTCAGTGATATGGCCCTATCTTACAAAAACTGATTATTTACATCTGAATATGGTTTTTGACACATATTTAAAACGAATGTTGTGTGTGCATAAATCCTCAAAAAATCGGATCATTCACTATTTGTTACATGTTGAGCCATTTGTCGGTTATTTGCAGGCTACGTTTAATCTCCCATATACTGCTGTTTTTGGTGAATTTTTATATGAACAAGAACAAAAAATTCTGTCATTGTCTCCAGATGTCGAATTTGTTCTTAATACTTTGCCGAATCGATGGCGGCAGCCTCTGCAAGAGGACCGTCATGTTTTCACTCGTATTCTTGTCCATGGATTTCATTATAAATTCTGTTCTAAAGCCGAATTTCATTTTGCCGAAAAAACATGTAAATGCAAATTTTGTTACCAATATTGTAGTCAATATCATTGTATTTTCTGCGAAATGTCGCCATTCTCTACACTTGCTGAAATAGCAGGTCATGTATATTAAAATTCACAGTCTCCCGCCACTGATTTTTAAGATGATTGTAATTTGACTGGCCACCGTTAGGTGGTGTTTTGTAGTTTATATAGTTGTAATTGTACGCAAAAGCGTTTAATAAAAGCATTATTATTAGGTCCGTGGGGAAATCTATATCATAATCTATATATTAGCGTCGATTTTAAATTACGAGTGTCAATTGAAGTTAAAGTAATATTTTTCGTCAGTTTTAAATTTCAAGTTATTTTCACTCATTTAGAACAGTACATACATAAATCCATTTCCTCCCTTCAATTTCCACCCTTTATAAGTTTATTTAAGTAAGTTTATACAGCACAGCAAATTACTTTTTTAGTCTTAGTCTGCAGCACAGCAGCAGCCATAAAGCAGATCAAAACAAAAATTTACAAGATTTCCATTTCCGCTCTCTACTACGTAAATTATTGTTTATTTTGGTACATTTTATTAGGGGAAAAAAGATAAAACAAACATATTCATTAAATGCAAGGCACAATAATTATGAGTGACAAAATTTAAATTATTATTAATTTAATTGTTAATATTTTAGCGCTCGAAAAATATTTTCAAATATTTTTAATTCTTCTCGTAATGTAATAAATTGTTTATTTATAATATTTTTTTAATTTTTCACGCAACATCATTTGAATTGTTTTTATTTGTAAATCTTAAATATCGGTAAATATACATTTTAAAATCAAATAATGTTATAAACACTCATTCAAATTTCAACAATCCAAAATTTTGAATTTGATTCTTGTGCAGTGTATTTGAAAATGTATAAATATAACGGTTTTCCTGCAACAATCATCTGTTGCATCCAACTCTCATTCAAAAACATCGTGGTTCAAACGCCGCACATTGAAAATTCTCAGAGATTTCAGAGAGCCGAAATTCAAGATGTGTGCGGGTTTATAGGACGATATTGAGACACAATGCGCGTCCTGAAAATCGCCAACTACCCCAGGACCCAGAGAAGTATGTGATAGTTGTTTAAATTTTTTACTTAAACTTCAGTTTGTTTGGAAATCTCTTTTCCAATTCCACCCCCGGTCTAACGACTTATGTATTTTGTTATTTTTGCACCTTTTTCTTTTCCGCTAAGTAATTCACTATTTACTTTTGTTCATTATTTTATCTGAGAAATAAATCAGAAAAGTTTAAAATATAATAAGATGCAAATTACTTTAGTACAAGGACCAAAATATTATAGTGTTTTTCACTTTTCACACAATTTTTTCCTTTTTTTTTAATATAAATTAAATTTACACTGATTTACACGATAAGATTATAAATATTAAATAATAAAATTTTAATAAAAATGTCAAAAATCCAGATATGTGATTGTTGCCGTTTGACAATTTTAAAATAACCGTTTTCCTGCAACACAGTCAACTTTCACATCAAACTTTTCAAAAACCGTTGAAGCAAAAGTTCTGAAGGAATAATTCCAGCAATATCGTTGACCAAAATCTGAAATTTATTCCATTTTGAGCAATTCGATGCGCATTCCAAAGGTCACCAGCTTATACTGACCCAGCACCTCCAGGTCCCTGACCAGTTTGACGCAGAACTGCATCAGATGAACAGTATGGTCGTGGCCCTATAACTTATATTTGAGAATTCAGCGAAAAAAGGGGACGTGAACTTTTTAGATTGGGTGTTTGTTTGTAAAAAAAAAAAAATAATAATAATTTTATGAATGAAAAGAAAATTTAAAGCATAAAAATTATGTTGTAGGTCGTTGTGCCACAATTTAGGAGGTCAAACGTCTGGCACAATCGAGGACCTGGCGGAAGTTTGACATATTCGAGTATCAAGTAAATGATGGAATTGTCAAACTGGATTGTTTTTCCCTCTCCGTCCAGTTCAGGATCGCCTCCCGAGACTTTGATTCTCTCCCCCTGAGTGTTGGATTTTTGGTGCTCGCTATCAACGGAAAAAAGCCAAGCATACACCTGAGTAAAAATCATATAAAAAGTTTACGTCGTTATCAATTATTATTATTCAGGGACCAGGGAGATGATCCCCAAGGTTGAACAGCTGCTGTCCCAAGGGCTTCCTGAGCTGCCGTGGGACTTGAAGACCAGAGAGCTGAATGCCAAGCTCCATGAAGTTGGAGTGGCTTTCGTTGATCTGGCGATCCAGAAGCAACAGTTGAAGAGGCGCTGCGACGAACTGGACAAATGGCAAGACCAACTGGATAGTCAGGAGAACTCGTTTAAAAACTCCAGGCTCCTGACCAGTACGACGCTGAACTGAGTCTCATGAATAGTTTGGTTGCTGCCCTGCTGCTTTTTGAGAATGCGGAGAAAAAAGGGGAAGTGAACTTTAATTTAGGTATGTTTAAAGCCATATATTATGTAATATGTTAAAAGAAAAAGTAATTTACAAATCTTAAAAATAAAATTTATGTACTGCAGCTCCAAAGGACATGATTGACCTGGTGAAGAATCTGGCAAAGTCAAGGCCGTGGAGTAGTTTTGTGACGGTGGACTACCCTGACAACACTAGAGTGGTGAAAATAGACGTGTTCCGACTGTCTCTCCAATTTACCATCGCATCCAGGGACCAGGGAGATGATCCCCAAGGTTGAACAGCTGCTGTCCCAAGGGCTTCCTGAGCTGCCGTGGGACATGAAAAAACGAGAACTCGATGCTAAGCTACAGGAAGTTGGAGTGGCTTTTGTTGATTTGGCGAGCCAGAGGCAACAGTTGAAGAGGCGCTGCGACGAACTGGACAAATGGCAAGACCAACTGGATAGTCAGGAGACCTCGTTTAAAAACCACGTCAAACGAGTCACCCAAGAGCTGCAGATTAAGCGTCAGAAGTCGGACAGTTGGACCAGGAAAAACAGGCCGCAATGTGCGATCAGCTCCGTTTCCAAATCAAGTTGTTGGCTGGCTGTGGTGACACTCACTGGCCAACTCCGTTTGAAGGACTGTGGCTGACCTGATCAAAGAAGATGAAGAACTCAGTGACAGGAAAGCAGATAAGGCACCTCGACAATCAGCTCAGCAGTAATCAAGTAGCCCTATAATTTGCTGTTTTGATTTGGCGCAAAAGTAAACCGCACTATGTATATATTTAACATAATTATATGAAATAAATTGTTTATTTTTATATGGATGGAAAATCGTACCTTGATCTCTTCTTAAAAAAAATATGCATTCATATCCGGTAATAATCCTTTGAAATTCGGCCAACTTTAAGTTTTAGATAAAAAATTAAGAAAAAACAAAAAACACCGGTTAGCAAAACAAAGAGCTAAGTTTTAACACCTCCTGGCGTACGTGTTTGGTTTTGGTGGCTGAACCAGAGACCAGGGGCTGATTTTGCTCTCAACTTAAAACTTAACTGTCCATTATTGTATTTTATCAACGATAAAACAGTCGTTTTTACGCAATGATTCCAAGAAAAGAAAGATTTGTTATTATGCCAATTGTTTTTGTTCCAACTCCAACTAACACCAACAAATGAACATATCAAATCAAAATCAAAATGAAACAAAACAAATATGTATTATCACTTTGCCGCCACCTATATTTGGCAGCACGAACTATGAAAATTTAAACCTAACAATAAATTATTATATTTTTGATTGTAATATTTTTCACGAATCGTTTTTAAAAATTGTCTAGAAAAATTTATGATCGTTATAAATTAAAAAAAATATAACAGTGATGAGCAATGCAGAGCAATGATAAATAATATTAATTATTTTCATAGCTCTGCAAAAGTTGGTGGCCTTTGGGCAGTCCTCGGGCATCATCTGCTGCGATCGCGGCGTTTTTGCGTTGCGGGTTGCGGCAAGCCGCAGTGCACTCGAAACAAAAATAAAATTTTCTTGATCTCGGTACGAAAACTAAAGGAAGCTGCAGAGGAAGCGAATTCTGGTCTCATCAGCCATGTGAATTCACATTCCATCAACGAATCTAAGGAGAGACAGCGTTCGAAGCAAAACGCCAGAGAGTTGTGCGTCGTCGTACATAGAAAGAAAGCGAAGTCCGCTTGCCATAAACAAAAACCTTAACTCGATGTTTGGTTGCCTTTTTGGAATTATTCTCTCCGGAGGTAGGACTTCTGTTCGTCGAAATTCACAAATATCACAAATATCTTCCTTGCTCTGACACATTTCTGCATTTGTATCAGTTGTTTTTCGATATATCTCTCCGTATCTTTCACTACATAATGCATTAAATTCATTTCCCACTTTCTCCAGACAAAAAAAGTGTCACCAAAAACGTGGCAACGTATTGTTTATAACAGTTTTTAAGATGTCATATAAATTAATAGGCAGAAGTAATTTAATTTTTTCAAGATATAGCGGTTAAGGAGAAAAATATAATTTCAGATCATGGCTGCAAAACCAAAAAATTCAAGAAATAATGTGAGCCAGCCTGCGAATCCAAACGTCTTGAAAGTTGAGTTGTTCAATGCAGAAGGAAGACAGCTGGAGGTTCGGCGGTTCAACATCGATAAGAACAACATTCATTTTGATGAATTCAAGGAAAAAATATCAAAAACATTTCCAGCATTGCACAAGAATAACACTTTTTCAATCTCCTATAAGGGTAAATTATTAAATTTACTTAAAACCTAAATTATCAATTGAATTTCTTTTCTATCAGACTTGGAAGGCGATGCCATCACGGTCTCTTCAGATGAAGAACTTAAATTATGCTTGGAGCAGAAGGATGTTCCACAAAAGCTCCAGGCAAAAATCACACCAAACCCTACTTCGTCAGCTCCACCTCAGAAGACAAAAAGTACTTTGTTTTGATTAATTTTTAACTTCAATTTATAATATTTTTATAGCTATCCCGGCTGTGCACACTAATATCAAATGCAACGAGTGCAAGAAAGAAATCAAAGGAATTCGCTACAGATGTGTAGTTTGTGTCGATTACGATATTTGTCATCCGTGCGAACTCAAATCCGTCCACGAACATCCAATGTTGAAACTGCCAAAGGTCATCTCTCGGGTTGAAAGCTTGGTCGGGGGTGTTTGCCAAATGCTCAAAATTCTAATGGCAGAGCAGGATTGCAAACACAAAGATTGCTGGAGTTGCCAGCTTAGAGTGAGTTTAATTAAAATTTTCATGAATTCTTAAATTAATTTATTTTGTGCAGAGAACTTGCCCAAGCAGTTGGAGAGAGGGAACCATGAACAGAGTGTTCATAAATTTTGCAAAAATAGCAGGCTAGTATTTTACCTAATTCCTCAAATCTAATAGATTGAAAAATATGTATCTAAATTAATAAATTTGCTATCAGATGCTGAGGTAGGAAAGTGCAGCAAGTGTGATCATGCGCCTCAGCCTGCCTTCGTAAACGGGAATGGCCTCAACACTCCGAGAAAAACCATTCCAGTCGTGAATGGAGCCGCCCATCAAATTACAAACGGCATGGCTAACATGGTATTTCCCAAAATGATGGCACGCATTCAAACAGTGGCAGTGACTGGACGACCTCTCTTGCCTTCACCCCTAAACCCACTTGGCACCGGTAATTATTTATCTCGCATACCTTTCTCAGCTAAACCTTTCTTGCACCAAAGGTATGCCGCCTGGAATGGTCCCTCATGGAGCACCCATTCAGTACATTCCGCAGCAACCCACTTTCGCTCAAGTTCCACCATATTTCGGACCGTCCCCATTTTATAACCCCTTTTTCAACATGCCAATGATGCCCATGGGACCTGGCATGAACCAGCCTTACCCCCCACAAATGTGGAGTGATCGTACTGACCATCTTTAAATTATTATGCAAATTTTTAATGTAAATTTTCTAGCGCCTTATCAATATCCAAATCAAAATGTGGCCCAAGTGGCCCCTGCGCCGGCACCGACAGCACCAACTCCAACGCAGTCACTTCCAGGAACCTCGCAGAGGAGTTCTCCACATTCAGAGGGTAAACGCTTGTTTTATTAGTAGTTACAGTATTAGAGGTGGGTGTTTTTAGAAGAGAGTGTGGACGTACAAATCCAAAGAGGTGTGCTGCAGCTCTCTGCTAAAGGTTATATCGGAGATGTTGAGAAGCTTGGGGAGATTTTGCGTAGTGTTGACCTCGATGTCGAGAAGGCCTGTAAAATTCTAGACAAAGAGAAGAGTGGATGAGATTTGGTCAACGGCGTAGCCTTATAAGAGCCTTATGTACAACTTCCTCATTTCAAGTTAATAACATGAATATAATATTAGTTTGTTAAGTTGGACACTTAAAACGCTGGAGGAAGAATTCTCTGCCTTTCCAGAATCAAGCGAGTATTTTTGTTTAGTTGGAAATCAGTGTTTTCAGTCTTGTGTCGAACATGGAAAGTTCCTATTTTAAGCTACTCAGACATTCAATGAAAGAAAGTTTGCTCAACTCATTGCCAAAAACTTTCCACAAGCATTATTTCTCCAGCTTTTCGTGAAGCAGACAGTTGTTCTGGAAATGTATCTGTACCAATATTGTAACTTCTATGCTGGTGCTGCTTCGAGTTGGGTCTTTTATTTTTTAGTGCCCTCAAATGGCAAAACGAAATATTACTTAATATTTTTGTACTTGCTCCGAACAAATACCATTAAAAAAAGGAATAGTTTTACTTGTGATCCTTTTATTTGAAACCATAATAACATTTTTTTTTCAGTAATCTTAATACAGACTCGTGTATATAATAATTATAACGGTGTCCGCTCTCCGTCCTACGCGTCTCCAAAACGCACCACACTACTTCCGGCAAATATTTGTATAATGTATCTATCTTATTGCATTTATTTCATAAAGATATAGATGAAAATATTTCAACAATCCAGAAATTTGATTGTTTTAGTACATATTTGAATTTTTTTTTTAAGACAACGGTTTTCCTGCAACAATCACCTTTAATATACACATCCAACTTTTGAAATTTTTTAAGAAAGAATTTTCCGAAGTTTCTGCCAGTGAAATCTTGTCAATATTGACCATTGCATCTGTGTTTTGAGAGATTTCTTCCTCTTTTTGAGCGATTCGATGCGCGTTCCTAAGGTTACCAGCTCATAGCTCACCTGATACCTCCAGGCTCCTGACCAGTATGACGCTGAACTGAGTCTCATGAATAGTTTGGTTGCTGCCCTGCTGCTTTTTGAGAATGCGGAGAAAAAAGGGGAAGTGAACTTTAATTTAGGTATGTTTAAAGCCATATATTATGTAATATGTTAAAAGAAAAAGTAATTTACAAATCTTAAAAATAAAATTTATGTACTGCAGCTCCAAAGGACATGATTGACCTGGTGAAGAATCTGGCAAAGTCAAGGCCGTGGAGTAGTAGTTGGTGGTAGTTTTGTGATGGTGGACTACCCTGACAACACCGGAGTGGTGAAAATAGACGTGTTCCGACTGTCTCTCCAATTTACCATCGCATCCAGCGGCGCTGACCAACTGCCCCTGCCCACAGCTTTCGTCTTGCTTTGCCTCAATGGAAAGAACCCCAGCCCAACCATGAGTAAAAACGATTTGGAATACATTGTATCGTAATCAATTTAAATTATTATTATTTAGGGAAGCGGGAAATGATTCCAGATGTTGAAAAGCTTCTTGCTCAGGGGTTGCCAGATCTTCCGTGGGATCTTCGTTAGAAAGAGGTAGATTGCAAGCTGAAGGAGATTGGCGAGGCCTTTGTTGACATTACTAGACAGACTGGAAAACTGAAAAGAGATCGTCTTGAGCTTGACATGGAAAAATCTGATTTTGAAGAACATATCAAGAAAACACTGGATGAACTTGATTGTAAACGTTGCAAAATTGAGGAGAGGCAGGCTTGGGAAGAGCAACGTTTAAAAGACGGCTTGGACAACTGGCTAACTCCGTAACAAGCTTGCTTGGTGGTTCCTCGATCGAATCGTCTCCTGCAGACACTCGTGGACAAAGTGAAGGCAATAACAACGATAAGCAGTAGTCTCTAAAAATTACCATTAAAAAAAAGAAAACTTTTACGTTTGACACTTTTATTTGAAACCATAACATTATTTTCAGTAATCTTATTATAGATGTGTGCTGAAGTCAGGGGAAATTATTTTGGAGTTTCAGCAGAAGTCGAAGCGGCCTCAACCTTCTCAAATTCAGAAATAAGGCCTTCGACTTCCTTTGCAGGGAGGATGCGAATTTTTGTCTTTCCGTCTTCACGTACCAAGATGGCCATTTCCACTAAAATTCCACATTATTATCATTTTTTTATTCACTTATTTGAATTGCTCACATTTCTCTGCATTCAATTTGGTCATGTCCAGAGTTTTGCTGAGCACCTTAATGGCCAAACCCTTGGCCTCTTTAAGAGTGGTGGCTCCCTCTTTGTATTCTTGCTTCAGGATGGAGACCGCAGCCTAAAACAAATCCATTATAAACTGAACTAGGAAGTAAAATCTGAAATCTTACAGCGCTGTTGTTTCCAATGCAGGTGGCCTTCCAGCCACTGTAGTTGCCACTGGGGTCGGACTGATACAGTTGGTAGCCGTAGTGCTTATCCCAGCCCATGTACAAAATTGACACACCGAAAGGCCTCTTTCCTAAATTTAGTGATTAGATTTTTTTTATACACTGACCAATTTTTTTTTTTTTTAAATTACCTCCATACTGAGTGTAGGCTTGCTTGATATCACAAAGCCACGAGACGAGTTGCTCGCAGGGAATCGATTCTCCGTAGGTCAGGAGATACCTTTGAGCAATCACCCTCAACTCACTTGTCAGCACGTTGGCATCAGATGTAATTCCAGCCACACTGCACGCCATGTCCCTAATAATTAATAAAAAAATTTGTAATATTTGTATCTTAATGTAGATCAACGCACTCATTGATCTTGTAGATTTTCTCTGAAAAGAAAACTTCGTCCAGCAGTTTGTTGGTGTTTCTTCGCTCTGCAGCCAAAAGGATGCCATCATTGGCCAAAATGCCCAGACAGGTGCCGGCGTGACCAATCGCTTCAATAGCGTACTCGACTTGGAACAGTCTCCCTAAAATTTTTAAACAATAAATTAAAAAACATGAATTAAAAAAAAATGTGGCATAAAATTGCAATGCAAAGTTTTTATTTTACCTTCAGGAGAGAAGATTGTGGTCCTTGTATCGTAACGGCGAGCCTGAAAGAAAAGTTAGTTTTAGGTTCAAACTAGTACTTTGACGTCCCCCTCTACTCTTAAAATATTATTTTAGTTTAATGAGCGAGAAATGCGGCATAAGTGTGATTAATGTGATCCAAGGCACATTGAGGAGACTTTTTAGCTGGTTGCAATTTTGTAGATTCTCCAGAATTTCACAATTTAAAACAAAATTGGGATTCCTTGAGACTTAAGGCGTGGAAAGAAGATGTTGCGAACTCATAAATTACCATAGTTTCAGAGTAATTCCACTTCCAGATTAAATTGAAGTAAATTCGAAGGCTGACTCCACCGTCAACAAAAATTTACAAACTCACTGACGTCAGGGCAGCCAACATACAATCTTCAAAAGTTTGAAATGGTTCAGGTTTGAAGGGTTTGAAATTTGAAGATCAGGTTGGCCAGCATAACGGTACATATAAACAAACGTAAACAACGCAAACGCATGATCAAAAGAATTGTATAAAAGAATTTTCATATTTAAAATATTTATTTTAAGACACAACCAGACGTAAGCAGATGTACATAACAATTTCTTAAGTACATATTTTATAACATTTTCGCATTTTTACAGAATTTTACTAACATGGACGATGAACGGAAACGATCTTTATTTGTTGGAAATCTGGCGACGCCACAGACCACAGAAGCTTTGCTTCACGAACTTTTTCTCCAAGTCGGCCCTGTACAGAAAGTGGTGATTCCGAAAAATAAGCAGGGCAACGGAGGCCCGGCCAACTACGGCTTTGTCACCTTTAAACACGAGAGTTCCGTCCTGTACGCCACAAATGTCCTAGCCGGGTCGAGTCTCTTTGGACGTCCCTTAAAGCTTCAGCTGCGTGATGGAGGTGCCGGCAGCACCCCCCAGCAGTCGCCAGTTACCCCGAGACACCCCCAGCAGCACCAGGACATGTATTCGCCCCAAATGTACCAGCAGCACAATGACAGGGCTGTCTACGAGCACAGCGGAGGCAGGCATTACGATAGATCGCAGGAGAGGAATCGGTACCAAGACCGCCCTCAGGAACGGTACCACCCCCAGGAGCGTCCCCGAGACTCCCGGAGGCGACAGCAACACCCCTATCAAAATCAGCAACAAGGCTACCAGCGTCATAATCGCAGCAGACGATAAATTTAAATTGTAAATTATACTTGTGATTTATTTGTTTGTAATGTTTGTATCCGTCACGAATGGACATTCAGTTGTTGACAAGCAGATTATTATTTTATAATAATATGAACTTTTTATGCGCGCTTTCGGTAGCCTGAGATTGGCAGACATTGGAAGAGGATATAAATTAATTTTTATATATTGCATGCCAAAATTAAAATAAATTTAAACTTTATAAATAACTTCTAAAATCTGGAAATTTTTAGATGTTTTACTTCCGTTTTATCTTCCCTTAATTTTATGAAAATATTTTCTAGGTGGAATCGTTTAATAATAGTTCCGTAATTTACTTTTTTTAAATAAAAAATTAAATTAGAAGTAAAAAAGTGATAATAATAAATTAAGGCAATTTAATAGCAGGTTAGTTGATTGAGGAAGCTTTTCCTTTTTTTAATAACTATAGTTACAATATCCTCCCTTAATTTTATGAAAATGGATTCAAGCTGGAATCGTTTAAATAATAGTTTCGTAATAACCTGTGAAATTAGTGGTACATCATTTTAATTTTTATTGGCACAATTCAAATTTAATTAGAAAATACTTTTGTACAGTGATGTATTATCTTAAAATTTCAACAGTTTTTAGAGGATGCTGAATACAAAAACTGCAGCAGCTGTTTTATCCACTTGAGGGGAAAAGCAAGAATGAGCATTGTCAAGTTAATGAATCGCGGTTTTGAGGGTGGTTGTAGCGAAATGCTGTGTGTACTTGCTGCTTATAATGTACAAGCTTATCTTCTAAAGCCACAAGAATCATTTAAGCAAACTAACAATAAATCTAAAGAACAAACACATTCAATTTTATCACCGTATTATCTTTTTGTGTGTCAGACAGAAACTCCAATGCTCAAACAAGCACCAAATAAACTGCGAACTGATTCATCGACCAATGACAGATTTTTAATTTTACACTAATCGGCCAGCGGAGAGATCTAATTTTTGGACCTTACAAACAACACCTATTGAATGTGAATGTCGAACATGTTTAAATTAAATTAAATCGTCATTTTTCATCGTACAACAAGATACTAAAACTAGCAATCAGTATTACTTTTCTTATTTACAGATCAAACAGCGGGTTCAAAGTAGACTGGATTTGTGCCTTACAAAATAGCTCGTCGTGTGGCATAATAATTAAAATTTTCTTCGAGTCGCACAAATCTCAATTTCAGCAAGTCGATTGCATTCTATGCCACCGGTGGATTGATTGAATTTATCATAAACAGCAAACGAGAAGCTTAAGGATGAAAAAAAAATTGGCGACCGAGAGGCCGCAGAGTCTGCCAAGGTGCGGAAGCAGCAGAGAAAATCACTTCTTCTTAGTTGCTGCTGTTGGTGTTGTTGAAATTCAGCTTGGGCTGCTGGATGATGGACGTCTTGCGGACAGGCACGGTCTCAGGCGTGGGGATTGCCTCGCCCGTTGCAAAAGGCTGCATGACGGATGTAACCCTGGGCTTGGCTGCCGCCGCCACTGAAGAACTCTTCTGCTTGGCCATCTGATAGTCTCCGGAATCAAAGAATTTTTGCTGGAAAAATAAAATAATAGTTTTTTCCTATCATAAATAAAGAAGCTAATTAATTCTTTTCTTGGAATTCCAAGAAAACAAATTTTAATTAAAAACAATTGGCCATTGTGTGTAAATAAATGTCCAATCACGTACCCCTTTGGCGAGTCGCTTCTGCAGAAAGGCGGAGTGTCCGCTCATGGGCTGGATGTTCTTGGGGTATCTGGCCTTCAACTTGGCCTCCTCCAGCTTCTCAATCTCTTGTTGCGAAGGCTGAAAATGCGAAATCAATGACAATTTCAAACTCAAGGCTGCAGTTTAGTTTTCCTCTCGCCCGTTCTCACCTGCACGAACTCCTTTGTTTCGGCCTCTTCAGGGCTGGACACCTCGTCCTGCGGCGCATTTTCCGCGCTGTCCGACATCTCGGCTTGATTCGTGTTGGTCGGCAAAGTCGTTCAAATGCGCAAAAACGCACAAATCATGAAAAGAAGCTTCTGGTCAGCAGCTGCAAACAAGTCGAATAACAGACTTCTTTGCTCCTCGTCCTCCTCGAGGTCACTTGTCTTCTCGATTTATGGCCTCGCCCCTTTTCACTTAGAATTTAAAAGAGCGCGCCAAACGTGCGTTCAACTAATAACTTTTTAATATTATGGATTCATGATTCATTTATCTTAATTTTTCTAATAATAAAAATATTTAAAACAATTCATGCACTTTTATTAAAAATAAAACTAATAATATTTTTTTTTTAAACAAAATACATTTTATATTTACATCCAATTTTAACTGTAAACATCTCAAAACATTGGCACATACCATAAATTCTCTATTATTGGCAATCTTATTTTGGAATTTTTATACAACAATTTCGTTTCCTTTTACATCACAGCGCTTACTATTATTTTTTTAATAAATAAGTGCCTTTCACGTTTCAATAGTAGTTTTAACACTGATTTGTGCATATCCAGTCCAAAGGACTTGCAATCACATTAATATTGTATTCTCTCTTGCAACATACGCTATTAAATTAAAACTCAACAACTCATAAAAACTTAAAACTAATCACAGACACTTTAAAATTTAGGCTCACTCAAGGCTTATTGGGTTCAAGGGACTTAAAGAAATTAACTTTTTTCAATTTTTAACAAAGTTATCATGTCACTCTTAATTTCTTCAGCCCTTTAAAGATTTGACAAGAAAAATTTTGTGTGTAAAGCAATGGTCCAAAATTTTGGAATCAGCGCCATTTAAGTATGCATGGCAAAATACTGCTATCAAAGGGAGCTAAGTAAAAATCAAAATTTCATGGCCTCTTGGTGTACATGTAGATGGAAGATACAAATATAAAACATTATAAAAGACTTGAGCACTTGCAGAAATCAATATTTAGCACATTATTTTCCATCCGTTGTTTAATTGTAGAATGACTCAATCAAATCCAGGTACTGTTCGTGAATGACGTTTCTCTTAACCTTCATGGTGGGGCCAAGCTCTCCTCCTGGAATCGAAAAGTCCTTGGGCAAGACCTTGAATTTCTGCACCTTCTGAGCATTTGAAATGGCCAACTTGTTCGCACGGACTATTCCAGCCTCCAGGGCTTTCATGACCTTTGTTATTAAAAAAAATTGATTTATATCTCACTGACAAAAATAAAACTTGAATTACTTTCTCATCAGGACCGTTGATAATTTCAGACAACGTAGTTGCCGAGCTGCCTTGTTCTTGGCACCATGCCCTGGCGCCGCTTGTGAGTTTGTCGAGAGGCTCGCCGGTGTCCAAATTAGTCTCAGTCTGTGACGTCAAAATTATTAAAAATATATTACAAGCTTCCAAGGCTGAAATTTATACCCTTAGAGTGAGCAGAATGGAGAGGAACTTTCTGCGATCGCCAATCAGCATGGCATTGCTAACAACTGGAAGTTCAGACTTAATGGCGTCCTCAATGGGCACAGGTGGAACGTTTTCTCCTCCGGCTGTGATCAAAAGCTCCTTAATGCGACCAGTGATGTAGAGGAATCCATTCTCGTCCTCTTTGCCGATGTCTCCAGAGTGCAGCCAGCCCTGGGCATCCATCGCCTCCTTGGTCTTCTCCTCGTTGTTCAAATAACCCATGAAAACTTGCCTTCCGTTCATGCAAATCTTTAAAAAAAAAATTAGATATCATTTCACACATAATATGTGCTTAAATATGCTTATTAAATTTACCTCTCCCTGTTTGCTGGCGTCTTGCTCGAACAGTAGAGTTTGCATTCCAGGCAAAGTTTTTCCCACACTATCAATTTTGAAGAACTCGTTCGTGTTCAACGTGTGGGCACCAGCTGCTTCGGACATTCCGTATGCCTATGAAAAAAATTAATCTGTATATGAACAGGAGCTTCTCTCAATGCTTTACCTCCATGACAGGAATATCCAAACTCATAAAGTATTTCACAACATCTGAGGCAATAGGGGCGGCAGCAGAAACAAAAAGATTGCACCTGTCCAGTCCGAGGGCCTTCCTTACCCTCTTCAGCACAAGGAAACTGGCAAAAGTGTAGCCCCAGGTAGGCGTATTGTTTCTGGAATATAAAAATTAAATTAACAAATTTTTCCTTTTTTAATTCCTCAAGTTTTACCCATTCATTCTGTTGATGTTGTACTCGAGACCTTTGCTCTTGGCCCAGGTGGCTAGGGTCTTCCTGATGCCAGTCGACTGCCGACCAATATCCTGCATTTTCTCGTAGATTTTCTCCCACACTCTGGGCACGCCGAGGAACTTGGTGGGTCTGATTTCAAGCAGAGTTGGCAACAAGCTTCCCTTCAGGGCGTCGGGTTGGGCGAAGAACACGGTGGCTGCATAACTTATTGTGATAAAAAGATCAACTACCTAAAAAACAATAAAAATTACAATGAGAGGAAAATGTCCCCACACGATATCTTACTTGGGCTGCGACGTGGCTAAGAGGCAAGTAGCTGACAATTTCCTCCTCCCCTGTTCTTAACTGAAGGTAGCTTCCGATGGCAAGGGCGTCCCAGGTCAGGTTATCGTGACTCAACATAACACCCTTGGGGTTACCAGTGGTACCAGACTATATAAATAAAAATAAAGCAAAAGTGTTAAAATGGGAAATGAGTAATGAGTGACTATTTGCAAAATAATAACTCACAGTGTAGACAAGGGTGCAGCACTGATTGACGGCAATCCTCTTGATGCGCTCATTCAACTCATCATCCTTCTCTTCCTCTCCAATTTTCAACACATCCGCCCACTGTGAAAATGTTTAAAAATAAAAAATAAATTAAATATGGAAAATTAAAAATAAAATTATATACTTACGCTAAGCACTCCTTCAGCCTCAACTTTCCCTGAGTATTGGATGATGGCTTTCAGATGGGGGAGACGAGACTTGACCTGAAGGATTTTCTTGAGCTGCTTGTCATCCTCGACAACAATAATATTTGCCCTGCTGTTTTCAGCACAGTAAAGACAAGCTTCGGCGCTGTTTGTGGTGTAGATGCCAGCAGCAAAACCACTGAATCAGGAAAAGATACATTAATAAGCGTTTATTTTAGAAATAAATCCATTCTAAATATTTATATTTTAACTTGACAAATAATTTTTTTTTAAATTCATCATATTTTTACCCTGCATAGATGGCTGCCAAGTCAGAAATGAACCATTCAGGCGAGTTGAATCCGAGGATGTTCACCGAGTGGAAGCGCTCAAGGCCGAGCTTGATGAACGCCTTGGCCACGGTGCGGACATTCTGTTCATACTCTCGGAAGGTGATCCTCGTCCAGTCGGCGTTCTTGTCTGCTTTGACTGCCATAGCGGTGCGGTCCGGATAACGCTCGACGGTCCTCCTCAGCATGGTGGGCACTGAGATGGGTTTTTCAGCGGCAACCCCTTCGGTGCCAACGCGGAGCTTGACGGCGCCATCAGGAAGGCAGTTGAAAAGAGCCTCGCTTGGGATCAACTGGTCAGGACCGTCCAAGTACTCCTTCATTTTTGGTTTGGCTTTAGGCTCTGCTATCACTCTGAAATAACCAAAAATATGTTATTTTTTGCGTTAATATTTCTCCCATAAAGTTATAAAAAACTATTATTCCCACAATTTTTAAGGTTCTAATTTTAAGAAAAGTAAAAAATATTGATTGAAAAACCCAAAGTGGAATTTAATTGCTCAACCTTTGCATTAAATTAATCAGATTTTTCAATTTTTGAATTGAAATGTGTCTGATGATTTTAATTTTAACTGAATTTGTATTAAATCTGGACTTACAGAAATGATATATTATAGAAATAGATGAACCGTTTGCAGCCGATGCAAGATCAAAACTGCGTTTGATCTCATTTTTGATTCATTGATTGCGTGTCCGCGCTAAGGACGATCAATGGGCGCGAGTGCCAAAAAGTCCGAAATCGAAAGTGCCACTTACTCAATCGTTGGCTGCACTTCAATGACTTGCGGAGCGGGTTGTTTCTTGGTCTGCACGGGGCTGTGGTGGCCATTGACCGAGGGTGGCGTCAGGTCTTCCTCGTTGGACGAGTCGACCAGGCTGAAGCCGTTGACCTTGTGACCCTTGGGCTCGTCGTCCTTGGGCACCACCTGCTCCACCGGCGCGACCTCGGCGCTCAAGTTCTCCGTTTCCATCCTCCTGTAACACGCCACGCCGACCATCTTTATTCCAAATTTTTTTTGTCGGGGTTAAAAACGCGGGGCCTGTTTGGCGTCTGGCGAGACACTGACTCTGCCAAAGTGGCGTGATCGTAAAAAGGGGAAGCGCGGCTTGTGGCAGGAAGTCTCAATACTGCTTGCGTTCACAAAAAACGCCCAATTCTTATCAAGCATGTATTTTTTCCTTCCGCGGGTACTGTATTATGACGTGCATTGTACATAGGAAAACCTGCCCAGTTTCCGCGCCAAGTGCGAACAAAATATTTTTTCCTTTTTAAATATAGGACAAAAATATTGATGTAGTTTGTATGATGATAAAAGATGACTAATTCTCTGAAATATTCCTCTAATTTTTTTAATTTTCCTTAAAAGATGATAATTCTAGTCTACATCTAAATTATCAACATTTTTATCATAATGAAAAAAATTAGTAGCCAAAGCCAAAGCTCATAACATTACAATGTTTATTATTATCACTGTCAGTCAAAATAATAAAAAAAATTATTTTGGAATTGAAAAGAAAACAAAGGGAAGAAAGGGCATCACAGCTGCTGAAACGCTTGACGAAAGAGAAAAATTTCGGCCTCCTTGATAGCTCTCGGAAAATACGATAAAAAACCTCGCAAACCACAAATCAATTTTTATGACATAGTTTTAAAAGGTAATGTTTCTCGTTAAAAACAAAATTTGAAAATTGTTGGGTTTTAATTTCATGTAAATTCAAAGAATGCCCAAAGTAGGTATAAAATGTCACTTCCTAAATTGATTATTTAGTTTTTTTAAATATTTAATTAAGAGAGAGGAAATGAAATATTATATCTTTTTCTTCAAGAGCTGAAGAAGGCATTGATATTAAAGTGCCGAAAAGTTTTGGGTTTCAACAACGATTCAGATTACAGTATCCCAATTTCCACATCCAGACCTTGTGATATACTGCAAAAATTCATTCCGAGTACTGGAAGTGTAAAAAATTAAATAATATTTTATAATTTTTCTTCGATCAAAAACAATTACATTTTATCAAGTCTGTTCAATATAAATTTCTTATATAATTTGTGATTGGACGTCATTATTGCACTTCAATGATAAGTCTCCACACTTATTCTTCATTTTTATTTTTTTCCACTGATAAGAAGCAAATAATACAATAAAAACTCTCGCACTTTGAGTCAAATAAAGAACCTCTTCATTGCACACATGGCGATAGGGAAAGAAATATAAAAGGGTGGCCTGACCGAGTGCGAATCATCAGCCCACTGCTACTTTCCTGATAAGGGTTTGCTTGCTTTTGATAAAGGAAAGGCAGGCAGTGGCGCGGCAATGTTTGCCTCCATGTCAGTCCCTCCTGTTTATGGGCATCACGCACGCAAAAAAAAATAAAATTGATCGCGAGAAACTCTTCGGTTAAGCGACGCATCTCAGGCTTTTATGCAATTCAAATTTTATGCAGTAAAAAGGCGATTATTTAATTTGCATTGAAAGAGTCGGAAGGAGTGAATTATTATTAATTAAGAGAATTATGTAGGAAAGGAAATGATTGTCAACTCTTTTTGCTATTTTGCATATCACGTTCGCTGCACTTTAGATATTATATTTGCTTGAACTTTGCGTTTACCGAGTGAAGAAGAGAAAAGACGGCTTATTGCACTTTTAATATTTGTTCTTCGGATCGAGTGTACAAATGACTCTCGCGCTTCTCAGAATGCAACCTTCAAATATGCAAACGCTTGCATAATACTCTAGAAAACTTTTTCGTTTCACAATTCAGCAATTAATTAAGTGAACGATGCTAAAACGAACAATCCATTTGTTTCCTTCCTCTTCTTTTGTTAATGTTATTATAAAAAAGTTAAAAAATCACAGTTATTTCGGCATTAGAAACTATGATTGGGCTATCTGTGGGTTGAGCAGGTTGGAAACTACAAATGACCCTGATTGCGAAAAGTCGATATTCGCTGGCTGCTTGATATAGAAAGTGGGAGCCGCGCATTTTCACACACACAACAAAGCGCCGAGCAACGTGTTGAGGACCAGGAAGGAGAGCGCGCGCTGCCCGCCTTTTAATATTTATTATGGTTGCGTGGGTGCGAATTACGTGTAACTCGTGGATTGAATGAAAGATTGAAAAACTAGTATGGTGCGTCGCCTTGTCTCAGTAAATAAGGCCATCATGTTTGAAAATTAAAATCAAACTCGGAGCTTTCAACCTCTTGCAAGGGGCGCCTGTTATCCTTAAGTAATAAAAAGCTTTCTTATCGCACGACGGCTTGGAAATACCGCGAGCTTTTTGCTTATTATTTAACAATTTAACACTCCTGGGAATCACAAACAAGAAAATTTTCAAAAGCATAAACAGAAAGGATTATTTTACATTAAACTGCTGGTCAACAAATTTATTTTCAGCAATGATTGTTATTTGTTTTAATGAATTTTAACTAAAAATAATAAAATTAGGATGTCAAATTATGCAGCAGAATAATTTATAAAATTACTCTTTTAATATCTACGGAGGTAATAATTCAAACAAATTCATTAAAAAAAGGGTAAATGATTTAAAAATTAAGAAAATTACGGAAATAATTCCAATCAATTGCGTGAAAAATGCTCATTATTGACTATGAGAAAATTGATAACGGTCTTACCTATCATGCCACTGCACAACGACCATGTTGTCGCCGAATTCAAATTCCTTTCACGTTACTAATTTTTAATTTTATCCCAAAGAGTGAAGAGCGGCCTGTTTACATTTGCAAACAGCAGACTGTGAATGAAAGCGGAAGGCTGGTGCTCAACTGCGCTATGCCATCCATAAGTCCCACTACTATATCTGCCTTGTGTATAAGTTTCAAGCCGCGATTTAGGTCACGGTGGGGACAAAATTCACACACTCTTCTTTGCCTGCCGAAGCATAGGTCTTTCTCTACCAATCAGAACAAACAACACCTGGTGTGTGTTTGAGTATGAATGGTATTCCCTAATATTTGGAAATATTCTTCGAATGTTTTTCAGAATACTCGAGTTGGAAAAACAGATTTTAGGTTTGGGGAAATCTCCCTTTTGTAAAATTAAATTACCTAATGGTATTTTAAAGGAATAAACTAATTTACAGTCTTTGCAATTAGTAAAATTGCATGTATTATTGCTGCCAGCTTTAAAACGTATAGCTTCGCTTTTTCCATTTTTTGTTTTACAATTGTACACAAACCAAGAAGAATGAATAATAATAATTATTTAAACATAGTGTAATAATTTGAGAGGAGGTAAGGGAAATCCGGGAAAATCAATTTAAAAGAGCAATGAAAATAAGATTAAATTTCAAACAAACGATTAAAAAAAGCCCCTTATTTAAGATTATATTTTGTCCTCAATTGAGTTTTCAATAAAGACCATATTTTGAACTATTACATTTTGATACAAATTCAAACTCCTTTTATTCTGGTAGCATAGGTAAGTTTTCAAATAATATTAATTTATGTAAGGCATGTTTGGATTTTTGAATTATTATGCTCTTTTAATCCTAATAATTATAATTTAAAATCTTTAAAGACCGAAAAAAATTAAAACACCGTCAAGATGGAGACAAGAATTTATCCATACAAAAATATGGAGGTCGAAATTCGCTCTTCCATGCGGAATTCGCGTATGAATATTTACGACTTTGTCCTTCACCATGGAAACGCTTCAATTTACCGCTTTTTACGCACACTGCGGCGCTAACTCGACCTCAAATTTGTAATGGTGTGCATTAAAGTTTCCCGAAAGTGTAGGCAATGAACCGCGTGGGGGCCAATAATGTTCCTGACTGGAAGGACAAGGCCAAACATTATCAAATCATCTTCAAACATAATAATACGAAAAAAAAAAAGAGTATGCAAGGAGCCCCATCCTCAAATATCACCTGAGATTTGCACAATCACGCGACTGTGTCTCTCACGTCATTTCCCTTCGTCGTCAGCAAGCAAGGATGACTAGATACATTTTGCTCCATTACAATGCTGCGTTGCACCTTGGAGCAGAAACAGACGTTTTCCTATTTTGCTTCTTTGTGCTTTCAAGGCCTGAATATCCATTTGTTTCTGCTTTTTCTTAGCGCGGTTTATTGACACTTTTTATTCTTTATTGAAATTTGTGGCGATCGATTCAATTTGCACGTTTATACACTTGCGTCACATCATATAATTTTTTTAGGCACGGTGAGAAGGTTGCGCAATATTTTTGGATCCTTATGTAAAAATATAAACTGCCGCGGAAATATACCCACTCCCCAAAATTTTGCTTTATAAATAGGCGTGATTTTCGCGATAGGCGCAAAACTGGTTCCAGGACTTTTAGGCAACGAATTTCTCCGTTGGTTCCGCAATTAATGGGAGATGATAGAAGGTTTTTAGCAAATAAATTAATGAGGCCAAAAATCATCAATATTCATAGAGTTTTGAGAGGGTCACGTGTAGACCAAACCGAGTATCGATTAGGAAGAACACGAGTCTGAAGAGTCGCTTATTCACTTTGACATTTGGCGCAAATAATGGAGGAAAAATTTGTGGCCGGTAAATCTAAATGTTTCATAAGAGCAGATGGGTAAAAAAAACTGCAATAAAACGTTTGCAGAAATAAATTTGGAATGACAAAAGAATTATTTTAATCATAATCACTACAAAATTCAATTCGGCAAATATAAATATCAGCATTAATCTAAACTTTTTAATTTGTATGAATCTCACCTAAATAAATTAAAAACAATAAAATGAGGTCACACTTGTAAAATAATCAGTTGCGTCAAATCATCTTTTAATGGAAATTTTATTGTTAAATGAAATGTGTGAAATGGGTAAATGAAAAAATTTAATATTAAAGAAGTTGTGTTGCTAGTTTTGATTGGTTGATGTTTTAATTAAAATGCAATCACGAAGCAATCTAGGATATAATTGCAGTGCAACCGCAAGCAAGATCGATATTTCCTTTTCAATCCGCTCTAGAAGTGTGATTTTAGAAAAAAAATCATGCCTCTCGACTTCAACTAGGAGAACATAAGCATAGAAGAGGTGCGTGCAACTGAAGCGGTTTACAGAGAGATGAATGCGGCCCTGAGCATCTTGCAGTGCAAATGAACTGAGAGGTCAGTGGCAAGGAAAACTGCATGGAAATGCATCCATCCTAGCGCAGAGCACCTTGAGAGATCGACGGTAATATGCAGGTTGATAGATGTAAAAGTGAACATATGCACTGCATTTTACTTCTAAACCTTTCAAAACACGTTTTTCCAGCTATCTAAGAAAAAAAATGTTCCTCATTATTAGGGTTAATAAAAAATAAAAAATTAATATTAATGGTTAAATATTCATTGTGCAATTTTTTAATAATTAAATCAAGACCTATTAACATTAGTTTTTTAATAAGTTGAAACAAGTCAAAATAAGTAAATTAATAGTTCCATTTCCATCAATTAGGCGCCGTAGACTTCAAATTGGTATGAAATTTCCACAAAAGTTATAATGACAAAAAGTTTTTCCAACATTTTTATTACAAATGCGTTGTAATTTTGATTATCTATTGGGGCAGTTTCTTATCTTGGAATCGTTATTTCAGGGCTTTGGGTCGCAAGATTAAGTGAGACTGAAGGTCGGGATAGAAATAAAAGTATTGCAAAATCCTTAATAAACTTCGATGACTTTAACTGGAAAACCATTTAATTCAAATGCAGAAAAACTAGATAAACTAAAATTGAAATGATAATAATTATACATAATTTCAATTGAAAAAAATAGCAGTGTTTGTCCTTTAGTTGTAAACATTTTTAATTTTTACGTAATATGTTTTAAGAAACACATTGTCTGCCGAAACAAATTCTGTACGGCTTGTATGTAATTATTTTATTGGCGAGTTAGGCAAGGTCAATTTTTGTTGCGCTTGAGTTATATCATATTTTTGGGCAACTTTATTTTTGTAATTATTGGCTATTAAAATTTTCATACTTCATAACAGAGGCTGTAATAAGCGGAATTAAACTTATTTCCGTTCGTTCAAAAGAGTAAAATCATTAATTCTTATAATTAAAAAAAAAAACGTGATTACTTCACTTCACGGAAGAGTCATTTGAGGTCGCGTCATAATATATTCAAATTACGCCGTGGAAGTTTCCCTTTCAGCTCCAAACTGCTGTCAACTAACCATGCTACGGGACTCATCGCAGTGTTATATAATGTTATGTACGAACAAGAAGTGTCACATTATAGTTAGATACAATTGTTGGAGTGGTAATGGATCGATTACAATCACATGGAAATTTGTAATGCAGAGAGTGGTGCGCTCGAATTTCATAATTACTTTCAATGTGTGTGATCGTTACTGCTCTGACACATCCAAGCTTCTATAATTAAATTGAAAACACATATAATATACATGCAGATTGCAACAATTAGAGCATTTAAACTTTTGATTAGAGAGAACCGTAAATCACGAGAATCTGATTCACTCTCATTGCAAGAAAGATAACAAGATAACTGTCAGTTAATAAATAATATGCAGAACCATCAAATCATTCAGTTGTGTGAATGTAAATTTAAAATTGATCTCATTTGGAAAAAATAAGATATTTAAATCTTCCAGAGATTAATAATTTAACAGTGCAGATCTTTGTAGACTTTGTATCAAAAATAAAAATTGATACAATATATAGATTTGAGCTTTATAATTTTATTAAAATTTAATTATTTCCTACTACAAGACTCGTCCAATGAAAAGGTTGCCTACATTCAGGGAAACTTTGAAAAAAAAAACTTTTCCAGCACATTTTTTAATAAAAATCAAAATACTTATTTTATAAATTGCTAAAATTGATGCTATTTTTTAGGTCTTCAAATTAATTTTATTTTATTAAAAAAAAAAAAAAAAAAAAAAAAAAAAAAAAAAAACAGACCAAGAGAGAAATCATCATAATAGTAAAATAACAAAACGCTTTTTAATAATTTTAATAAAATTTTTAATCTTTTTCTTTCTTTACGGAAGGTTCTGCATTGTAGGGAAGACGAAAATTTCAAAATAAATGGAATTACTTGCATCAAGCAAGAAGGTGTCGCAAATTTTCCGCCTTTTTGTGGTCGTTAGTTGTTACTAGTCACTTTGGCAACCAGGAACAGAGATTGCGCAACTTTTCCATCAAGAAACAAAACAAGAGGAGTAGTAATTTGTGGTCAGGAAAAAAGAGCAGAGGCGCCAATTAAAAAAAAATCTCAGTGTCATCATGAGTGCGATCACACCACTGCCATTCAAGCCTTGCCATTGGCCACGCGCGCAAAACAACAACATGCACATTACAATAATCATTCCACGCCGACAATGAAATCGTTTTATTTTATTAATTTATTTATATTGCTCAAAAGTTAGGAGGAATCGGAGGAATCTAAAAAAATCTCGTGGCCGCAAAAAAGGCGCCATCAAATTTTGTGAATATTAATTCCCTTATCAGTTTAATTAATTCAAGTGTGGTTTGAAAAATTTGTCCTTGGATTCTTTCGCCTGATAAGATTATCATTCAAGCTCGGGGCAGCGCGTAACCTCTCTTGCATCGACCCTTGTCCCTATAGTGATCGTTTTGTAATTCCGTAAATTTGATTGCACTCTAATGTCCTCGTTTTATAAATGGGTAAAAAGTCTAGTGACAAGACAACGTGCAAAGTCCCAAAGTCCGCGAGGAGCGAATGGTAATAATTAGTTTTGTAAGAGCAGAGACTCCAAAAAGTCCAAAGGATGTCGACAAGCAAACACTCCGTATAGTTAAAAAAAAAAGGTATGCAAAGGTCGCCTGAATTTTTAACGGAGAAAATAATTTTACAATAGAAGTTGAACACAATTCTCCGAAAAATAAAAATTTAAATTTTTTATACAAAAGAAACCGCATGATCTATTAAAATAAAATTTTGATTTTTGTAATTATTTTATCATCCATTTTATCCTTGATGAACAGAATAATTGATTAATTTGAGGGCGGCTAGCTAAATAATGTAATTTAATATTTTCATTTACAAGTTATATTCGTTCTATTTTTTCCGTGAGTGCTCTTTTAAAAATTCGTATGAAAAATTTAAATGAAAAAATCCATTTCATTGAAGTAAAAATTATAAAATTAATGTTGGAGCTAATTTTAAGAGCTCCAAAAAATGTTTCAACAAATGTTTTCTTATCTAAAATAACCCGCACTTGTAATATGAGCCAAGAACATACAAGAAATTAATTATGAACTCTTTGCACCTCCTAAAGGAGCCTGCACTTGACGCAACAGAAGATAAAATACAAGAGTTCTCTCAATGAGCTAAAATTCAACTGCTTATCAGTGCCAAGCAAATTCCCCAAAATTCAAAGGTTGAAATTGTTGTTGAAACACGTACTGAACCTGGGACCCAAATGGTTTAGGGAGATAAGCACAAAAGACTAAATTGCGGTGCAAACATAATAAAAAACTCACCACACGATCCATCTTCTTGAGCACCCTATCAGACCGCGTTCGATCGCTTATCAAATCAGTATGTGCGATATTTGAATGGAAATCAGTTGCTATCGCTGACCAAGGTGACCCTTTCCTGCCTCACAATTCAATTAATTTTATAATTAGATTCTACTTTGTGGATTTCCAGATATAAATTACGGAAGGATGTATTTTTAAGGCAATAAATTAAATCAATTTAATTAAATGAATTTTAGATAAGTTCTCTCTTATCGGCTTTTTTTTTTTTTTTTTTTTTTAATAACTTCTATTCAAAGATGATTTTTTTATGTGAACCGATGTGAACCTCCTACACTGCTCCTACAGTCATTAAATGAAATAAAAATAAAAAATGCAAAATAATGTAACCCAAAACTGTGAACTTATACTTTGGAGTATTTTATGGAGTCATTTATTTTATTTTCTCCTCTACAGCCACCAATCTTTTATTGCTGCTATTTTAGTTCTTTTATTTTATTTTAAAAAGCTCCAAAAATACGACATTATTTTGATATTATTTAAAATTAGTAGAATAATCTTTTAATAATATATTAATAAAATGAACTGATCGCTGATACCGATAAGGGAATGATCGCGTAACTTTGAAGCGAAACTTCTAGAAAGGGTGCCGATTCACCCCCTGTTGAATAGTTAATCGTGTGTGGGTTATCCAAGTATAGCACTTTGGTTCGACCCACACACCAATCATTAAATTTCGTATCGACTAATTTCGCGGCGCGAGCTTGTGGTTATTATTAATTCCGTGTGTGGTCGCGTGTCCCTCGCGTTTTCTGCTGCTGCACATTTACATATTTATATACACAAACACCGGCTGCACTATTACAGTGAGCGACTTAATCAAGGTTCTATAAAAAGGGCAAAGGGTTAAAAAAATTACAGGACACAGAATTTGTAAATATCCTTAAAAAAATTCTTCTTTCGTGCGATAAAATTTATTTAAAATTTCCTTATATTTTGAAGATTTGGTATGTAGCATCTTATGTAAATTAGATATGTATGACTACATTGTTTTCGTTTCACTTGTGGGACTCTCGGGTTGAAACCTGTTACCGCACCGTGTGCTGGCAATAGGAGTGCAGAGCTCAAGAGGTTGGAATTACAATTTTTATTGTATTATTTGTGGCTTGCGAGAGTTGCGAGACGAGAGCACGGAAAAATACGGCGCATTCCTTAACGAAAATGTTTGTTTCTCCAGACAAAAATAAACAAGACCGAAAAACGTAAAAGGAGAAAATAAAAAAAGGATTGCTCACCGTCGGCGGGCGTGTGAACTCTTTCAGAAACTTAATCCTTTACTTTTGGCTCCTTTTTGCGGCTCCAGACGTGATTCAGCTCGCCTCTGCCTTTTCTCTACTGGAATGTCTGGAATAGAAGAGATCACGGAGCCGTGGTTGCGCCTGCAGTCGATGATGGACGACGGCGTTCTCGCAGCATGTATTGTGTGCTGTGCAGGCCAGTCCTGTCCTTCCAGGCGCGCCGTGTTCGGACGCATGCGCCGACACAGATGCACCTGACACACGGTTCAAAGTTCGGCGCATGCAAATCGCGTGCCTTCGACACTGATCAATCAGAGGTCCTGAATGACCTGAATTACTCGAAACAACTTTTGTTAATTTCGAGAATTCCTAATTTTTTTTATCAAAACTTATTAATTTGCTAAATTAAAATAAAACTGCAAATAATATATTAATTAGTTGTGAGATTAATCAGATTAATTGCTGTATTTTTTTTCATGAATTATTTTTCTTTCTTTCAAAGCACCAAAGGTCTGCTGCTCAAAGTGCTCAATGAAATAACGAGCATCTCATTTTTTGCGCCAATGACGCAAATGTGCATTGTAAGACGCAAGCGGCTCCGAGCACAAGAGGCGTTTTAACTTGCTGAATTTGCAGAAAATATAATTGCAAGGGCAAGGATCAATACACCCGAAGTGTGATATAATAATGGGGAGGAAGAGAAAATTTTGCAATCATTGGGTCGCAAACTTTCAATTATTAAAATGGAATCAGTTTGGATAATTAATTAGATTTCCAAATTTTTTTAAACACACCAGACAAATTTTTTTATCTATGTCGGTCAGACTGTCTGTGTTTACAGTGCAATTCAGTCAAGCTGCTTGTGCATTTTATGTCCTAATAGCAGTTGCACCACGTCGGTGCATTTGAACCTTCAAGGTGTCTAGAACAAGTTTTGAGTTATTTTCAATACCAAGAGATATTAATGTTTGTAAAGTTTAAATTTATTGCACCAGCAAAATTTCATAAATCATCTTTGAAATTATACAATGGACATAGTGATAGTGGAATAAAATATAGGCAAAATATTTAACACAATATACAAAAATTCCTCGGTTTGCATGAACCAATTATTTTTTTTTTTATCTTTCTCAAGTATCAACAATTTTCTCTCCTTTTGGATGTGTGTAACAATTTGTGAATTATTATTCCTTGAACCAGACGCTCTCTGTGACAAGTAGATTAGCTGACGGAAGGCAGGACAAAAGTGACGAAGTGTGAAATTAAATTATAAAAGAAAAGCAACACTTTTGCAAGGAACTACCAACGGCCTTTTTCATCCACATTAAATAAAAAAAGAAGGAAAATCTGACTGAGGCAATCTTTCAAATGACACAAAACAAAACAAAATTGCATTGCCAATGGAAATCTGCGCAGATTCTTCATACAGCTTCAACTCATTAATTTCGAAAGTGCGAAAAAGTTTTTCGATTAAGACTTTTTATAGCCACACAATGGAATGTGTTATTTTTCTGCTCAAATCTACCGGCAGGGGCCAGAGTGTTTGCTCAGCACAGACAACAAAGAGGGTTTGATTGACAGAACTAAATTACGAACTCCTCTGACACCAAAAATGAACAAGTCTCGCAATCGAACGGAGACGACGAAAACACTGCAGCTGGGTAAGAACTAAGACGCTGGTTGACTTGCTGTTGCTTATTTTTTTGTTAACATTGTGTTGGCGTGGGAGTTGATGCTCGAATGTCAGGACATTCACTTGGTGAACGCAGCAAACACAGCCCATAAAACCTCGCAGGTGTTGGGTTTCATGCTCTCAGCCTCAAAGTCCAGGTCCAAGAGCTCTCGCACTCGTTTCATGGCGAGATCGTAGTCATCGTCGTTGAGAGGCGCAAAGGCGTTCTCCAACACATCAGAACTGTGGGCCAGCATAATCAGCGACAGCATCCGTTTATCCATGCGGTGAGGGTCGTTCACCCACCGAAGCAGCACTGAATCTTGAACCTGATGGGTAAAAAAAATTTTCATCAATAAATTCAATAAAACCGTAAAATTAATCAAAAATAATAATAATAAATATTAAAAAAGATGTCAATCGTGAGAAGATAGAAACACAATAGATTCCTTGTGAAAAATATAAATTTTCTTTCTCATCAATTTTAATTCTTATCATAACAAATTTTTTTTTTTTTTAAATCAATCTAGTTTTTAATTTCTTTTCTTTTTGAAAATCTGAGCAGACTATTAAAGTTCCATTTTCTGAGAACTGGGGCTTATTTTAAAGGTTCTAGCGGAAATAATTAACCTTGGATTCACGGACTCTTAAATTGGATGCACACAAATTGATAAAACGCATTTCACGCTAACTCGACAAAGATAAGATTTTAATTCAAGGCAGGCCTTAGAGAAATAGCCCAATACCTTTTTGACAAGTCTACTCTTGGTGACGTTATCTGTGAGAGGGTGTGTTGTCATGTCGAACAACAAAAAATTCTGCTTCTCAGTCGTCAGTACTCCTTTTTCGACCAAATTCTTGGCCAGCCTTTCTCTGACATTTTTTAGCTGGTAGCGCAGTTTAAGTGGGTTCCAGGTCTCACCTGAAAAATAAATTCACAAAGGAAATTAAACAGCCCAGTTGCTGACGAAGCGTCTGATTGTGCGTCACATTTTCTTATCTAAAAAAGTATGGCGCTCCGACGACTTTTGCGTAGGATATACAATTAATGTGATAAAAAGTCAGAAGTTGTCTTTAAAACAGTGAATTGCAAAAAATGCCTATTTGAAAATAGGAGAAACTCAATTATATTCTTCCAAGCAAAATTTAAAATTTTGAAATTAAATAATAATTTAACACATTTTTTTATTTTTTAGAAAATTTTTTCTAAAAATTATTATAACGCACCACTGAGATATTCTATCCAGCTCTGGACAGCCTCAGGAGGGTCTGTGTCCTTCATGTGCTTCAGGGCTTCGTCGAGGAGGACGTCTCCAGTCGGTGTGTCGCTTTTTACCAAGATTTTTCTGTTGAGAAGACTTTTGCGGCGCATTCCTGCCTTCTCGAGCTCAACCCGTCCTCGGATGGCGAGCTCAATCAAAATGCATCCTCGCAATCCGCTGGAAATGCAGTCGTTCCAGAATGAAGTGTAGCCCTGGAAAAACGAAACGTCAGACAAACGAGGTCATTAACAGTGAGAGACAAGAGCAGGAAAACAGGCCGCCATTTTTCCAACATTTCCACGTAGACGGGGCCGTCGAGGGCCAAATTTCGAACTAAAAATTCACCTCTCTGTCCTTGAGTCCCAGCAACAGGACCTCCTCCATCAGTGTCAGTCTCGTCTCTTTGGAGTCGCCCTCTTCCAGGTCATCCTCGCCCTCTGCTGACCTCTTGTCATCCACGTCTGTGGCATCTTTCTGGGCCCCATCCGAGGTGTCCCGCGGGACGTTCCGTCTTTGAACCAGCCCGTCAGCTCGGTTCATGCTTGCTAAAGATTACTGTCGATTCGCCGATTTCGCCAACGACTGCTCTTGCGAATAGTACACGTAGTATTTACAAAACAAATTCGCTACTTTGTTGACATTTCCATCCAGCAAGACATTTCACTCGCCATTCCAATATGGCCGCCTCCCGAGCTTATCGGGTTATTGTGCGCACTGCGCCGGACGGAAAAAAGCGGAACGGCGCGAATGTGCACCTACGTGACCCCTCCCTGCGGCCACTTTCTCCGCTTAAACTTTTTTTGCACCATTCATAAAAAATTAAATCATTAATTCTCTATGTAGTCCAAAACCATTGGTAACCCATGGAATTTTTTTCATAAGTTTGTAAACAGATAATTATTAGAAAAATCACTTTTATGGCAGAAGAATGTCTTTTTCTTTTAATAATTAAAAATGAAATGCAAGAACTATTTTAAGTGCCGTAAAAATGCTCTCATAAATGTATTAAACACATCCACTCATACAACTTATAATTTAACAGGATTTTCAGTTTATGATTTTGACGTTTCAAATAAATGTGATGGGAATTGCTGGACATATTGCAGCTTAACCTTTTCCTTTTTCTCCAAATTCTTTGGTTTTCCTCTGAAATTATAAAAAATACATATTCAGTAAATTTGTATCAAGAGTATTTGATTTCCATACTTAATAGTTGTTTTTGAGGTTAGATTCAAGCCGGCCCAAGTGAATTCGACTGGTCTCAAGGCACCGAAGAAATCAGTTATGGGAGTCTTATATGGGTCTCTAGGGAACAAGTCTTTCCGAACACCTACGGTTGAAATGCAGACTTGCTTCGGGCAAACTTTGAGCTGGAATATGAAAAAAAAGATTTTTTTTCATTTAAAAAAATGTTTCCCTTTTGAAACTTACAAATTCTCCCATTGACTGTTTGCTATCGGGTTCCACTTTTTCCAAGAAGTCGAGAGCAAAATAAGTGTAGCGATCGATAATGTAGACACCAATGGCTGGATCAACATGATGCTACAAATTTAAAAATAATACATGAGCTAAAATTCATTAGAAAAATATGAATAAACTTGCCGATAGTGAGTCTTCTCCAACCAAGCTACTCGCTACTGCCAGAATATTAGGCGAGTAGAATTTCTCGTACATCGAAGCTGCTTGGCATGTATCAATCATGAAGAAAATTTCGTGATACCTTTACAATTTTGTTTAACAAAATTTTATACAAATGTAAAGTATTAACATATTACCTTCTCTTTTCCCACATCTGTTCTAAAGCATCGGCCAGCTCCTGGCTTGTGATCTCTTCAGAGTCCTGGAACTTGAGGAATCCATCTCCTCCGTGTCCAGTGAGGTAGACTAGAACATTACTACCTTCATCTGTCAACAACTGCTTTGACCGAGGCGTCCCTGGTGGCAGTCTTCCCGTCAGAAGACGCACAAAATTCTCAACGGTTACCTTAATTAGTAAATTTTGAAATTAAATAAATTATTAAAAAAAAATTAAGCATTGATCAACCTCATAGCCTCTATAATCGACCTCCACATCGTCTCCGTACACATTTATGTGCTGATTTGCGTTGTTGAAAACTGTAGCTGGCCTCGGATTCCTCGGGTTGCAGGCCATATCATCCGCAACCATCAAGATAATTTGGCTGAAATTTTTTAATTTTTTGTAGAGAATTGTTTTCGAAAACAAAATTTGTTCTGAGAAAATCATACCTATCAGGAATTCCTAATCGTTTGACACTTCGATAGATTGATAGGACGTTGGCGACATGCCGGTAATTGAACCAGAACCTCGAAGTGTCCACCAAAACAGCCCAGTTGTTGGTGTGAGTGGTTTGGGCCTGGAAAACGAAACATTTCACAATTAATTGCACTCAATGCTTACTATTGACAATAAACATTACATACCTTGGCCGAGAACACAAAACACGAGACCAAAATCAGTGAGATCTTCACGAAGTCCATTGCAATTCAGGGTTATTCCAGTTATTGCAGAAAATTTATCAGTCTTCCATGCGACGCATCCTCCACTTTTAGCATGCAGAGTGCGGAAAACACTGTAAAATTTGAAGGAAATTAAAAACACCGGCTCAGAGAAGTATTAGTGGCTACTGGTGGGCGTAACACAATCAGGAGGGGGCGTGACCGCATAAAAAAACTTTTGACTGGAAACAGCTGGCGAAAAAGAGCATCACTTTTTAGACGACGATATTTTGGAGAATTTCAAGCTCTTGAAATTTTTGAATGGTAAGTAACGCACACTCGAACTTAACCTCAATATTTGCTGACAATGTTCATTAGTAAAAGCTGAAGGTCACCCTAGTCTCATTTAAATTACATTGCCTCTTTTTTCTCGTTGTCAGGTCAACGTTCGGTCTTGAAGATCTGATAGCGCGCAGGTGCCTTCTAATTTTGTGCGATTTTATCAATTTGGAGCGAGCAAGCTTTGCCCTCATATTGTCCTTTGCTACTGTGCCAACTTTGAGTTCCCTTTATCTTGAGCCACGAATCACATTATACGTATTCCTCTGTTTTGTCGGAAATTATGCCACACATTTAGTATTAAATTAAGGGGATAGTGAAGCTCAAAGAAATTTTTGCAGACCGGCAAAATTCACAACGGGAGGGAGATTTTTACGTAATTATTATATTAATCCAATGTAATGTAAGACAAGGAGAAAACGCCCCCATTTTCCGACACTTGCTCCCTCGTCTAAAAAAGATCTTTTGCAGCTATGCTATAATTATTGTATAGGATTAGTGTTTCTGTTTTGTTGTCAAAAATTATTTTATTTTTATTTTATTCTCTTTATCCAGCCCTTCGTCCATAAATTTGAGATCTTTAAACAAATTATTCTGACTTTTATCACTTTTATGTCCAAAGTTCCAAAAAATTAACCTTTTAATACATAATGAAACTTTTAACTCATTTTTTTTCTTTTTTGTATCCTTAATGAAGCAGATTAGATTTTTTTAAATATTTTTTACTGTCTTTTTAATAACATTCAAATATATTTATTTACATGCAGCATTAAATTATACTTATAATTAAGAATATTTCCTTGCTTTTATGAAAGATTCACATTTCCTTCTTTTTCAAATTATATGCTTCTCAAATGTCAAAGTAAAATTTAATTAAATGTTTCAGTTTCGACGAAAGAGAAGTGATAATGCAAATAACTACAATTAGCAAGTGCGTGCGCCAGGAAACGATTCAGGCCTGCTCTTCTTCATTTGAGGCAAGCAATTGACTTAATTAATGTCTATTTATAGTAAGCAAAACGCCACAGTATTTTTTTTGCTCAAAATTTAAAATTATATTATATATGCAGCTTGAGTACATATTGCCCATCAATCACTATTTCTTGAGTTATTTTTGCAATTATTTTTGCTTTCAACCTTAGTATTTATAATTAACAAATTTTAACTTTGTTTTACAAATAAAAGGACAGCTATTGATTTATTTCTGGTATTTTAAAATTATATGATACCAAAAATCAGACATCGAAAACCATATCTCTGAATTCCTGTGCTCAATATTATTACCTCAGTGATAGCGTGTCCTTTATCGTGTCATACTTCCTGTGCAAGCCGCATTTTGCTTTTATTTCCAGGCTATGAAAATGTAGCCGCGTGGCTGTCAAAAAATGGCCTCTACTCCACCTATCCAGCCGGATATTATTGCGGAGACCAGCCCCTCAAGCCCGGTGCCCACCACCATGACCCCAAGCCCGAGCACCTCGACCATCAGCAAAAAAAGCGGCAGCAAACGAGACTCGAGCCGCAGTGATGAATTTCTCCCTATTGACACAGTAATCATTTCAAAAAAAATCTACGATTTTTTCATTCAATTTTTCGTAATTAAAGGATTCATCAGGGGCCAACAAAAAGGAGATTAAGTCTGAAAAGTCTTTTGGGGAGAAACCAAAAAAGAAATCCTCGTGGTACAGCGTCCTCTACCCTACGTACAAAACTCGGTCGGAAGGTTTCAAGCGCCTATTCAAAGAATTGCCATTAGAGGAACGGCTTGTTGTTGGTTAGTTTAAACTTCTTAAAATGTTTTGCTCGTGCCGTTTACTTTTTTTAGATTTAGAAAATTTTTTAAAAGGAACAACAGTTGCTTTATTTTATTTTAATCCACCACTTGAGTTCAATTGAATCTAATGAAAAATTACTATTTAAATTTGCAGACTACTCTTGTGCTTTGCAAAGAGACATTTTGGTCCACGGGCGGCTGTATGTGTCTCCAGGCTATTTGTGCTTTTACGCAAATATATTTGGCTGGGAAACTTCAGTAAGGATCCTTTCTTGTGATTATAAAAAGCACACAAGTCTATTTTTACCTTTTTCTAAGGTGACTGTCCCTTGGCGCCAAGTTACTGGATTAACGAAAGAAAAAACCGCACTAGTCATTCCAAATGCAATTCTAGTAACTACCAACAGTGAACGCTTTTTCTTCACATCTTTCGGGGCGCGAGATAAAACTTTCCTCATGCTGTTTAGAATTTGGCAGAACGCCCTTCTTGATAAGGTGAGTTAACACCGTTTTTTGTTTTATTATCCAAATAGGTAGTACGGCGGGACCATAAACTTTATTTCTCTGCGTTTGCGCTGAACTTAAAATTTTGTCACAAACAGAGATAAAGAGACACGGAATGTTCAAAATCCACCTCATTAATATTATTATTTTTCCTACAGACTTGTTCGTTTAGAAAGGTTGGTTTTGGTATTTTATTTTTCTGAAATATTGGCATTTGTGATAAAAGGGAATTGAATAGCTGGATTAAAAAAAAAAAAATTGAATTACAATTAGAGCCAATTGTCTATACAAAAATTAATTTGCTTCTAGTTTATAAGACTATTTTACTTCAGAAAATCAAGTAAAGGATAAGCCATAAATTTTTGTTACACCCATACGAATATTTTTTTTATCGATCCGGACAAAATTGAAGGGTTGATTAATGATGGCTCGCAAAATTTGATCTGTTAAATTTATCATGCTATAGATAGATGTACAGAGATAAAAATGCAATCATGATAATACCAGCTTTGGAGCAATGCGCCTCCTCGTCAAGTATTAGTATTGGCAAAGCTTTGATTTTGATGAGACGCGTTTAGTTCTATTTATAATACAGCCAGTTGCCTACGTTTTGCTTTGCGGTTGGTGCCTGATGAGACTTGGACTTGCAACAAAAACACTCACCACAATTTTTGCATTGCTTGCAGAGCTTGACCAACCAAGAGTTGTGGCAACTGGTGCATTCCTGTTACGGTGATGAATTGGGCCTGACCAGTGATGATGAAGACTATGTGAGCTCGACAGGCATGGACGAAGACTCGGTAGCCAACCTCAGTTGCTCACTCGTCATGGTTAGTATACTTTTTATGCATTTTTGAAATTTCTACTAACCCTGTCAAGATTTTTTTTGTGCCACTAAAATCTTTAACACTTCTTTCCTTGTTTTCTTCTCTTCGAAGTTAATTCTTTTATTTGTTCAGATTTTAAAAAAGAAATTCATTAAGTAACGAAAAAACGTCTTGCGCAGGACCAATCCTCCAAGACTCCTGAAATGATCGAGGCACCCATTACTCCCATTATCACGACCACATGTGTCCAGGACTCAGAGCCTGTCACCAATAGTCAACCCCTTAACCAATCCTATGGCTCTCAGGCTACACCTATTAATTTGCTGGACCCTAATGCTGTCGTGCAGCCCTCCATCAATTCTAATCTTCTGGCAGCCCCATCGACTGCAGATTCTGGGTCCGTGCAAACTGATCTCTCTGACACAACAGAGTCTGATGCTGAGAAAAATAGTAAATTTTTATTTTCCTTTATTTAAAAAATAAATTATTTGAAATTATTTAGCTACTATTGCTGTTTGTCCATCGCCTCATGACGGCCGAGAAATGCTGGACGCCGTCTTTCCAATACCAGTGGATCAACTTTTTTCCCTTCTCTTTACTACCTCCACTTTCTTTGTTGCGTTGCACACCAATAGGAAAACATACGGTAAATATTTTATTATTTTTTTTTTCAAAAATTGAAAAAGATTGTATATCTATCCTGTCATTTTTTAGATATCCAAGCTACTTCGTGGACACCTGACAAAAGCACTGGGATTAAACGTCGACAAGTGACCATGACGATTTCGATTAACAACTCAGTTGGCCCGAAAACTGCGCAAGTCACAGAAGATCAAGTAATGAATATCATTATAAGTAATTGAATTGAATTATAATTTTTACTTTCTTGCAGGTTATGTCGCCAGTTTCTAGTCCAGGAAAAATTTATGTGATCGACGTGGAAGCGAACCAAGCAGGAATTCCATATGCCGACTCATTCTACATCATAAACCATTTTTGTCTTGTCAAAATTTCCGACACCGAGTGCCGTTTGACGGTCAACTCTCATCTGAAGTATCGCAAAAGTGTGTGGGGTCTCGTGAAGACTTTCATCGAGAAGAACTCTTGGTCGGGCTTGGAGGATTTCTACAAAGCCCTCTCCAAGGCACTTTCTGCTGAGGCAGAAGCACTTCTGGCCGGAGAAGCAACTTCTGCTGCTGTGAAACGAAAAAACAGGATAGCACGGCACCGTAGAGTTAGAGCTGGACACGTTGTAATCACAAGTGATACCCCCATTTGCACCACAACTGTTGCATCCTCTGGAGAAGGCAGCCCAACTGTCCGAGCTGGTAATGAATTTATTTGATATTTTAAATCAATATTTAACTATTCTGCTCTTCAGCATTGGTATCCCAATTTGTGGGGAGTGACCGACCTATGAATGCAGGAGAGGCTCCGACTTGTTGCTCTTGGATTATTTTTGCCACTTTGCTGGCCCTCTTGCTGCTGAATGCTGTTTTGTACCACAAACTCTGGGGCCTTGAGGAGTGGGGCCGTGAAGTGGCTCTTAACAAAATTGAACTGCCTTTTGAAAAGTAGAGCAAACTTGCAAGTCTTTAAATTTAATTACATAAATTGTTATCAGCGATAAACCCCAGAGTCACGAAGATTGGCTTCGTCTGCTTCAAAAGCAAGAGGTTCTTCACCGCAGAGAAATGGATCACTGGCAAAGATTTTTAGATGCTGCCATAAATTTATTGAAGCAGGTGCGTTTCAATAGCTTTTTCGTTAATTTAACTAACACCTAAAAAAATCTTTCAGGCAGAGGAGACTTTAAAACAACTGCATTCCTCAATCAAAGGGCCCTCCGTTAGCACAGTGTGGGCAGACGAAAGCACAAGTAACGGCAATAGCTCTCCACCAAGTGATGAACTCTAGTCTCCTGCAACCAAGCTCTTTACTTTCATTGCTCTCACCCGATTTCAAATAGGATTAAATACTTGGAGCATTCAGTGATCAGCCAGGTTTTTAGGGTATTCAAAAGTGATTCCTTGTCATTATTTTCATGATGTGATAGCTGTCTATTTTGTTGCATTGCGTAATTTCACACTATCTTTTGAATTAGTTTAGCATGACAAATAGTAATGAGTCACAATATTCCAATATATCGCAGACGAGAGGATGAATAGACGCTTTTAATTAAGCCCCAACAAAGTTAAACACCACTGATTGTGTTGAATTAAAAGAAGCGGCTCAACTTTTGTTATCCAAATTTTAATTTTAGTTAAATCTGCATTTACTGCTGTTACAAAGAAATCAAAAGTATAAAGCTTGCAAAACTACTCCACTCGAAAACAGTATCTGTATAGCTTCCCAGTGAGAGAATTATTGCAGCATATATATTACATGTCAGATTTATCTTACGTCAAAGGACAATACAGGATTATGAAAAATGCATTAGATTCTTATTTAATTTTTCTGCCCTGCTCTTTCAGTTAATTACAAGTGACCGTCGAGAATTTGCTCTGACGGAGGAGCAAGCGCTGCTCGTTCTGCAGCAATGCGAGCGTGGTCAGCGGCAATTTTCTCGGCCAGCGCAAGGTGCCTTAGTTTGGCTGCTGCAACAACTGGGGTGTCCGTCACAGGCGCGGATCCTGTGTTCAAAACTGGGTGAAATCCATTCGCGTCCGCCACATACTGGACAGTTCGCACACGATTTCGGGGGTCGACGTAGGAAAATTGGCCTTTGGAATTAATATCAAACAAGAAAATTAGCCGATTTGAGGTTACTTCATATTTCACTATTGTACCTCTAACAACTCCAAGTTCATCTCTGGTTTCTGAGTGGGTTCTGTCCACATGACCAGGACGCCTTCCAGCAGCATAGCTGAATGCGTATGGTTGTGGAGGTGCCTCGTCTTCTTGAATCTCAACTTGCTGAACTGCAGAGGCTGCCACAGCAAGCTTGAAAATGAATAATTTAAGATATTTTGCCTTCAACATTCAAATTAAAATGATTTGATAGCACTTAACCTTTTTAATTTAATAAATACCCGGGACAAAATTTCAATCCAATTCAATTAATATCCAATTATGTTCTTTAACTGCTTGCGGTTTCCATTAGAAACACAATTCTACGATTTCTAGTACTCACCAGAAGCGCAATTAATATCTGTTGTTTCATGATGACTGCTCCAGCAAACACTGAACACCTTTTCTCTTGTATATGAAAGCAATAGCAACAGTGAAAGTTTACAATCGCCTGAGGGTCTGCATCACCTTGGCCTGGAGCAGCAAGGTACAGGCAGACACCATTCGTTTTGGCGCCTTAGCCATGACCTTTGTCACTTGAATACCGGATCTAATAAGTCGCTTGGTGTTCTTATAAAAAATAACAAGAAGTGATTTAAGTGCGTTTTCACTTTTATTTCCTTCAGATTGGCGCAAAATATTAATTATTGTGAGATACAAAGTGTAAGTAATGCCATTTCAGCAAAATAAATTAGAAATTTTCTTGTGAATGACAGCAGAAACTGAGTGTTGTTAAAGGAAATAGTGCAGCAACTGATAAAATTTAAGCCAGGAACAATTTAAAATTCCTATGCAAAAATCGCAAAAGGTCAGTTGGATGAGAAACTTTTCTCGACTTAAGGCCAGTTGCAAGTTTTTATTCTTTAAGAGCCTCCTCGCTGGGTGCTGGGGCCGCTCTCGATTCAGCAGAATCTCCCTTCTTCTTTGATCCAGAGACAATGTCGTCAATGCGGAGGAGCAAAATTGCAGTCTAACACAAAGCAAAAATATTAATTATCTTAAGAAAAATTTCATCTATCCTATTCACCTCCACAGCTGTCTTGTAGGTCTGCATTTTGACAGTCAGGGGTTCCCAGATTCCCAGCTCCAGCATGTCGGCAATTTGGCCCGATTCTCCGTTTATGCCCCAAGTTGTGCTCTCCCCTAATTTTTGTTTTATAAAAATCTGAAGTTTTGCAATCTCCTGTTTTTACCTGATACGTGCTTGGCCCTCAATGCAGTAAGAGTCCTGATAGTGTTGGCACCACAATTCTGAGCCAAAGTTCGTGGAATGACCTCCAAAGCTTGAGCAACAGCTCGATAAGGGTACTGAGAAACACCTTCGATAAGCTTCGACTTCTCCATGAGCGCCTGAAATTTAGATGGTAATTTTTCTTCAACAAGGAATAATCTAAAAGAATTTACCTTTGAGACAGCCATCTCAACAGCACCACCACCAGGCACCAACTTGGGATCAAGCATAATATTGCGAGCGACGTGAAGAGCATCTTGCAAGTTACGTTCTGCCTCGTTAAGAACATCCTTGCTTGCACCCCTCAAAAGAATGGTGCAGGCCTTTGGGTCCTGACACTCGGTTACCAAGCAGAAATATTCGTCGCCAATCTGCAGCCAAACTTATAATCACCACATTTCTGGAAAACAAAATATTAATCTACCTTCTTGATTTCAAACAATCCAGCTCCAGTTCCAATGTCCTCTTCCCGGAGCTCGTCAGTTCGGTTCACAATGGTGGCACCACAAGCTCTAGCAATTCTGTTGTTGTCCGACTTGCGGACTCGGCGGATAGCAGAAATTCCAGCCTGCGTAGAGTATTCAATTTAGATTGTATTTATCTAAATTTGAGGAATAATTACTTTCATGAGATAGTGCTGAGCCAAGTCCGAAACACCCTTTTCAGTAAACAGTACATCTGGTTTCAATGCAATGATTTCGTTGCACATTTTCTGAACAAATTCCTCCTCGAGTTCCAGAATTCTTGTAAAATCCTCCTCCTTCGTCATCTCCAGATTGGTCTGAAATTTAATTCCATAGTAAATTATTGATCGTTTTGGTAAGAAACTGATAATGCAAACCTGGCTCTCTCCCTTCTTGTATTCCAAGTTGCAGTCAAGCAGCATGATTCTCGGCTTCTCAATTCTCCTCTTCATTTTAGGGTGGGTCACATCCTTGTTGATCATCACTCCAGATAAGACGCACGAGTCGGCAATACTGCCACCAGGAATCTAAAGCACAATTTTTAAGATTAAGCATTTGACACGACTAGTATTACAAATAATACCTTTTCAACTTTGGCATATCGTTTGATATCAATTTCTTTGCGACCATTATCCTCCAATGCAACGGTATTTACAGCATCCAAAGCAATAGTGCATGCCAAATCAGACCAGCGACTGATGAACTTTGTGCCCACACAAGAATTGATGACTTGCAAAAGCTTCGCGCGATCGTTAGTGTCCAACTTAATACTGCAAATTTCCGAAGTTTAACAAGTACATAAGTACTCTTGAAATATAGCTTATAGAAATATTGATTCATACCTGACTTGTTCCTTAAGGATGGTAATCATGTCTTCAAGAGCCTGTCTGTAGGCACGAATGATGATAGTGGGGTGCATTTGTTGCTCTAGGAATTGTTCGGCAACAGCTAGCATTTCTCCAGCCAAAACGATGACGGAAGTGGTTCCATCACCAACCTAAAATAATAAAAAAATTGTTACATTGTTACTTAATTTTACCTGACTCAATAAAAAATAACAAGCAACAAAAATTCTAAAGATACCACTCCACCTAGAAGTGTGGGCGGATCATTTTTTACTAACAAGTCACGCATCACTGATTTTGGTAATTACGACTGTACCTCCTCATCTTGAGTCCTAGCGATTTCGATCATCGACTTTCCTGCTGGGTGCTGAACTGTGATTTCTCTCAAAATAGCGTTTCCATCATTTGTCATCACAATTCCACCCATAGGGTCCATCAACATCTTCAGCATGGCTTGTGGGCCGAGACATGTTCGAATAACATCGGCGATAGCCTAAAATTGAAGTTTACCATGAGCAAACATTTAACGCATCAATTCAAGTAAAGAAAACGAATTGTCTCTGGGAATTTTGGGATTATTTTTAATAATTTGCGTGGGCGGGCGGTGTAAGTTCTAGAACGACGCCTTACTTTGCCGGCCTGCACATTCTCCAGCTGCACTTTCCGACCGGAGTCTCTCTTTGTGTTCTGACCTGAGGACGGAATTATGAGTAAAAGCGATGTTGGATAAGATAAATTAATCTAATTTCACTCACTGAGAACAAGAACGGGAGCTGAACCTTGAGAACCAAACATTTTAGCGAAAGCACGAGGTTGCTGTCGGCCTGATAATCATACACGGAATTCACGGAAATAATATCTGCGAATCGTGCTGCTACCTATGGGCCGCAAGAGGAAGCTAACTGTTTTCACAAATATGTGGCGGGAGAAATAGTGTACATTTGGATTTTTGATAACGTTTTTTTTTTTTTTAATATTTTTTATTAAACGTACGTATCTCATATCTTTGAATGATTAATATTTCGTGAAACATTTTATAATAATAATGAATAAAAATTTCAATCAAGGTCTTATCATTTGCCGGTAAAAATTCCAGAAATAATATATTTTCCATATTGCATGATTGAATTTTAATTTCTAAAACTTAATAATTACTGTACATGTTTCATTTTTAGCTTCATCATGAATTTATAACTTGGAGTATTCATAAAGAAATTTTTACACAAAAGAAAATTAAATTATGTAATTAATAAAATAAATTGTTTTAATCTAGGCTATATTAGAAAAATTTTAAAAGTAAAAACCAATAACCCATCAGTAATGGCACAATCTACGGATTTATATAATTATGGTTAATTTTGGTGTTTTAAACAAAGAGTAAAACAAAGCAAAAATCTTGATTTCGAACAATTTATTGATAAAAAATTATGAGATAAAAGCTGATAATAAAATTTGTACAAATTGAGGTCTGACAAAAATGTCAAAAACTCCAGAGGGATTAAAAAGGGGACAAGCACAGAAATTTAAATATTACAAAATACACTATTTTCCAATACCAGTACAATGTAGAATGTATTATTATTATAAATTAGTCATTGATGAAAACATCAAAATGCGTATTAAAAGTCTCCATTTTGGGAGGACAAAACAGTTTTACCAAATTCCTCCAGATCAGTTTTCAGATCTTCGATTTTCTTTTGAAGAAAAGAGAGATCCTTCTCTCGCTCCCCTACTGAAATACCTTCGCTGCCAATACTGGGTGAGAATGTTGTAGCTACCGTAGTATGTTGTGCTGGGATGTAACCATTACCTGCGGGAATTTATTAATTTTTTAGAGTTTGAAAAAAAATATTGAAATTACCAATTGAGAACTTTCTTGATCGGGCAGATGCGCCAATTTTGAAGCGCCGTCGTTTGAAACACTCAAGGGCTGTGCCCATCGACTCTTCAATTCCGACAAGAAGACTTAAGGTGTCATCAGTTCCAGACAGATTTTCCAAAATATCTGAAAAAATTCTTTTATTAATACAAAAATATTAGACAATAAAGATTTCATTTACTCGTGACATTTAAACCCATCGAAGTTTCCAGTTTTTCGGAAACTTCTTCTTGTGCGTTTTCTTGTGGAAATAGTTCTTTAGCCACAGTGTTAGGCGTTGTGGGATCATGTAAAATAATATTTCCCGGTGTTTTCCTCAAAATGGAAAGTGGTGTTTTAGCTTGCTGGGGCGTTTTGTACAAGACGTTTCTTTCTCTGTTAAGTTTCTTGCCAGCGATGAAAAAGGGCTCAATATTGGTGCCTAAATTTTTAAATTTTAATCGCTTAATTTTAAATGTGTAAAAACTACCTTTCAAAGTTTCTGTGATGTCTACAGGCAAGTCACGCACACTATCAGGAAATTTAAACAAAGAATGTGGAGATCTCTGAGCTTGAGGTTCCTCCTCTGGGATGCTTTCATCTTCTGTAGGAATGGTGTTACTCGACTTGGCTGGAGTTGTACTCTGCAAAAGAAAAAAAAATCAAGTTCACTCATCTTAAAACAAGAATTGGTATCTAACCCTGAAAGATTCAACGGTTTCGGAATGGTCCACTAATTCTTGAGCAATTACTTGAATGGATTTACTCAAAAGTCGGGCTCTTTCAAGAACCCTTCTTTCCCACTTTTCGCTAGGCGGTTGATCCAAAGCTCCCTTAAGCTCAGCTAGATCTGAATGTGTAAATATTAGCATTTTATGACTGAAAAAAATTATAATCAGCACTCACAATAGTCAAACTTTTTAATCAGCTCGGAGCTCAAATCTAATTCAACTGAGTCTAAATGAGAGATCAGACTTCGTAGTTTTGACGCGCACAATACCAATTTGGGAGCAGAAGTTGCGGAAGATTGAAGTGCCATGACTTTATTTGCGACTATCTGAAATTTTTGTAAGTAATCAAAACATTAAGCTTATAAAATTATGATGTAACCTGAGAAAATGCTGCAGGATCAATCAACTGGTCCAGGAGAGTCTCCAGCCTCTCGATTTCATCTTTCCAGTGATCTTTGTAAAATTTGACGAGCTCGGATTCTCCTTTTCCAGATCGCAAAGCTTGAATCGATGGCACGAATTCGGGCTCCAAGCTCTCTATGCTTGCCAAACAGCTACGCACACCAGAAACTCCTAATGCAAATTTGATAGTTCAGTTTCTAAATAATTTAAAACTTTTCCCCCTCACTTTTGATGTTGCTGCTGCAGGCAATGGCAAAAAGCCCGATTTGCATGATTCGGTCTACATACAGGTCAAAATCAGAAATGCACTTATCGAAGTCCTCAGATTTGTCAGCATCAACAAGCTTAGCAAGAGATGCATCAACGTCCGAAAAAACCTAATTTATAAATTTAAAAACTATTTTACAAAGTGATTTTTTCGGACTACATACCTCGAGGACAAGTTTCAAAAGAGCATTGTTCACTGTCTGCTCAAGCTGGAGTAAATTGTCCGCAAGAGCTCCAAGCTGGAGACTCACCAAGTTTGAATTGCCTTCGTTGTGCAAAGACTCAACTCTTGACAGGACCTACGTTTATGAAAAAAAAAAATTGGAATAAACAAAACTATTCCTTTTTTATGTAATTAAATTTGACCTTTTGACTGATGTAAAAAATGTCTTGGCTGTCCTGATCCAAGGAAACATGAGCAACAGACAAGGCATGGCTGAGTAGAGTTTGGCATGTATCTTTCAACTTGTCAATATCTATTGGCTTCTTGTCTAAAGAGCTAGGGAATAGTAAACTATGGCGACAAATATTTAAAAAAATTACCACTATTTCCCTCTAACAAATCAAGAACTTCATCCATGATTTGGAGAAATTGGCCACACTCGCCAGGATCTTCACCGCCAGTGTCCTTGACACACCATAAAAGACGTCCAAGAACGTACTCGATGGCAGTCTGAAATAACATCAAATAAATAGATTTTAAATTCAAGATTTTTTAGATTTTATATACTTGATGATTTTTGCAGGCTTTCTTCTCGTCCATTTCAAACTGAGCAACAGCTTTCATTAAAAGTCCAAGGCTGACATTAATTTGGTCTGCTAAAAGGAGGTGACGGTTTTGTTCTGAAGGCTTCATTTGGTCTGCCGACTTCCACAATGCGGTGGTACATTTTTTTGAGCAGGTTACCATGTCTCGCATTTTGGTAATGTTTTTGGTCAGTGGAAGATTAATATTTAAAATTTGCAGTTGACACTCCTTTAGGATTTCCGTCAGTTTTGAATCTCTTGTATGTTCGTGCTTCAGGACAGCAAGGCAGAATGCTAAATAAGCATTGAAAACCTTTGGAAGGATGTCCTAAAATAAGAAACAAAACATTTCCTGATTTAAAAAAATTTGTAAAATCTTGAAAAAAAATTAATTAAGAGTGTAATCAATTTTGTTTTGGATTTTTGATCACAAAAGCTTTCAGTTTAATTTATAAAAAAAATTCATCGGCTTGCCGCAATATAGCACGTTTAATAAATTAATTTATAGAAATTAAAATAACATCTCTGCTTAACTACTATCTGAAAAATGAGATTATTAATATCAACTACAACTCGAAGTTCATACCGCAGATTTGGTTTGGAGGCTTTCGTGCAGAACATCAATGGTTTCCAAAAGATCAGTCCCTTTGCCGCTGACCATAACATCTTTTTCAGCCAGCTCCGTCTCGACTTTGCAGGCAATACTTTGGTCTATACTTGTGATCTGAAATCAATATATATGTATAATTCCAGCTGGCAAACTTTTTTACAACGAAAAAATTAGAAAAACTCACTTTTTGCCTGACAGATTCCCAGGTCTGCAGGAGTTTTTGCGACTTAATCTTCCTCTCCATGCTTTCCGGCTGACGTCAAAGTTGTTAAACCATAAGACCCATAAGAGTCACAGGTCAGGTGCAGCTTATTTGAGAAATTTAACCTCTGCAACCCATTTGGCACACAATCGCCATCGCCGGGGGCAGGTGTTTCTTAAATAATTTAAATCCCCCGCCGCTCCAGTGGCGCTGTCCCTTTCACCCTCATAGGACGTACAGAGAGGAGTAGAATGTATTTTGAAGTACCAATGATTTTATTTCTAAATTTCAATTGAATTATACGTTTTAACGAGATCAATTTTTACGTTTTCTCGGCATGATGATACTTATTTATTTTAATTATTTATTTTTGATTACGTAATGTGTGTATTTCAGTTGCCCCTCTGTACACACTCTATCCCGTTTACGATAAACGAGAATCAAGTGGGGAGGGAGGGGATGGGTCGAAACTTCGTACACACAATATTCTGCTGACTTCTGGGTAAAAACTACTTAATTATATAACGCAGTCGCTTTCAGCAAAGATAAAAATGTTTATTCAAAGGAATACAGTCAGTAGATAGAATGGAAACCGGTTCGCCGCACGAACAGCGCACTAAAGGTGTTTTATTTTTTTTCTCTCAAACCCTTTCGCACATGAATTGCTTTTATCAGTGTTGTGAAACATCATTCATAATTATATTCCTATGCGTATGCTTGCTCTAGCCTGCAACGTTTGTATTTGGCACGCGTTCAAGATTACATATTTGTTCACCTGTCGTGTATTTTTTTTTCAGGCTAGTTGACGTGGACCCGCGTTAGCTGTGATAAAATGGATCAAGAGCCTCTGGAAGTCGACATCGACGGTCGGGATCCGACGTTCAAACAATTCCCATCATGGTCCTTGCGCCGGCTGCGGGCGCGCATCCCGGCCAGGGCCGTCCTGTACCTGCTCTCTTTCTCAGGATTCCTCGTCAGTTTCGTCATGCGGAACGACATCAACCTTGCCATAATCGCCATGGTGCGCCACCCTCTCAGAAATCTGACCACCAACGACTCGATGACCGACCTCTACTGTTATGGTCCTGAACACTCGGCCAACAGCACTGACGATGAAGATGAACCAACAGGTCGACCAAACTACGAGGAGGGCAACCTTGACTGGGACAGCACAATCCAGTCCTCCATTATCAGCTCATTTTATTGGTGTTACGTAATGTCACAGATCTTGGGTGGTTATCTCACCCAAAAGTTTGGGCCAAAGGCAGTCTTCGGCTGGTCTCAGTTCATCACCGCCATCGGCTCTGTATGCATCCCTCTGGCAGCCGACATCCATTACTCTGCTGTGGTTTTCCTGCGGTAATTTTTATTAAAACCCAGATAGATTGGATCTTTTTTTTTTAATTTTTAACAGATCAATGCAAGGAATAGCCTCGGGACTGACATGGCCTGCGATGTATGCTATGGCCGGCCGGTGGATTCCGCCAAAGGAGAGGAGCAGATTCATGTCATCGTTCCAAGGTTTCAGTTTTGGAATCGGCCTCACCTACCCTCTGTGCGGCTGGCTGATTGCCAACTTTGGCTGGAGGATTGTTTTCTACGTGACAGGCAGTTTGGGCTTTACATGGTGCGTTATTTGGTTCCTGCTTGCCTACGACACCCCTGCAGTGCACCCCCGCATAACCCAACATGAGAGGCGCTACATCGAGATCAGTCTCGGGGAAACGGTGATCCAGGGCAAGGGACTGCCAGTGCCTTGGAAAGAGCTTTTCAAGTCCCTGCCTGTGTGGTCCATTGGAATCACAACGTTTGGCCGCATCTGGGTCAGCTACACGTTCATCATTTCAGGTATAACTTGTTTCCTTATAGGGATTTATTGATCTGCCAGTGTGTTATATAACCGGTATAGCTATCCATATATCTATTGAATATTTAGTAGAATTTTAATCAAATCTGCAAAAAGAAAATTATTCTTTTAACCAAGGAAAAATAATGGATATTATAATTTTTCTTCTTCTTAAACTATACCGTAATTAGTGTGTCAGTTTAATCTTTTTTTTCTTTTTAAAATTCTATTTAATTAATGATAAAGAATTTCAAATAAGCTTATACGTTTTTATTTTTCTGCGTACTTAACATTTAAATTTGCATTTTAGGACCTATGTACATGAAAACCGTGTTGGGCTTCTCCATCCAGAAGAACGGTCTGCTGAATGGGGCACCCTTCTTGCTCAGTTACCTCACTTCTGTCATCTTCTGCTATCTTGCCGATGTCATCGTAGCCAAGAACATGATGACGTTGAAGAACGTCCGCAAAATGAACACAGCTATTGCCCAAGTAGTCCCCGGACTAATTTGCGTCCTCATCGGCTACCTGGGCTGCGACATTGTACCTGTCCTGGTGGTTTGGTTCATTGCTGTCAGCTGCATAACTGCTGCTTATGCAGGTGCCATGGCCAGCATTGTGGACATTGCGCCGAATCTCGCTGGTCCTATCCTGGCCTTTGCACAAACCATTCACATGTCGGCCAGTTTCCTCTCACCTATCGTTGCCGGTTTTGTTCTGAAAGAAAATCAAAGCTTGGAGCAGTGGCGCATCGTCTTTGCAATAACAGCCATTGTCTCCGTCACAACTTATTTCATGTTTCAAATATATGGCACGGACGAAGTCCAGTCATGGAATTATCCTGACAATAAATCACCTATTCAAATTGATGACACAAACCAGCCCCTGCAGTCTATTTCAAAGACAGACCAGCAAATAAATCGCTCTTCACCTTATGCAACTTAAATTAGCACTTTAAAATTTTAACTGCATACTTAATTATGACTTTTTTTGTTCAAAATGGTGGATTTGTAATGTAAAAAAGTAGTGGTATTTTTTTTATAGTTGCCCATTAAGCACCTTTTTAGTGCAGGACAAGGTGATCATTTTATTACGAAATGTGTTGAGTCGCTAACATGGTACTTGAATATATTTATTAAATACATATATTATTTTTGAATGTTCTGCTGGTAAGGACTTGCCTGCATACTAAGCTGAGATTGTATCTCACTTAATGCAACTAGAGTGATAATTAAGAAAATATCTCTATAACTAGATTTAAAATATTTTTAGGCGTAGACAATAGTGGCACACATTCCACTTTATAATCAATTGTTGATCTTCAGAGTTGTTATAATTCTTGACATCAAAGTGGTCCGAGGCAGCCATTCTCACAATACTTTGGATGTTAAGAGTAAATTATAAGACTTTAATCGTCGTTATCATAAAAAAATTGGGAGCATATTTTATTAATATGATCACTTTAAAAGTGAATTTATCATGTCAATCAAAATTTATTAATCAACCTTCTGTGTTCTTTTTATAATTTTTACTGCCCATTATGTTAAATATGAAGTCTCTAAAATGCCATGTTTGTTTTTAGTTCTATTTAAGTCAAATAAATTTTCATTTTTAGGTACAAATTGAGTGTGTATGATTATTTGTAATAAAACTATCACATTTTTGTATTATTAAAGATGCTTGATCTTCATTTTTGAAGCATGGAACATATAATAAGAGCCTCAGCCTCTTTGATTCATCTTCAGTCTAAAAAAATGAGCTTTAACTCCCTGGCAAATGGAATTCAAAGAAGGCTGAGACTTTTTCACAATTCGTACAATGAAGCGGGCCTTTTTCAGGTCACCCTGCTGGGCAAGACTGATTGCAAAATATAAATAGCACCGAGACTTCATTACTGGATCTCCGAGACGAATGGCCAGTTTCAGCTGCGCCCATGATATTTTTCCTGCCATCACGGCCTGAAATAAATTATGTAAGATTTAATTTTTTATTACAAATAGGATAAAATATTACTTATTTGTCTTTTTTCTAGAGAAACCCTTAATAAAATTGAATGTGATACTTACACAATGAGAAAAGCTATCACCGAGGGCAGAAAACGCTCCTCCCAGAGTCGACAGCCAAGAAAAAGCATGTTCCACTTCTGCTCTCTCTCTGGCCAAATACAGCATTCTGTTTCCCCTTTATAAAAAGAGAAAAATAAGTCAAAAATTTTTCATTAAAAAATAAACATTTACCAAGCATTGTCAATATAGAATGCCTCGGGGAGAACTTCAAAGATGATTATTTTGTTCCTCGTTAAGCAAAATTTCTTCACATGACAAATCCAAGCAGATCGATAGTTGTAAGATCTGGCTAATGTGTCGAGAAGAAAGTAAAAAGCATATGAATTTAAAACGAGGCAAACTTGTCTCTTTTTTGCAAAATAACAAATTCTATCAGTCTTCTTGAGAAATGTTGGCCGACAGCAGCTGCCGGTTTCTGGAACTTTGAAAATGTATGGCTCTTGCTCAGCGACAAACGTCTCTCGTCTGCGGCCTGACGTGCCTACGAGGACAATTTCCAACTCGGACAGATGAGACATGGCAATTCGCTGTCAATCAGCAGCTTCACGGAAAAAAACACAATAATTATCAATTTCGGTCTTTAATAACTGGTTACACTTCTCGTTTGTGTTTGCTCAAAACTCAAAATCAACAAAGCAAACCCACATGCGCACATGCTGAAACACACCCCCTTTCTAAACCAATCAGAGCGTAGTTCTCCAATGACGTCAGATGAAAAATCGAAGAACCTGAAATTAAATCAAATGATTTCACTGTGTTTACTGTTTTTCCCTCTCTCTAAAGCATTTTAAATTTAAAATCAATGATATATTCTTTGAAATAAATTTTTTATTAGCAGAGAAATATATTTTTGTCAATTCTATTATTTGAATTTTACGTCTAGAAACACGGGCTTATTTTTTATTTATCATTTCTAACTTTGAGCGTTGCTGCCAGCTCTTGATCCAGATTAGGCAAAACCCTTTTATTTATTTGATAAATGGTAATAATGTCATCATAGTAGATCAAATTTTCCCGCATGTAACGAAAATTTGGCCAATTTCAGTGGAAAAATTCGAAAGAATCGTAAAAATCGAGTCGCCAATAAATTGCAAAAACATTTTGGCAACACCGCCCCAGGTCTGGTGCAAGGCTACGCCTCTTTCGGATTCTACTCTTTCTCCCTCCCTTGCCACCCCGTCGAGACTCGTTTGGAGTGAGGAAAATAACCCACGAGCTTGTCTCTTTCATTGACGAGGCAGTTGGGACACTTGAGTCGTTGGTATTGTGTGCGTCCGGTCAAGAGCAGTCGCCGCCGCACGGAATTCCTGCATTGCTCAAACAGCGATTTATACGAGCGAGCAAAACTTCCATTCACAACACCGGTGCTTTCCTGTTCAATGGCGTACTTGCGGATCGTTTCGCAGCGAATTTGCACGACAAGGAAACTCGCGTCCAACTCGCCCTTGGTGCAGTTTGTGCCGAGCACCTTCAAGTCGACGCACGCCATCAATGTAGAGGCTGCGATCAACCCCAAGTCGGACGAGAACAGCAACCCGCCGCGCGACCCCCTCGACCAAAACTTCACCGATTGCCAGGCCGCATTCAAGAGCAAAACGACATGGGAAATCCTCAGGGCCTACATTGTCTACACGCTCTGCTCCTCCACCTACCTGGTCGAGAACAACATGCAGGTGTGTATTAATATTTTACTTAAAGATTTTAAGTCAAAAATTAAATTTTAGAACAGTATTACTGTGCGAATGGAATTTTCACCCCCGAATGTTCGAGAATGATTGGAGTTGAGATGGGATTCGTATTCATTTTTTAATAGATGAACTTCTAATGAACTAATTAATAACGAAATATTGCTATTTTAAGATGTATATTAATTTTGATCTCTATAGATTTTAAATCTAATTATTTCCACTGCACAGAGGGATTATATATAGTATTTTATATGATAAATCATATTAATAATTTAATTGTCCTAGATTTTAATTAATTTTAATTTGTGTTCAAAAAATCGCTGTAATTTTGACAAATATTTGTGAATTTCCAAAGAAATGCTGCGCATGCAAACTCAACACAATTGATTTTTAAGTGTCAGCTCTTCGAAGTACACGTGCGGAAATTTTCAACAGCTTCTTTATAAAAAAAGACGCTTTTACTTTCTCGCAAGAATTTTAATTCAGTGCAAAAAAAAACTTCCAAAAAACTTAAATGCTGCTAATTCTATTGAAAAATTATTGTACGCGAAGCACTATTGCGCCGTTGAAGGTGAAAATTCGCAAAGTGCCTTGTCTGCAACTTCTTGCATTTTAGTGCTGGAATTCGTTTAAGCTCTTTGTAGTATTATTAGCTTGGTCGGTGCAACGCTGTTTGTTGATAATAAATGACCGGCGGACACGGGTAATGGAATGAATTTGTTCCGAACGTTAATGAGAAATAGCTGTCTGCACTTTACTTTCCGACGTCAACAGTCACCTGCTTTTAATTAATTAAATCTGGCCTTGTTTGTGAAAATTTGACAGCTTTGGAGAAAATTAATTTTAATTGGTGCTCAAATATATGCCAACTTGATGAAAGTTTATATCATTGGCTTTATTCATAATTGAGATTATTTTATTTTTCTTGTGAGAAATTTCGGATTAAATTTTTTGCCGAGCTGATGAAATCTTCAATCAAAATTTCTTTACATCCAATTTTAAGAATGAAATCTGAAATTATTGCTCCTAAATGAAACGTAGGAAACATTTATGATTATTAATTATTTCAAAATGTCCTTAAAATTTTAAATTTTCATTCAAAAATTTAATATAAATCCAAATAAAAATTTTTGTGTGCTGGAAATATTTGCTTTGGTGGGTGGGATTATATAAATGGGCCAGTCTGTCTGGCATCGCAGTATTTTTGGTCTTTGCGCCCACCGTATGAACACAGTTTGCAAATCACTTGGGGTGGTCAAGGCCGCCGCCGCCGCCCAACAATATGCGAATTGTACAGCTTCAGTCGGAGCTCTTATCAGCTTACAAAAAGTACTTGATGCAAACATCGCGTTTCCCTCTACAATTAGGCGGAATATTTTTATATGCGAAACTCCAACTGAATTTTTTTAAATTTCTGAATTTCCAAGTAGTTGACCTTGGATTCTCTTGCTTTTCGCAGCAATAATTTTATTGCCCCCCAATTTATCCTCATCTTTTTTGCGCAAACCGAGACGGTAAAAATTATACTCTTTGAAGTAATCTCAGTATTTTTCCTTGAAGTCCATTCGGAGGCTTTTTAATTTTAATAGAAGAGCAGACGAGGTATAAAAAGTCTAGCCGCGCGATTAGCATGCGAAAAGTGGTGAGTCTGGGCGATTTAGGCCAACGCGACTTGGAGCAGCGAGATCAATGGCGAACCAGTCGGTATCACTTGCTGCCGCGCGCTATTGATTTCGCAGCCGGCATCCTTTTTTGCGTCAGCCCAAGTGACATTATTCCGCTGCAACGCCAAGGCAACACACAAGAAACTGATCAACCTTGAATTCTGGAAAAAAAAATTGTGAAATAATTTTTAAATTTTTGGTAGGAAAGTTATGATCTAAGAAAATTCAAATTTTCTATTGAAATGAAAAACCTAGAGTTAATTTTTCAACTTTTTTTATTGGAATTATTTAAAATTATTTATTACATTATATTAGCTTTGAACAAAATATTTATTCGTTTTTAATTGCAAATTAAGGACAATTTAAAAAAATTATATATATGTTTTTTTTATTTGTTGAAATTTTTTAAATTAATTAATTACATAATATGAACTTCGCACAAGAAATGAAATTGTATCTTTTTTTTTTTAATGTAAATTAAATTATTGAAGACGAATTTTTGATACATACACAAAAATTTTAATTAGAATTTTGGTTAATTATTAACAGTTCTTCTCAACAAAGACATACATTTCAGCGTCTCTTAACTTTCATAACACGAAGTTTACTTCTTGTGAAATTTTCATGCGTCACGTTTGCGTGTCCAAGTCCCATGATTTTAAATTACGTCTCGTCCATTTGCAATTTGAAGCAGCACTGAGGCGCAAATTGTTTGCGGTTTGCCGGTGCGGTGCAGTTTTGGCAGAGGCTCGTTTCGTCGCTGCGCCAATCACTTTCATTTGTTCTCGGAGGCTATTTAAGGAACAGCATCATTGAGGCCATGCGTTTACGATCAGTCATCTGACCAAGCAGGGGCCAAAGCCAAAAAATAAGAAGTACACATTGTTGAAGAAGTCGGGACTTATTTTGTATGAAACTCCTTGCACAAGGAGCACAAATAGGCCGCCGGCTAAATTTGAATCTTAGGCGGTTTGGAAATTTTTCATCAATATATCATTTTAGCTTGTGACTCATTTTGAGAGAAATAAATTTAAAGCGTCAGAGCTGGATGAAGTTTAATTTATTTTATAATTGCAGACTAATAATATGTATATTTATTTTGTGATCCTCAAATTTTTAAAACCGTCTTATTGTTCTAGAGATGAAAAATGAGCAAATATTTTTAAAGAAAATTGAAATAGCCATTTTAACATAAAATATGAGCTTTTTCTAAAAAATACTGCTTAAGCAAACTAAAAATCAAATTGAATATAAAGATTATTTTTAAGGCTGAATTATTCCATTGTGCTGTCTTGGAAGCTTTTTTTCGGTTATTTATAACTTTTTTCCTTTGTTCATTTATCTCTTGTGGTGTATTTTTTCATTGGCCGCAAGAAAATCGCCTGACATAAGATGGGCCAATTTCCTTCCTCCACAGACCTGTTTTATAATTCCTTAATTGCACCTCCGAAGTTGTGTGCGAAACTGCGAAGTGAGTAACCACTTATTTGGAAGCCATTCCGCGAACTATTTTCTATTTCGGGACCAAATTGATGGGCAGCTGCAAAACCCGGTCTGCTGAGATCTGGCAACAGAATCTGCTAATTAGCGTTTGAATTTTGTGCCTTATCAATGGGCATCACAACGCGCAGAAAAAAAATGAATAAGAGATAAGCATGTGTCGCGCGTGTTGCATCATACCATGCGCGACACCAATAATTGCTCGTTTCCAAACACCTTTTGTTGAGAGTCGGGAAGACCTGGGGTCGCCGCAGGATGGGGAAATGTTTTGTGGAATTCTGTTTAAACCAGTTACGTAACAGCAATACCAAGAACTCTTGCATAATGTGTCTAATAAAATTTTTATTCAAACTTTTACAATATTGAAGTGGAAGAAAATTTAATTTTAATAATTAAATTATTTTATTATTTTATTTTAATGATTTAACTGAGGCTTATTTTTTCATTACTCTTCTTTCTAATCAAGAAACTGCGCCTTAAATTTTCCAAACATTAATTTATGTTTTGACAAAAGCAATTTTCACGTCGGCCAGATTTTGGTGCACGATGTGATGCGACAAGACGTAAAATAATTTTGGAGCAGACGTGCTTGCTTCCATTGATCCACTTTTACGCATCTCGCCGTGGCTGATCGATACTGCAGGCTGGGTAGGCGCCCCCGTTGCTCCACCGGCGCGCCTCTCATTAAAATCAAAGCGTGCTCAACTCCCCCGCACGTTTCCAATAAGTCCTCTATTAATATAACACGCGCGCTTTTATAATTAAGGGTTCCGTCGGAATATCTGTAAACAGCGACGACGTGCTTATTTCTGAGTGCGCACATCAGTCGAACTTTGTTATTGCCGAAGTTTTAGAAAGAAACTTTTAAAAACAGGCATCCATAATATGACAGCCGCTTGAAGCACTCAAACCCTGCAAAATAATTTACATTGAATATTTTTTTAACAATTTTAAGACGAGGGAAAAATAAATATACCAAAACAAGTCATAATAAATAAAAATTTACTGCTTCATATTTTAAATAAATCTTAATTCATTAGAATGGAATTAAAAAAAAAATGGTTTTTGTACCAATTAAAGTGCTCAAATATTTGTTTTTAATTTAGTCCGAGGTGCTAAATTGAAGTCAATCATGGATTTTACATTGAGCCCGGAGGAGGGAAACCTTTCTTGGTAACCAGACGATCATTTATCATAATAATTTTAATTATATTTTTACAAAAAGTGAATCGATTTAAAATTAGTTAACAAAAACATTTGAATTGTTTCAGATAATGAAAATAAGCCAGAAGATCCTGGGTAACAGGCTGTTCAACTGGTTCATGAAGGGAACCTTCTACGGCCACTTTGTTGCTGGTGAGGATCAGGTGACGATCAAGCCGACCATCGACAGGTTGCGTTCCTTTGGGGTCAAGTCCATTCTCGACTACTCGGTGGAGGAGGACATCAGCACTGAAGAAGCGCAGAGACGAGAAACTGAGTAAGTTGAGAGGACACTTGGGTGCAAAAGTATTCCTCTGGAGTGTGGTCGTATTTTTAACCAATATAACATTTGTATTTCAAAATATGCAAATTCATTTGAGTGAGGATAATTTATTTGAATTCAATCCAATAATTTCATCCTTACACCATGCGCACAGTTGATTTTGCAATGAGCACCAACCATTAACTTAGCCAAAGTATTTTAATTCCTCGGTCTTGTGTTTTTCACTCTTCTCTCCAAAAAGGATTCACGATGGGTAAAGAACTAACAAAATTTATGTTTGTGCATGAAACTAACTCTGCATGGTTCATTTCTTCTTTGTTTCCTTGGCGTTCTGCAGCTAATCTGGAGTTTGTTTTGATTCCAGGTTTGCCAAAAGGTGGCTTGATTTGTTGCATGCAATTTTAAGTGTGTCTCTGCCACTCTGCCTATTTAAAAGTTAACTCTTTCTCTGCCTTTAGATTAGTATTTTCTCTTAATTTGTTCCTCTCAGTTCACAAAACTATAACCTGCTGAATAACGTTTTCCGTTACAGGTCATGCGTGTCTGAAGCTGGAGATGACAACTCTCAGGGTAATGAAAATTTTGAATTTCACTATTTTGTTTAAATAGAGTTTTTTATAGGAACCATAAAAAGGTACCACAGCCACCAAGAATTTGCGGACCGACGATACAAAGTTGACAGCGCTCGAACTTACTTCTATCTCAACGAGGCCCAGTGCGAAAGGAACATGGAAATATTCATGAAGTGCTTGGAAGCTGTTTCAGGTAATCCATTGAAACAAATTTTATATTGAAATAATTTTAAAATCAAATCTCGTGCTCTATAGGGACCACTGGTGCCACTGGTATTACCGCAGTTAAGCTGACGGCCTTAGGAAGACCCCAACTTTTGGTAAATTTAATTTTTTTTCTGTATGCTTATTTTACATTTTATTTATTACTCCAGTTGCAATTGTCAGAGGTCATTATGAGAGCCCGTCGCTACTTCGAAGAGTTGACTGGTCATCACGGAAGCATCATTGGCCATAACGTTAAGCCCGAAGATTTAGCAGAGAAATTCGGCAAAGCCAGGCTGATCAATGATGTGCAAGTCCAGCATTTCCTAGACAAACTCACCTACGACAAGAAAGGGTAAATATTTTGACGCTTATTACTTTTTTGACCTTCATTTAAATTAATCACAGCGTCATCCATTTGTTCCCCTGGTCGGGAATCATTGACGAAGACGCCCAGCTGAGTGACACTTTTAGACTGCCTGATCTGAAAACAGGCCGGATGGTTCGTCTCATATCGCAGCTGACCCCTAAAGAAGAGGAAATGTTCCGCAACATGATTCGCCGCATTGATACCCTCTGCAGAGTAATTTTCTTTTTTAAATAATTCTCTTTTGGTACTGAGATTGTCTGTGTGTTAGTTTGCTAAAGAGTTGGACGTCCGCATCATGGTAGATGCTGAGCAGACCTACTTCCAGCCAGCCATCACCCGAATCACCCTGGAAATGATGAGGAAACACAACAAGGAAAAGGCCATCATGTTCAACACATACCAGTGCTACCTCAAAGAGGCTTTCAACAATGTCAGCACCGACTTGGAACAGGCAAAGCGACAGAATTTCTATTTCGGAGCAAAGCTTGTACGAGGCGCTTACCTAGAGCAGGTAATTACAATATAAAAATCAAATTGTCAAGGTTACAAGTGTTATGTAAGTTGTTCTACACACACAATACTTTTTTACGCAGGAACGAGCCAGAGCTGAAGCTCTAGGGTACGAAGACCCGACAAATCCTTCCTTCGAGGCAACATCAGATATGTACTATAAGACTTTGAGCGAGTGCTTGAGGCGCATCAAGGATGGCAAGTCTAAAGGAGAGGGTAAAAAGATTGCAATCATGGTGGCTAGTCACAATGAAGACACAGTCCGTTTCACTCTTAATGCGTAAGTTTCATCTCTATATCATGCCAACGATGCTTAATTTTAAACCGATGTTTAGAATGAAGGAGTATGGAATTTCTCCGGAGGACAAAGTCATTTGCTTTGGACAGTTGCTAGGCATGTGTGATTACATAACCTTCCCACTTGGTATGGACTTGTTGCAATGCTAGTGTGGAATTTACTTCAATATCTGATATTGTACAGGTCAATCTGGTTACTCAGTGTACAAATACATCCCATACGGACCGGTGAACGAAGTTCTGCCATACCTTTCCCGCCGAGCTCAAGAAAACAAGGGCATTTTGAAGAAGATCAAGAAAGAAAAGGCACTTCTTTTCAAGGAACTCACAAGGCGAATGTTGAAGGGTCAGTTGTACTACACACCGAACGGTAATTACAGGCCCATCTAAGCGGAAAAAGCAGTAATGTGATCCCCCTTTTAACAAGATGTTAAAATAATTATAAGAAGCTCCTCATCAGTGTGATTAAACTACTAGTTAATTACAATGTAAACGAGTTCCACAGAACAACACAGTAGTGACATTGGTGGGATGATTGTCGAGTATTATCAAATGTTAACAAAAATAGTACTTAAAAAAAGATATTGCAAAGAGACGAATGAAGGAAGAGACACGATGTTGGCCTGTCATATCTTGTAATGTACTTAGCATAATCAATTTAGAAGAAAAAGACACAAAACTCCATTATCAACTCTTTTTTTAAATCCTGGAGATTGAACTGACAATTTGAAAGCATTATTGCATGATCAAAGAGATTTCTTGCCAACGCCCATTTTTAATTTGAAAAGTTTCCAAGCCCCAGCTATCCTTTGGAAACAAGGAAATTGAGCTTGCAACTTCCGTTAAATTTCAACAATTTGCAGATGGATGTTGAAATGTTGTAATTTCTTTATTATTGTAACTTAAAATAACAGTATTATCATTTCTGATTCATAAACAGGGCGTGCTTGTCAACACAGATCTCTGATTTCTTGATGTACGAATCTCTTGATCATTTTTGCCAAGAGGCCTACACAGAAAATCCCTCAACCGGGAAAAACTGGAAGCTCGCGCAGAGAAAACATTAAGTACTTATCGAAGTATATAATATTTTGAGAGAGAGAAAAAGAAATACTATATTTTTGTGCTGAATCTCGTGGTATGATTGGCACACTGAAAAGTATTATTTTGAAGCGAATTCTTTTTTGAATTTTCAGTCATGTTATTTATTTCTCTTTATAGAAAACAAAACATTTTAAGCTAAAAATATTAGTTTTAAGTCTTGGACTAGATCATTAATTCTTGCTAGCTGAACACGCAACACAATAGAGAAATAAACTCACTTCAAGTGCTAAAATCATTCCTCTGTTGAACAAGTGTGTTTTGGGGTTGCCTTGTGCTATTCGTCAAAATCAGAATTAACTTTTAAACTAGGGTTAAGCAGAAATTTTTAAGTATCGAATTAACAACTATTCTTGCCAATGGAAAGTCATTTTACTCTATATACGTACTTATTTTATAATTTTTAAATTTCACGTACTTGTATAATTGAGAGGCAACCCTGACCAAACTCTGAATTTTGCCGTACATTCATAAAACAGTGCCCTGGACATTTAACATAATTCTCTTTCCTGCCAGCCAACTAGTCGAATTTCTGTATCCAAAAAGCAAATCCCCCAAGTGCATTTCATTAATTTTTTGTAACAATCCTTGCATTTAGATTGTTAAACTTGTGAGTTATTCAAATGAAGTGCTGTACTCGAGAGAATTATCATTTTGTCTAAAAGCAGGGTGTGATTTGTGTTTTTATTCATTAACAAAATTGTACACACAATTAAAGGATCCGTCATGTAATGGTAATGAAGAATAAGAGTGATATGTCCGAGACAATAAAAATTTCTTTCATGTTCAAAAATGCAAATAGACTTTTCTTACATAAAATAACATGTCAATTAAAATTGATCACATTGTTCCATTCAAATAGCTTGGCTATAGATGACAGTAATCCCGAGGGGGTGGTTTAATTCCCGCTTCTAATATACGACGCTCATCGTCACGTGATAAAAGTTCATTGACTTGTCGGTCGTGGCGTCGTGGCGCTCTTGTCCTTGAAAAACGTAAACAAAAAAATGCACACAGAGAGCGTCTGAAATCATTTTGTTGTTTGCACGATTAATGGATTAATGTTAAATTGTTAATTATTTAGCCAATATTAACATACCGACCGCTATTCTGGGGTCAAAGCATTGTGAGGGAAAGAATAACTAAATAGGTGAGAGCCATTTATAATTAAATACTTAGTTTTTAAATTAATTGTTAAAATCATTCTGGATTTTAATTGCCATCATACATTATGCATGTATTATATATTTTAGTGAAATTTAAATGTACGTTAAACACGAATTAAAAAAATATAATAAATTCAAGTTTATATTTTATTGTTTTTCCATTTTTTTTTAGTTGCTTGGTTGTGGATTCGAGACTACATGTACTCAACATGCAGAACGCAAATGACAACCGGTGGGCTGCAATCAGCCCCAAAGTGGCCGAGTATATCGAAGAGGAAAACACCGAGGCCCTGAAGAATCTCAGCGCTTGCGGGGATGTGGAACGCATGCGAGACGGTGTCAGCGGAGGGAACTTGCTGCACACCAGTATTGCGAAGAGGAAGAGCAAGGTGGCCCGATTCCTGCTGGAGAGCTTTCCTTCTCTGCAGTATGGCGTGGACAAGCGAGGGCTAACCCCTCTCATGTACGCTTGCGTCCACATCGAACAGGACCTGGATCTGATCCGCAGAATGGCCAAAGTCGATGGCTCGCTGCTCAATAAACAAGACACTGATCTCCAAATGACGGCCCTGATTCACTGTACTTGAAAATATTTTGTCCACAATTAAACATATTGCTCTAATTCTTAAATGAAATTTTAGTAACCTCAAAGAGATGTCCGCCGTTGAAGGCCTTGGAGATTCTCATCGAGTGTGGGGCAGACTTGAACATTAGAGATTCCAAGGGCTTCTCTGCACTGACACACGCCTTGGCGTCAATGCAGCCTGAAGAACTGCTGTTCACCTTACTTCGAGCTGGCGCAATTGTTGAACCAAGGGATATTTTGAGTCAGTACATCCGTGCCTGCTGGTGGCCCATAGTCAAAGAAATCCTGGACAGAAAGTTGATGGACATCAACGCCGAATTTGAAGGACGAACTTTGCTCACCCAGTATGTCTGGTAAGTTTGTTTGTTTTAATTTGAAGATTAACGTGGAAAAATAGGCTTCTCCTTGTCAAACAACTTGCTTTTAACAACATATAAAAACTCAAATAGTTATGTCTGCTGCCTGTGTTACATAAAAAAATTGTTACAGGCTTGGTATGTTGGAAGAAGTTGAGTATTTACTCGAGAAAGGTGCAAATCCTGACGTAGGACGAGGAGCTCTACTCGAAGCTGTAAAGCTTGGATGTATTGACACTTGCAATCTCATCATCAAGTTTGGTGCCGATTCCAAAAAATTCGCCTCAAGCTTAATCTCGGAAGTGTTCAAAAGCAACAGTACATCTTTGCAAAACCTAATTATGAACCTTGATGGAGTGCAAGCCTGCCAAGAATTCACTTTCATGCACGGAACTCATCCTCAAACTATTGCCCTTGAGAGTAGTTCGCCTCGCTTATTGAAGTTCGTATTGGACCACCCCTACTTGAAAAATGACACACTCCTGATTGACATCCCTGACGTCTTCAATGGGATAGAATTGTCTCATTTTCCTTTGAACATTTCGTACACCTCTATAATTCCCTTAGTTGCGCCTCTGTTCTTACCCGGTTCAAATGCTTATGCGTGCCCGTTTTTTGGAGAACCACAAAAAACCCTCTTGGACATGATGATGGAGGCCAAATTCACCGCAGCTACCCCAGACAAACTAACTCAATCGCCGCTCAGCATGCTTTGCCAAAATTTGAGGTCAAAGTACAATGATGTAGAAACTGTGGCCCTGTTTCACAAATATTTCAACTACATGATAAATAATGGTGCAGATGTCAATCAGATTTGTTGGCATGCAATTCCAACTCGGTATTGCCCTGGATACCCAGAAATCTTTTTGTACCTGAAAGAGGTGTTGCTTGTCCCTGATGCACTGCTGGGTTCCTTCTGGACTTTACAAACTGGAGCAATCGTCCGATTGCTGCAATACTGGAAACAACCACCAGCAGCCCTCTTCCTGGGCTACTATCAGTTCTTCAACAGATTGCGCGAACCAACAATTAACTACAGTAGAATGCTGACAATCCTGCTGCATTTCGGCATTCCTCATGGATCAGAGGTCTTGGAGAAAGTCAAGAAAGTCATCGCAAAATACATGGACGAAGAGTCTCTAGAATACGCCAACAAGATCATCAATAATTATTATGGTATGTCCCAAAATGTTTTGTTCCCATGGAATTTGAATTAAATTAAATTGCAATATTGTTAGCATAAAATTTATCCAGGAATTGTTTGCAATATTAGAGCTAATTTTATTTTTAAATTTGTTTCACATTTTCAGCACAACCGCTATCGCTGGAGAAACTTTGCATTCATGCTATCAGGAGCAATTGCAAGGTGGGAAAGGGTCAACTACTGCCCGAAGCCCTTGCTACTCTCCCTTTGCCTATACCATTGCTCAGACGTCTGCAGTTTAAAGTGGATGAGGCCAACATTGTTGCCATCGATATGCATCTAAATGATTTTGTCACTGGAGCTGTGCCGAGCTTCCATCTTATTTAAAAAAATGGATATGCCTTTTTCACGTAATTCTACGTGATTTATAAAATTTGCATTTATATTTTTGTAATATTCAACATGAATTTTGAATACTGTAAATCTCTAATTTAAAATGCTCATTTGAGATTGTATCGTATTTTAATAACTCTTTAGAGATAAATATTCCAGGGCTACAAATTTCACGCGCATAATGATTTTGTGATATATGTTCTGTGTTGATATTCAAACTTGAGTATATTTTTTTATAAGATTTAGAGGAGCTTGAATAATTTAGTGTCGTAAATGGACCAAAGTGTGAAGTAAAAATATATCGCTTAGGAAATAGTTATTAAATTTTGAAACTACTTAAATCTGTATCGAGTGTAATTTCAATTTTCAAAAATAAATTAAATAAGAGATGGAAAAAATTCCGTTTTTATTATAGAAGCTTCCAGTAATCAGCAGCTGCTGTATATTAATCTTGAATATTGGCAAGAAATAAAAGAGTTCATATTATCTTATCTTTCAATCAGAACCTGCGCTAAAATGAGTGTTGCACCCATTAAAGATAAAAAGTGACGTCTGATAAGTTGTTAGCGAAGCTTTGAGCCAAGCTTTTCAATAAAGCACTTTTGTTTCTGCCGAAGAAGAATGGCGTGGAAACAGATTGTTTTAATCCAGCTTTTCGCTGGCGCTTGCTTTGCGGAATCATTTTATGGGCTCTTTCCTAAAGAAGATAGAGGTGAGTGACAATTTTATTTATTGTTCGTCAAACAATAACCAGATTTATTTTAATCCATCTAGATATTATATTTTATAATGAACTTGAAACGGCGCAAAGTGGATCAGACGTGAGCCTTTATTCACACAAAGATGTCAATAGCACTTGCAAAGGTAGGCTCCATTTATATATAATTTGCTAACACAAATTATTATTATTATTATGCCATTTTAATTTTAAACAAAAACTAATGGCTATTTCGAGATTAGATCACAATGAGCAATGTCGGACTGATGACGATTGCTGTGCCATCCCGAGCATGATTTGCTGGCACTGGAATGAAACAATTGGGATCCCAAATCCTCCTCCTTACCCGATGTGCAAATGTGATTATTATTACCAATGGGATGAGAAAAACTGGAGATGCTAGTATAAGAATATACAATCTAAAAATTCAAGCCAATTCAAACTTTTATCAATTCCAGTCCGTTCTCATTGTCTCGCCAAATGATGATAGCAGCACTGATGGCTTTTAGCTGCGCAATTCTGGTCGCTCTCATAGCATTTTGCATCCATTCTTGTAAATATTGCTGGACGTAAGTTATTATTTAACTTATAATTATTTTTAAAAATGATTTGCTTTATTTTATAAATATCATATTTAATATTGTAAAAATACGTTTTTGATTCAACAAAATGAATTATATAATTTTGATGATTTTTATTTAGTTACAGGGACAGAATTAGATATATGAGGGAAATCAGGCGTGATAGAAGGCACAGGAGAAGGCAAGTCAGATTGCCCAGAGATCAGTACGGCCTGAACGCTTTTGCCGAAATTAATCCGGACCACCCAGTGAAGCTTCCAACGTACGAAGAAATTGGAACGCATCAAGTAACGAGTCTATTACAGAAAATATTTAATTAATAGTAATTGGATATATTTTTTATCATTATAAGGTACTCTACGCGTCGACAACTACCACTTTACCGTCGGCCCAAGCATTGTCAGGCACTCTCCGTTCTCTTCCCCCGGCCTACGAGACGATCATTGTGGAAGGATTTATTGTGCCGTCAGAAGCAACAACGGATACAACCTCAGGCTTTGTTGAGGAACAAGCGGCAAGCAGCAGAACAGATCAAAGGGGTCAAACTAATCAAGCTTATGAAACCGAAAACCACATTTAATTCAATCAGTACAATTTTACACCATTTTCTTTAGTGAATATTAAATATTGTTATAACAATAATTAAATTCTAAACAAAATAATTCTAACCATCGTTTAATTGTCGATAAAAAATTTTGAATTGATTGAGAAGAATAAATTATAATAGCAAAAATAAAAAAGAAAAAATTTGTGGACTCAACAGAACACAATAGTGTGTTTGTTGGTCTTCGCGCCTGCCCGATGTAAATATATGCAGCCGGCTACGCACAAGTGTGAGGCAGGTTGCAGATGTATAAAATTATTTTTGTATATTTTTTTTTTAAATTATTTTCATTTTGAAATAAATAAGAACCAATAAATTATTAATTTTTCAAGCACTTCCTTATTAAAAGCTGTCAAAACTGCACGTATGTGTGTGAAGTTAATAAAAACAAAAGCTCTAAATTTACTTTTCCTCTCTTAATTGATAGCTCAATTGATGCTTTTTAACATAGGTCATTCATTACTCAATTTACTTTAAGACTTTGGCTTCTCAGAGTTAGCGCTTAGAGTTGTTAATTAAAGCACAAGTTTCCATGTGCCAATCTGATCAGAACTCATCTTAATCTATTGTGATGACTTAATTACCCCCACAAACAGCCTTGAGAATATCGATTATTGAGTTTAGGTAGAAATATAAATCAATAAGTATGTTTAAAAAAATATTTGCCTTTTTTAAACACAACAATTTTTATATCACGGTGCTGGCATTTTTTTTTAACACATTCTCTTTGATATGAGTGCACACATATATACCATAAAAAGGTGTAGTTTCAATATCCACCAATGTGCTCTTCTCATCTTACACGGCGGAGCCAAAGTTTTGTGTGTATTTATTTTTTGCCAAAAGGGAATAAAAAAACAGAGAATCAGAGCGGCGGCCGCATCGCATCTAACTTTCTTGCAATATACAGCTACACAGAAAGGGCATATTGCGTATCGCGCGTGAATAAACAATTTTTAGACTCGAAAAGTTCTGTCGTGTGAGACGGAAAATGCTCAAAGCTTTCTAGTCTTGAGTACTCGGAGAATATTTTCGATCACTCAAAATAAAGAAAAATAATTTGAAATTTTCCTGCCCATACACGTGATAGATTTTTTTTTAACAATATTTAAATTTCTTGGGCGAAAATTGCGATCATCCAATTTTATGCTAACCTAGTCGTCTGGTCAACTTAAACTTAACTTTGAATGGAAATCTTATAACGGAGATAAGGTCAGCGGAACACAAAAATCATTTAATAAACTGCATCTGAATTCAAATAAAATTGGTTATTGCAAATTAAAACTCTTTATTATTCTCATTCAAATGTAATTATAAAGAAATGGAAAAAGTTTTTATACTTTCACTTTCTTTCGCCGCTCCCAACCTTTTCTTATTGGAAAAGTTGAGACAATCCAGCTCATAAATTCCATCGGTCCCTCTGCGGTAATCCGCACGTGGTGACGGCGGCGAGAGACCCGATTTTAGTCTGTCCCCGGAGAAGATGAAGTGTGTTGGCACTTGTTTCCTAACTTTGCAATAATTGTCCCGATTTTATTGCCTTTTTTACGAGCACCTCTTGTTTTTATCGCGTCCACGGGCTGCTCACACACACATTCACCAGGGCATCAATAATTACACCCACGCCACAGCCGCTCCATTCTTGTTGTCGGCACCGTCATAAAAAAACAATATGGTTGCGGCAGGAGTGCCGGAATTTCCTCCAGAAACTCCATCTACTTTCATTGAAACTTTGTCGCTCAGCCAACTGTGGAGATTTTTTTGCAACTCGTAGACTCGCACGCGTGTATAGCGCAATAAAATATTCCACAAATAATAAAATCTAGTTCTTGGAAGAAGTGGTGCGTGGCTCTGCGTAGATTTATTGGCAGAATTTTATTATTAGAATCATACTTGAGTAAAGTTGTGGAACAACGCAACTCTTCTTGAGTCTTATATGAATTATACATGATTTGCCAATGCTCTGGCATTGCAACTGCATGACCCTGAAACTGGAACAAAAAATATATCCTTGTTCTTCATTGTTTTATTTTCTGCGCACTGAGAGTAATTAAAAATTGCAGCGCTCTTGGCGAGAAAATGCCGCAGCTTGTAATTAAACTAGAGGGGAAAATTCTATTTTGAATTAAGTTTTATTGTTTTAATATGAGTATCATGAGTGAAGGAGATGGCAAATTATTTTTTTCACGCTCTTTAATAAAATTTAATAAAATATAATTCTCAGATTTAGACATAAAGAATATTAAATAAATCATATTAAAGAATATATAAATTCCATTTGAATTAATATTATTTCATTCTTAACAATTCATCTCTTTATTTAATGAAAAAATATTTAAATAACTGACGACAAAAAATTATTCAGAAACACAAATTTTAAACCTTTTTAGACTGTATAAAAATTATTGTTGTTGCTTTTTTCTCTTAAAAGTTAGTAATAATGAATTGCAATAAAATATTGATTTTAATTACTTGACAAGTGTTTAATACAATTTTTACTTTTTAAATTTAACGCAAAACACTTGCTCTTTTCTATATATAAAAATAAAATGTTATAGGTGGCTTCATTTAATAAATATTTCAGAAACATTATATTAATTCAGACAGAATTAAGTTGATAAAACTCGTATTAAATTTTCCAAAATCCAAAATGCTATTATTGGAACTGATAAAAATGCACTCCTTAACTTTTCCTTGGGGCAATATAAACAGATAAATTCTCTTCCCTTAAAATACACATACATATGTATAAATAGCCTGCCAATCCAACACAGGGAATGGAAAGCCCGCGGCTAAGAAACCAGAAACATCAAATTGGCAGCACTTTGACGTACTTCTTGTAGCTTAATGAAGCGAATGTTGGGCTAAATTGCTTTCCTGCAAATCGCAAACAGCAGACTGACACACGTGCGTGGGTTATTAAAACACAGTCCAAAGTTGCTTAATCAAAACTCGTGGGTATGTTTGTGCGTACGTGCATTACGCTTTCATTAACGTGCACCGCAAATACAAACGGGTTAAACAGAACAGAGAGGGAAGCCGTCATTGGTGCTGGAAGGCCTCGGTGCGTCCTGGGTGCACGCGACCTTATTAGATAATTGGTAAACGTTGCAATTATGTTCCTGTGCAGCTGCATTCTCCGCAAGGGTGCACAGGCGAATTGCACCGTCCTCCCCAGTCACCACAATAGAGAAATAAATTAATCCTTTTCCTTTTGCCCACGAGGCTGAATCTCATGTTTTATAACAATGAAATTCATGTCTTAAACCCAGAATGCACCCTTAAATTTTCTCTTGTAACCGCCTCATGCATTATTTTTACTTAATAATATTGTTTATGTTCATTGTAGGATTTAATTCACGAATTTAACCCAGAAAACACTCCATTTAATGATTTAATCTCAACGCCCTTTGGCCAGCGCAATTGAGCTAAATTTTATTTTAATTCACTCCAAACATTGATAATTATTTAGAAAAGCTAACGTTTTTCTGTACTAAAAATATGAAGTTAGTTTTACTCCTGTAACCAATTTATTTTTAATAATTTTTATTGCTCCAGAAGTGCATTGTCTAATGCACACCAGATATAATATTTAGTAATAATTAAATTAACTGGATTGGAGAAAAATTAAATTCGTGTTTTAGAACCTTCGATTTCGATATCTTTGCTCCAGTGGCGGCGGCAGGTAATAGTTTCTATTTGAGCCCTCAATATCGCTTCTACGCTGAAATTTAGTGTCACTAGGGGACTCAAATTTGGCAGAATTTTTCCAGGTGATCTCATTTTTAAATTTTTTTTTTTATTCTTATTAACAAAATAATACACTCCTGGTGGATTGAATTTAAATTCGGCTTTTCCTCGATGGGTTTTTGTGAGTTTTTATTGTTTAAGAAAAACAATATCCTGCTCCAAAACAATATACACTCCATTACAAAATATTTGTAGATTGGTTGAAACGGTGAAAAATGAGTAAGCTATACCCAGCTAAATAATTTTCAGGCAATAGCACGAAATTATTACATGCGCCCTGATAAAACGTCAGTTATTGCAGCTGCGTTTTACGTTTATGAGAATTATGCTGCTAATCCCCAGGAGATGAGGCGTATCATAAGTCGACTAATGCCACAGCACGCGAGCAGTAAAACTGAAATGGGACAAAGCGAAATTGCAAATTCCGAAACGAGCATTCCGGCTGACGTCGTCGCGTGTGTCCCTCCGGGAGAAGCAATCAGGCGTCATCGTGTCGTTCTCCTTTAATTATCCATTAGGGGGTGAACTTGAGTAATATGCCCACCTCCTTATCCCAGCGCGCATATATGTTACCGATGCGGTGGCGGGCGAGCAAAGTGCATATCACATAAGGTCTATCGTGGGAAAGACGCAGAGATTGCTGCTTAATTATCACCTAGCCTCGTTTTCCAGTATCGAACCGCAGTCGCTTTCATAGCCGGACACGAATCACTTCGCCTCTAATCTCGCTTTGATAAATTGGATGAAAGCAAACTTGATCAGTTGACTGCACCATACGTCATTCTCACATCGAAGTATAAGTGGTTTTCAATTTCCGTTGACGTTAGAGATAGACCAGGACGGCTTTTTATCTTTACGAATAAAATTAAACTTGCAAGAAACCAATAAAAACTGAAGAAACAGTTGGTACAAATTGCAATCATATTTTTTTTTTATAAAATACATTTTTGAAAGAGTTAAAATGTAATTGCATTTATCATCAAAGTTTTCTTTTTCGCTTTGGTTTAATTTTTTTTTTTAAAGTTAAACTAATCATTAAATTTTCAAACTTCAAATAATTTATTATATTTCATATATATTGACGCTTTTACGTTGATAAGTCTGCCTTATCTGTTCAATTTTCTTACAATTCATAAAATGTTTTTTTTTAACCTCTCTGGAAACGAAAGAGGTTATTGTTGAAATTTTTACTAGAAAGTTGAGGGAAAAGTTCTCAGTGACTCTCGGAGGAGAGGTTTTAAATCTTTAATCGTGCGAAGTCAGAAGCTGAGACACGAAAAGCACGCAAAGTTTCCAGTCGCAAAAAATTTTCGCGCCTTGAGCTCTCTCATTAGTTGCGGGCACGCAATTCTCAGCGAGAGACTCGCAGCTAGAATAATAACTTTTGAGATAGGCAACTAAACTTGAAAATTCCGTACTCGTTAGCCGCACGTTGCGCACATAACAAGGCACTAGATGGATAATCAAGAAAATAGAGAAAAATAATTTCGACAACGTTTATTTTAGTAATTTTCACATCGCACACAAAAAAATAGGAAAAAGGAGAAATGATATATCGAGGAACATAAAGCTAGTTGTCTCCTTCTGGGCTTTCAAGTCGCTCATTAAGCCCTTCTATGCTGTGCCCTCTTGCTTTAGGGCGACAATTCTTTCTTTTTCTCTCCCATGTTGGTCGGCTGCGGCTTCTTTGCCCGGCGATTAATCAGAGGCCATTCATTTTTTTTTACCACTACGCTCTTTTCGTTGATTTTTTTATGGAGTGATATCGTGCGGTGCGTGTCATCGCTGGAAATGTAAAATTTATATCCCGATGTGAAGGTTTTTTCAGTTTGATTCGGAAAAGAAAGAAAGTGTAGAGAGGAGGAAAGTCGGCCGTTCTCTGGGCGGGTTAAAGGCGCCAGCATGAAATAAAGGTCTGCTTTTTAGCTTTTGTTGAACCTCGTTTAATTAATGTGACAATGCCTTTTTTGTTAACCCTTTGAGAGTAAACTCTCGGTGAAATCAAGCGAGTCAAAATTGAAGTGACAATAGAGAAAAAGACACAAGACGATTTTCGTGGAACTCGTGAATTAATGGAGTTTCGTCTCATCATGAAATTTTGATTAATTTCCATGCTAAGGACCAATATATTATTGATTCTTTAAAAAAAATTGATACATTCATTGCAATATTAATTTTATTTTGCACAAAACAGTAGAGTTACAGCGTATGATCGTATATCATTTGGGCAGAGAATGCCCGGTGATACATTAATAAAACACAATTGCAACTATATCATTGTAGCAAAGGAACGAATAAAAGTCAATGAAAGATCTCTAAATGCTTTACTTTTACTATGCAAAAATGATAATAGAGGAACAAAATAGGGTAGTTTGGTTTTTTTCAACGCACACAACGAACGACTCAAAACTCCAGTAAGGAAAAAGTATGTTTTAATTCAAAAGTTACAAAAGCATTAATGTTTGCCCAGTCTTCACGTAGCTCAATTATTCTAATTGAAAAAAAAAATTAATTACATTATTTCCTCGTCCTGCACGGTTTGCGCTGTACACATATGATATGATCCAGTGCAAAAAAATGTTTATATGAAGGCGCTGGACACAATGTTGGATTATTAAATAATTTTCTTAAAGCAAACATTAATTATTATAGCAAGCTGTTCGTTTTTGTGTCAAATTTTTTCCCGAGTTTCGCAAAATGTTTGTAGAAAGAGTAAATCTTATGTATCAGGTGGTTGATAAAGCTAACGCAAAAATTTTCTTATAGAAATTGAAATAAGATAAAACAAAACAATGTTTTGGAAATATCTCTATCACAGATGCTGAAGTATAAAATATATGTTGAAAGGAATTTCTTAGCGCGTGTTTAAAAATAGGTCGTTATATTTTGATAATTTTTAGACCCTGTCAACCCCTGAGAATTTGGAATGTGGCTGATGAAGCAGAACAACAACTATATATGAAAATTTTAAAAATAAAAACAGGTTTTTTAAATTTTTGTTTTCGACTGAAAAGGAATCCGACTTGATTTGTTGCTCGATATTAGACTAAAACGCTCGGTCTTATTTCCTATTAATAAAAAAAAAAACAAAGTTTTTGCGTAGGAAATTGAAATTAATAAATTTATTGTTTTGACCTGTTACTTTTGGCGCATAAAAGGACAAAAATGAGTTTCACTCTTTTTACGCTGTTTTTATATCCCTCACCTGCGCGAAAGAGAAATAAAACGAGACCCTTTTTCGGACTGGCATTGTTAGGAGGCCAGAATTACCCATTGTGCCCGAAATGAATGTCGCACCTTCTGCCAAGAATAAAGGTGCGTGACGTCAAACAGGCGTCATATCGAGGGTCTCTCGAAGGGGTTTTCTGCGTGCCGAAGATTATCACACCGTGGGCGATTAAAATTCGAGCGGTCGCGAACAATGAAGCAATAACAACATTTGGTTAAGCGCAGCGCCGGGTGGAAGTGGCGGCCGCGCCGTTTGTATTATGTAGCATGCGCCGCCGCCAGTTGCCTATCTGGTGGGATCATGAGGCGCCTTGCATGCTAGCAGTGCCAGTGCAACCCTCCTCGAGCTGACTCCTCCTAAGGGTGAGTACCCGGTTCTCTTTCAGCTTCCGTTTATCTCGCAATAAGGTGTTTTTTAGAATTTCGGCAAAAATGAATTTATACCAGCTTTAATCAAAGGTTTTGACTTTGAGGATATTTATAGATCAAAATGAAAATTCCCGTTCAAGACGGAAATCCTACTTCGCGGTTAAATATATCAGTTACTTCCTTTGCACACCGATTGAATTACGAAAAGAAAAATCTCGTTCATGTTTTCAACAGATCATTAAATTATTATTATCATTCAGTTTAAAACACTTTCATTTTCACGTCATGACCAAGAACGATCTTTCATTAGTGCGATGAACTTCGTGTCGGTCTGCTGTATAACTTTTTGATGAATATCTCGCGCAATGTGAGCGTGACCTGGCTTGCCAAGTTGTTAAAATTTCGCACATTATCTTTAGCGCCCTTACTTTTAAAACTTCAGTTAATTCAAATTTTTGAAGCATTTGATTTGCCGTGTGGACATCAATAAAATAATATTTATATTTTAAAGTAAGAATAAAGTACTACAGAGATAACATTTTTTTGTAAATAATTTATTGCAATTTTCACATTTTTGTTATGATTTTCTTCTCTTCCATAAACTCTATAAATTTGTTACAACGACAACTGTTGAAATGCTGGAATCTGTAGACCACAAAATTTAAACCTTTTATGTATAGTATCAAAAATATATTGCTTTTGAAAGTGGTTGATCTTTGAAGATTTTTTTTTTTGCAATTTTTATATGCCCTGAGAAGATGTCCTGCTCATGATTCGCAACTCTCACGTTGAGAGTAACGCCCCAGACCTTTTACTTTCGCTCGCAATAAAAATGAATTGTCGGCCTAGCTATTTTCCAGCACACATCTTTTTGAGAGCTTCGTAAGGTCGTCAAACGCCGACGGCGTTTGCAATAAATCTGGAAAATGGTCTTGCGTCAATGTGCTGTTGTAAGATTGTGCCAAAATTTCGCAAAAACGTCTGGCTGTTTTCGCCGTAAAATGGTTTTTAATCAAGATAGAGGAATTATATGCGAGTCCACATATTTAGCAATCATACTTTTAATACAGTAATCGCATCCTCAAAAGCACACTTCCTTTTGTTTTTCTCTGCGGCTTGGTTCGCCACATATTCTGCAAACTCATAAACTTTTGAATCACATAATTTAGCCACTTTAGTCACATTACCGCAGGAAAAGATAAAATTTGAATAGTTCTTAAATATGCGTGTTTGTTCATTCATGAATAATTTTTTTTCCTGGAGACCTAGTTCAAAACAAAGACCTTTACAGCTGCCCTGATTTTGAAGACTTAACGAAGTAATGCAGATTATGTGTTAAAATTTATGCAAATGTCTTTGGAACTCTCTCCAGCGTCAACACATAATACCACATTTTCATATCTTTTAAATCAATAAGTAAAGTATGTTTTTCAGCTTTTTAAGCTAAAAGGCTTTTAAATATTGATTTTCTTTTTAACATTTTATTTTAGAGTTAATGGACAATTTATCAACATATGATCACGATTTCCATGAAAAACTAATTTTTTGCCCTAAAAACTGTCATAGAGATCCATGAATAAACATTATTTTGAAATACAGTAGGCAATTATGTATAAACAGCAGATGCGTTTGCTTTACCTAATTAATTATTTCATTTTGGTGAGTGGAAAATTCAATCCAACTTATAATATTTCCGTACAATGATTTTCTAATTTGACGGCTAATAGCAAGTTAATTGCTTCTTAACGTGGATAATGGAGCGTCGATTTCCAAGTGCCGATCCAAACACTTGCTGACGGCCGAACGGTTCGATCAGGTATTATAAATAATTGAATTGCAACCTGGCGTTTATGGACACACCCTTTCATGCTGTTTACTCCGCAATATTGGCAATTAAGCCGTTCATCAAGTCGGCGCAGCTGCAACTTCCAGATCATTGATTTGGCCTGTGAGCATTGTTTCGGGAAACGAGACAATCGCTGCCCACTGCTGTTATTGAACTTGGCACGCTTGGAAAGATTTTGGTCGCTTGTCAAAACAGAAAGAGATAAATGTTTCGGGCCAAAAAAGGCCAAACTCGTGGTTGAGAAAAAAAAATCAATGAAATGAACCTAAATTTTATTAAAATGGTGGAATTCAAACTCGTAAACAACAATGCAATTTTCAAATTTTCAGATTATAGAAAAAACTTTCCATCGATAATTTTTAATTAGAGTGCAATTTTAACCAGTAAATTAAAGGTAATTTATTTCCTCTAGAGGTATTTTTTAAGATATTATTCTCTTTACCAAATTAGCAAAAATCAGTATTTTCTGTTTACATTTCTCCATACTTCCTCCACTTTGTACTTAATATCATTTCAATAATGAAAATTTCTGTCAGTCTTGCTAAAAATATTTGTACGGAGGAAAAATTATGAGTGAATAATAAACTTAATTACGGCTCGAATAATTTTTCCGCTTGTTAATTAGGAAGCATCGGAGTTGAAAATTACAAGACTCTCCATTAATTGGATTAACAAGTAAATGCGCTGGCAGTGCAGAGAGCAGGTGCGATATTCTGCTTTAGATTTAATTAAAGGATTGGGGGGTGGTGCAGCTTGAATTTCTCTGCAAAAGCAGTGGTGGCGAATTAAAGCAACACCAGCAGCCGCGGCCAATCTCTGCGTGGAATTGGCAGGGGAAGTTTCTTGTAAAGTTTCAAATGGAGATTTGATGGCTTGCCTTTGCATATATTATGATTTAAAGGAATTAGGAACCACTGCAGAAACGCGGCATAATGTGGTATATAATAATTATTTCCGGTGGCGAGAAGGTGAATTTCATTCTAGTCGGAAAATTCGATATAAAAAGTCTGCTGCTAAAATTGTGTTCACTCTGATTACAAGGACGTGTTTCTCTCTCTGTGTGTGCAAAAGTACTCTGTGTGTGCCTTTTGTGGGATAGCTTTGCCTCAAATTAAAAAGCCGGATACGCTTTGCAAGGGGTGGCGGTGGAAACAGAGAGAAAGAGACGTAATACGGCGAAAAGCGCACAACCCGTTCGAGCTAAATTATGGCCGAGCTGCCGGAAAATACGAGAGGCTTGGAAAAAATTTATCAGCCCACATATGCAACGCGCTTCCTGCAAATCGTGACTATGTTCAACACTTTTGCCAACTTGTTCCACGCGCGCAGATAAAACCGAACAGTTTTTGCGGGCACATTCTTTTCAAAAGGCGATTAATAGCCATATGCTTGTTATCTTTTGTTGTGGGAATTTACAGCACAGCTGAATACCTGCGCTGCCTTTTGATTAGTTTCTTTTTTTCTTGTTTTTGCTGCAAGGAGGGTAAAAAATAAATTGTAAAAAAGAAGCTCCTGCGGTACAAGTCGAAGCTTTTTTTACTTACGCGAAATTTTTTTAGTCGCATCACTAGGGAAAATGTAAACAGGATAGGTTGACGCAAATCCTATGTATGAAAAGAACCTTATTTTAATTAATTTTTGCTTTGTTGTGTGCATCGTTTTACATCGGAAGGAAAAATTTGTAAGGGCGTTTAATACATATCAAAAATATTTTGCTTCAAACTGTGTATTTAAGATTCACAGCCGTTACAAATAATACGTGCTTGTAATTTACTAAGTGTAAATTATTTTTAATGATAATTAAATTTACTAGAAACTAAAAAAAATCATGTAATTTAGTGAACACTTGTAAACCAATGAAACGGATAAAATACTGACTAGAGTTTCCTTCATAATTCAATTTTTTTTTTATTAATTAATTTTTGCAACTTTAAAATGACAAGATTAAATTTTATAATAATGTTTATTAATTGCAATATAACAAATATAATTTATTCAATTTATTAATTATTCTATTTACATACAATTATAAGAAAGTATAATTGTTATAAAATAATATGAATGCATAACTTAACTTTAATTCTCTTTATATTGTTTTTTGTTATATTTTAATTTATAAGCTTGTATCAGCTGCTCACATTATCTGGGTTTAAATAGACTGATACAAAAAATCAATATTACTAACTCCTATTATCCTGATTATAGTCATAGCTCCAAATAAAAAGTATTTTGTAATTTTAACTTTGTAACTAAATAATAAAAAATTCTGTGTTATAAAGCAGCACTGAACCGATGCAGTAAAGTTTTCGTCTTCAGCCCTTTCCCACTTGCAAATGTCACGGAAAATCTTCTTTGCAGAGACAAGAGACGAAAATGGAGTAAACGACGTAGAACTCCTGCGTGCGTATAGAGCACATTTAAATGTGGTCTGGGGACACACACTGCACGCTGCAGACTGAAGGCTTTCATATTTTATTGCCCTTGAGTGTTTTCCTCGCGTGGAGAGTCGAGGCAAGCAAACAATTTGCACACAACTCGCATTTCTCTGCTTTTTCTCTTCGTCGCAGAAAACGTCGTAAAGACTCTCGGTGGCGAATTCTGCCTCATTCAATTTAACGTGCCCTGCAACTTCTCTCCAGAGACACACTGCGCTCAAAAATATATCGTCCCTTGTGATTCGCAAATGAGCGGAATGTGGGCGATTTCACGGTTGGAACGTCCTCAAAGGCTCTCCCGGTTCGGCAACAAACAACCGACACCCACGGTTAGGCGCCAAAACACTTCTCAAATAATTAATTGCAATTGGCGGCGCACATGACTGGAAATTATTTCATGCGAGTTTTACTTTTCCTTTACGTTTAACATTCTTACTTAAATGTTATTATTAACTATTTGTATAGAAGCAAGGGTATATTATACGAGCTATTTTTTTATCTAATGATTAAATTGATAAATATATTTTTTCCTATTACCTTGTTTCCTTTTTATAAATATCCAATTTGTTTTTATATTTATTATGAAAATTTAAAACATAAATTAAAATTTTTCTAAACTTAGTGATTATTTAAGAAACGGTTAAACCAATCATATCATGAAATCAAGGTGATCAAGAGTAAAGGACTTAATTTTTAAATTTTGAATTTGGTGA